AGCTGGCAGACAGTGCAGCCAGATGGTTGTAGGTGGGGCCTGGCCTCATACCCGCCAGGTCAGTGGAGATCCTACAGTGAGAGGAAATCCTAATGATTCTGGTTTTATTTTGGAGTTGTGTCCAGTGAAAGGTCTCTCATCTGCTCTAAAGCAGGTGTGCATAAACACACTTTGTGAAGGGACAGGCAGTAACTGTTAGAGGTTTTGTGGGCCACAGATGACCTCTTGCTTATTTTTCTTCAGGCTGACTGTAGTTTGCCAGCCCCTGCTCTGAGGAACAGCAAGGCTGAAAGAATCTCCACCAGTGCAGTCTTCACTGGAGAGTGTGATTGTCCTCGTAGGAGCTGCTTTCATTCACTGCAGCAGTGACTCACCTGGTTGCTTGTTGGTATCCTAAGTTTATATAGGAAAACAGGATCCATTCCCAGGCTTGTAAGAAGTGGTGGATTCCATAGTAAGACATTTTTTTTCTTTCTCTTTTTTTTTTTTTTTTTTTTTTTTGAGATGGAGTTTTTGCTCTTATTGTCCAGGCTAAAGTGCAGTGGCGTGATCTTGGCTCACTGTAACGTCCCGGGTTCAAGTGATTTTTACTTCAGCCTCCCGAGTAGGTGGCATGTGCCACCACGCCTGGCTAATTTTTTGTATGTTTAGTAGAGGCGGATCCTCCATTTTGATCAGGCTGGTCTCGAACTCCCGACCTCCTCGGCCTCCCAAAGTGCTGGGATTATAGGTGTGAGTCACCATGCCTGGCTGCCATCTCCTTTCTGTGGTGTGTGTGTGTGTGTTGTTTTTTGAGATAGATTTTTCCCTCTGTCGCCCAGGCTTGAGATTTTTCCCTCTGTCACCCAATCTTGGCTCACTGCAACCTTCACCCCCCAGGTTCAATTCAATAATTCTCCTGCCGCAGTCTCCACAGTAGCTGGGATTACAGGCATGCACCACCATGACCAGCTAATTTTTTTTGTATTTTTAGTAGAGTTGGGGTTTCGCCATGTTGGCCAGGCTGGTCTCAGATTTCTTGCCTCAGGTGATCCTCCTACTTTGACCTCTCAAAATGCTGGGATTACAGGTGTGAGCCGCCTCGCCTGGCCTGAACAAGGTTTATTTCCTTTTGTTTCCCCCCGGGGTGTGGGGAAGTAGGAATAGAACCTTCTCAGAGAAGTGTGGTGTGCACCAGGTGGTTACACTGAGAGCTGTGTATGTTCATTCTACCCTCCGCCCACAGGCCTCGTCAGCAAAGAGTCAGAGAAAGATTTATTTGTTACTGGTAAAATAGTAGAGGCCAGGGCTAACAACTTTTAAGAGGACTTTTTAGCAACATTTATACAAACAAACTATTTTTGATCAATTTTCAGAATTAAATGACATTTTAGTGGGCATGGTGGTGCATACCTGTAATCCCAGCTACTTGGGAGGCTGAGGCAGAAGAATTGCTTGAACCTGGGTGGTGGAGGTTGCAATGAGCCGATATGCCACTGCACTCCAGCCTGGGTGACAGAGTGAGACTGTGTCTCAACAAAAAGGAAAAAACATGATATTTGATTTAAGAAATAATTTGATGTTGGCAGGCACAGTGGCTCACGCTTTTCATCCCAGCATTTTGGGAAGCTGAGGTGGACAGATCACTTGAGGCCAGGAGTTTGAGACCAGCCTGGGCAACATGGCAAAATCTTGTCTCTACTAAAAATATAGAAGATTAGCCCAGGCTGAGTGCAGTGGCACAATCTTGGCTCACTGCAACCTCTGCCTACAACGTGGTGGTGCACACCTGTAATCCCAGCTATTCAGGAGGCTGAGGCAGGAGGTGGAGGTTACAGTGAGCTGAGATGGTGCCACTGCACTCCAGCCTGGGCGGCAGGGAGAAACTCTGTCTCACAAAAAAAGAGAGAAAAGAAATCATACAATGTGAAATCTTCACATGCCTGATTTCTTAAATCAGAATGGCTGGTCAATCTTTCCTTCTCTTGCCTTTAATTTTTTTTAATTGTTGTTTTTGAGATAGGATCTCACTCTGTCCTCAAGAGGCTTACAATCTAGCTCAGGGAAGGATGCTTTTATTAGTTATGACTTTTGGGGAGTGGGACAGAAACTCACTAGACCTAGCCTCAGGGAGGGAGATTTAAAATGGTCCATGGACCCCAGGGCAAGGAAGCAGACAGGTCCTGGGCACCATGATCAGAATCGGGCATGTGGGACCAACTCCCATCCTGAGCATTGCTGCCCTTTGCTCTGGTGCAGGAGGTGGGGTCTGGGGAGGGCTACTGGGGTCAAGTGGCTGCTGGCAGGAAACTTGGAGGCAGTGACCGCTTGGAAGCGCTTTTGCTGGTATGTTTCTTCATTGTGCCAGACTCTCCTACACACCCTAGTACAGTCAGCATCCTTGGGCTTGGCCACTGAATGTGGGCGGCACTCCCATCATTGTGACATCAAAAATGCTCCTACACATTTTCAAACACCCTGGTATTCCTTGGCTCATGGCCACAGCTGAATAGATGGGAGATTTGGGTGCAGGAAAGGAGTTAAGTAACCAACCAGGATGGCTGAAGCCATGTGGGCAGGAGAGGAGAAGTTCCTCGAAGAAGGGTGCAGTGTTGGCCACTTGGTTGTGTCCCCGCTCATACAGATCCGACTTATGACTGCTCATCTCTCAGCATCCATCTTCCTGCGCTCTTTGTGAGCATTTCCTGATAGGAACTGCATGTGAATCTGTCCCTCAGTGACTGGCAGATCTTAGGTATCAGTCAGTACCTGTTAAATGAATGAAAGGATGGTTTGCACAGTTGCGTGTTTGACATGGGACTGGCTCAGTCAGCATCTTTCATCTCACTTGTTTTGGCCCCTGTTTGTAATCGGTTTCAGCTCCCTGTGTTTTATTTGGATCACAATATAGAATTTTATCTTTAAAATCATCCTTCGGGATACATATTGCCTCCTTACAACATGGGTATGTTCCTCCTGGCCTGCATGGTGTCAGAACAAGATGGTGAAATGGCAAGCCTTGCTTCCGCAGCTACCACCAAGGGCCTTTTACCAGTCAGTGGCAGAATGGGGGGGTCATAATTGTTGCCATTATGTTGTTGAAGGCATGTTATCCATATGCCTTAATTATTGCTTTAGCTTTGTTTTCCAGGGAGAAGTGATGGTCACACAAGTTTTGTTTTTTAAGTGATGGGATCTGCCTCTGTTGCTCAGGCTGGAGTGCGGTGGCCTGATTATAGCTCATTGCAGCCTCAAGCTCCTAGGCTCAGGTGATCCTCCTGCCTCAGCCACCTAAGTAGCTGGGACTGTAGGTGCATACCAACATGCTCTGCTCTTTATTTACTTAGAGATGGAATCTTCTTCTGTCACCCAGTCGGGAGTGCAGTGGCAAAGTCTTGGCTCACTGCAACTTCCGCCTCCTGGCTTCAAGCGATTCTTATGTCTCAGCCTCCCCAGTAGCTGGGGTCATAAGCATGCACCACCACGCCTGGCTAATTTTTGTAATTTCAGTAAAGATGGGGTTTTGCCATGTTGTCCAGGCTGGTCTTGAACTCCTGACCTCAGGTGAGCCACCACACCTGGCCTATTTTAATTTTTTTAGAGACAGTGTCTTGCTGTGTTTACTAGGCTGGTCTCAAACTTCTGGCCTCCAGTAGTCCTCCCACCACAGCCTTCCTGAGTAGCTGGATTACAGGCATGAGCCACTGAGCCCATCAAGTGTTTCTGTTTTTTGCTAAGGAAGTTTAGAACCTATTGCCAAGGTTGGGTATGGAATAAAAGGCAGCACACCTGGCTAATTTTTGTATTTTTAGTAAAGAGGGGATTTCACCATGTTGGCCAGGCTGGTCTCGAACTCCTGACCTTAAGTGATCTGCCTACCTCAGCCTCCCAAAGTGCTGGGATTACAGGCGTGAGTCACCATGCCCAACCAGTCACTTAGTATTTGAATGAATGAACCGGTGAGGAGACTGCTAATAGACTCATGGACACCTGTAGAACATTAGAAAGTGGCAGAGGAAGGAAGCTTCTTTCTCGGAGATCTTATCAAGGTTTTCCCTTAAAAGGGGCAAGTACAGGTCGGGTGCAGTAGCTCATGCCTGTAATCCCAGTGCTTTGGGAGAGCAACGGTGGGCAGATGACAAGGTCAAAGAGGTTGAGACCATCTGGCCAACATGTGTAACTTCATCTCTACTAAATATAAAAAAATAGATGGGCGTGGTGGCACATTCCTGTAATCCCACCACTTGGGAGGCTGAGGCAGGAGAATTGCTTGAACTCAGGAGGTGGAGGTTTCAGTGAGCTGATTGAGCCACTACACTCCAGCCTGGTAGCAGAGCAAGACTCTTGTCTCAAAAAAAAAAAAGGTTGAGGGGGGCAGGTGTAGATGGCATAACCCTTATGCAGTCTCTCCCTCGCTAGCCCTAGGGAGTTCTTGCTTTCTGTTTTCCATGCATGTACCTTAGAGAGCCCATTTGTTGCCTGAGCAGATGTTTTCTCTCTGGGTACTAGTTGTTTATTTTGAAAAGTATATATACCCAATTATTTCTGAAGGCTAATTCTTTGGTTGCCCTCCTTTGATTTGGTTTTGCTTGTCTTTAAGATGAACAGCGTGGTGTAAGTGTACCTCCCCTATTCTGCTAGCCTTATTTTCAGTGTTATACATGGATGTCCTACAGGTACTGAGCATTTATTTTTGCATCTTGAACTGTCCTTGACTTGGAGATGGCTCTGTTGAAGTTTACATGTCAGCGTGGTTGGTGTGCAGTAGACTCCACCAAACTCAGAGTGAGAGGAATGACTGGCAGGTGGGGATTTGGGGTACTCCCCAGATTGCCTTGGGGTGTCTTCAAAATGCCCTGTAAATGTGAATGAACAGCCTTGGGGGCAGTGAGAGCATTTTTCTAAGGACACTCCAAAGCTGTCTTCAGGTCTTCAAGGAGGCCCATTAATCCTGAAGGATTCACTCCGCCGGATCAGAGGTTCTGCTGGAGTGACACTTTTTTTTCTTCTCTATTTCAAAGGCAGATCGGGAGCGGTGCCAAGAAAAATTTCTTTACTAGATGACATTTCATCGCAATGTCCGATCGTTTGGGGCAAATTACCAAGGGCAAGGATGGGAAAAGCAAGTATTCGACTCTCAGCCTGTTTGACAAATATAAAGGAAAATCAGTAGACGCAATTAGATCCTCAGGTAAGACCCGGGGTTCAAGGCCAGTTCCTCAGACTTTGTCCTAGTGACAAACTCCAGAAACCCAGAGTCCCCCACCTGGTTAGACAGTATGGTTCTGGCACATCAGACTTCTGGGCATGCATGTAGAATCACCCTCTACTTTCTACTTGAGGTGTGATTTCAGAGCCTTGAGCATCCTGATTCTTCCTGTAGTGGAATTATTTCTCCACTGATTACCTTACTGAACCTGTGGATATTTTTATCCTGATGGGTAGAATGGGACTTAATATGCATTAGTGTTAACCTTAAAACAATTTGTTTTTGGCTGGGCGAGGTGGCTCACACCTGTAATCCCAGCACTTTGGGAGGCTGAGGCAGGTGGATCATGAGGTAAGGAGTTCAAGACCAGCCTGGCCAAGATTATGAAACCCCGTCTCTACTAAAAATACAAAAAAAAAAACTAACTGGGCATGGTGGCAGGCACCTGTAATCCCAGTTACTCAGGAAGCTGAGGCAGAGAATTGCTTGAACCCGGGAGGCGAAGGTTACAGAAAGCAAGATTCTGTCTCAAAAAAGAAAAGAAAAAATTTTGTTTTTAAATATTTATTTGTTTATTTATTTTGAGACCAGGTTATGAGACTGGCTAATTTTTGTATTTTTAGTAGAGAGAAAGTTTCACCATATTGGCCAGGATGGTCTCGATCTCTTGGCCTTGTGATGTGCCCGCTTCAGCCTCCCAAAGTGCTGGGATTACACCTGTGTGCCACCATACCTGGTGTGTTATTAGCCTTTTTAGCTTTCATGGTTCTTGATACTCTGGAACTTGTTGGAAAGGTTCATATTGATCCTCTCCACACCCCATGAAGACTTCATGAATGTCGAAGGGCCCCTGTTCAGTCTTGGTTTGGGTCTAGGCAGAGCTGTCTCAACTTCACCTCAACAGAGGTGTTTCCTCTGTCAGCTGGAGGTTCCTGCACCTGGCTCCTAACCCATGTCGTAAAGTCCCCGAGCCTTGTCCTGCCCGCTAGTGAAATGGAAACCTTTGTACAGGTTTCAGCAGCTCTTTTGTCCTTGTAGTCGTCAGTGGAGAGCTTGTAAAGTGACTAAAGTGATGCCAAACATTTGTTCCACTGCTGGTCTGCCCCTTGCTTTTTGTTTAGTTAGCTTTGTCACGATCACTCAGAGTTTGAAAGAATAGCTGAATGCGTCAGGCCTCTTCTGTGACTTTTCTGCATGGTGTCTGTTCCATGCCCCTCTCCCTACAGTTATTCCTAGACATGGCTTACAGAGTCTTGGGAAAGTTGCCGCAGCCCGGCGTATGCCACCGCCTGCAAACCTGCCAAGCTTGAAGTCTGAAAACAAAGGAAACGACCCCAACATCGTGATAGTACCCAAGGACGGGACAGGATGGGCAAACAAGCAGGATCAGCAAGACCCAAAGAGGTAAACAGAGGAGTCGGGTGGTGAGTGGGAGCTGGCTCTCCAGGGGTGGCCCCCGGCATCCTTCCCTTTGGCAGGTGGCACTGCTAGTCTTGCAGCAGCAGAACTGGGAAACTGGGAGATGCAAATGAAGCTGCCTCTTCTCCTGCCCTGGTGCTTCGTGTGTTTCTTGTTACCTGCCTTCATTTTTCCTGGCTTTTAGAGGCAGTGGAGCAGCACATCTGTGGACAGCCTTGTCCCCAGTGACCAGTTTTCCCCTGTGCCTTATCAGGAAAGGCCTCATCACCCCAGAGGAGCTTATGCAATGACCCAGAGTCAGTTCCTGTAAGAAACACTGTGGACAGATCTGGGGCTTGAAAACTTCATTCCCTGTGAGTTGAGCTTGGCAGAGGAGCATGCAGCCTCCCTAATCATAGGCCTGGCAGCTTCCCAGACAGGAGACTTCTGCCGTTCCTCTAAACGGACCCAGTCATGAGTAAGAGCAGCACAGAATCCTCCAATATCATTGTACTGCAGCCTCCCTGGAGGCTCACCTCCTGCCAGCACAGTACTTACAGAAGCCCTGTGGGAGGCTGAGGTTGGCATGGTGTTGTCATTAGAGAAACAGCCAGCCCCTGTATGGTGGGCTGAAAACATGGGGCCTGGCTGCCTGGGGCCCACTTGCATGGCTGCACCCTTGCCTCCTACTGCCAGTCCTCTCTGAGTGTTCAGCCACTGCTAACACTATTCAGGGAAGGGGATGTATTCAGGGAGGGACAGGGCCTTGCTGAGGCTGGCAGGCAGAAACCTGCTGCTGGGGTTTGTGTTGAGGAATGTGAACAAAGCTGTCTGTCGGCAGCGCCCTCCTGGCCTGCATACTGACCTCCTGGTCTCCCTACCGACATAGGAAACCAGATGGTAAAAAGGACCCAGATCTTAGCCTGCCCATCCCAGCATCCTCTTCTTTCAAGTCTGCTGGAAATGACCATGGCAGCTTTTGTAAAATTGTTCCCCTGTAGTTACTTCAGACAGAATGTAGAGACAGAGCTACTTATTCAGCTAGATGATTATAAGGTAATAATCAAAATAGGGCCTTAGAGGTTATTTTTAAAATGTTTCTAACAGTTTGCTTAGGGATCATATTGATGGGCAGTATAGCATGACTTTTGAAATCTGACAACCTTGTGTGGTTTGCAGCTATACCACTTATTAGCTTGATGGAACCTGGAGAATTGTTTGACTTCTGCGCCTCAGTGTCCTCCCTTGAAGTAGGAATGATACCTGCCTCTGCTGGTGGTTCTGAGGTATCCATGAGGCATTGATGGGCCAGCATAGGTCAAGTGCTTAGCCCAAACCTCGCACAGAGGAGGGGCAGATACTGGCTGCTGTCATCATTCCATTCACATCACGAGCTCTGTAATGACATGGATATTGCACATTTTAATGGAAGGACTGAAGTACCTCTCTACCACCAAAAGTTCTAGAGAGGACAAAGTGTTACTCCCTCCTGATATCCAGCCTTTACTCCGCCTCGGTGGCTCCAGTGAGGGCCAGTTGTGCTGGAGCTGTCTGCCAGGGACAAGGTGAGGGCGGAGCTTTGTTTAAGGCACAGACCCCGGTGTGGTTCTCTGCTGCCCTGGGGCCACATCCTCCCACCAAGGTATCAGGTAGCAAGTGGGCCCACAATGTGGGGACTCGGTTCTTAGATTTGGAGAACACAGAAGTGCCACTACCTGAAAGCTTCTCTTTTAGGTAGAAGGAGATGTGAGAACCAATCATTAGCATTCCCTTTGTAATAATCACGAACGGTGAGTTACCTGAGTTAGGTGAATCTTGGAAGAGCGTGTCTGTGTAGAGTTTGGCTTTCATTTACAGATAAGCCATGGGGGTGGCTGCCCTCCTTGAATCTTATCCAGTAGAAAGTTGGATTCAGTGAGTTGAGTGCTGAGTTAGAGCAGAAACCTTCATTTGGCCATTTCTTGTCACCTTTATCACTTCACCTGTGGAGTGTAAATACACAGCCTTTTTTGGGGAGCAGCCTGGAAATAGCTTTTAAACTTCAAAACATCTTTTGATCCAGCATTTCTATTTCTAAGGTCATATGCCATGGGATTACTTACAGAAAAAGGGTGCAAAGATATGTAACCAAAAAAATTCTTGGCTGGGTACGGTGGCTCACGCCTGTAATCCCAGCACTTTGGGAGGCCATGGCTAGTGGATCACCTGAGGGTCAGGAGTTCAAGACCAGCCTGGACAACATGGCGAAACACCATCTCTACTAAAAATACAAAAATTAGCCAGGTGTGGTGGTGCATGCCTGTAATCCCAGATACTTGGGAGGCTGAGGCAGAAGAATCACTTGTACCTGGGAGGCTGGGGTTGCAGTGAGTGGAGATCATGGCACTGCACTCCACCCTGGGCAACAGAGTGAGACTCCATCTCAAAAAAATGAAAAAAATTCTTTTTTTTTTTTTTAAATGTTTTTGTTGTTGTTGTTGTTGTTAAAACATTCTTATTGTAGTTATATCTGTAATGGGAAGGAAAAAAACCCTTATGAGAGATTGGTTAAATTACGGCCTGTCTGGTTGTGTTGTGTGGTCATTAAAAGCAAAAGGAAGATTCATGTCTATGGTGGTGAAAAGACCTTCAGATGCATGAAGTAAAAAAAAGTCATGGAGCTATATGTATGGGGTTACTCCACTTCTGTTAGAAAAATACTATATTCCTGCAGTGTAAAACTCTCTGCCAGTTAAAAACAAACAAAACCTGTGTTAACAGGTCTAGAAAAGTCTGCTTGGAGTTTATCTCTGGATGATGAGATTGTGATGTTCTCTGTTACCTACTTTTATTTATAAGTTTATTTTTACTATAAGCATGTATTTATTTTGTAAGCTGAGAGGAGGTAAAGAAATCAGCCCCCTGAGTAGGTGTGGTCTCTGGGTCCGGAGGAAGGGCCACAAGCCCTTAATTTCAGTGACTTATTTTCCCTGTTGGCAAATCCTTCATCACTTGCATTGTTTACAGTGAGCTTTCAGTTTTTGCAGACAGAAGGCTCTACAAGAAGGCAGAAAAGTTTTATTTTTAAAAAAAGAAAGAGGCCAGATGAGGTGGCTCACGCCTCTAGTCCCAGCTACCTGGAAGGCCAAGGTAAGAGGATTGCTTGAGGCCAGGAAGCAGAGGTTGCAGTGAGCCAAGTGTACCCCGCTACACTCCAGTCTGGGCAATAGAGTGAGACACCCCTGTCTCAAAAAAAAAAAAAAAAAAGAAAAGAAAAAGCAACAGCAGAAGTCTGTCTTGTGCTAATTTAAAATGTCAGTGACTAGACCTTAAACATGGTTTGTTCTCTCATTAGTTTTTGCTAGCATAAGAATCTACTGGGGAAAGTCATTTTTATTGTCCACATAAGGTCTGCTTCCTGTGAGCAGCTGAACAGCTGTGGCTCCTGGGAACGTAGAGACCTGGCCAGGGAACTCTGTGCCGTGCCTGACCCCACTGCCCTGCCTTTCTTTGTCTAGTTCCAGTGCAACGGCCTCTCAGCCGCCGGAGTCGCTGCCGCAGCCGGGTTTGCAGAAATCTGTCTCCAATTTGCAGAAACCGACACAGTCAATCAGTCAGGAGGTAGGTGTTGGGACCCCATCCCGACTGTTGCCTGGGCATGGTAGCCTCTAAGTGTCCTTGTCGCTGGGAGCTGGGAGGAGTTGCTACTGACAAGTGTGGTTGTGCTTGACCTGTCTATTCCAGAGGCATACTCTATGACTGACTTTAGAAAACTAGCATGGGAAACTGTCATGGTCACTGGTGAAGAAATTTAATCTGCCAACTTTTAGAAAAAAGACCTCAGATACAGACTAGGATACAGGGTCCTACTTTGGTTCCTGTTGATTTGCTTGAGACAGGGTCGCTTAGGCTGGGCTGCAGACTACTTCAGGGTTTCCCAAAGTGAGCTCCCTGGAAGCTTGGGCCACAAGAAGACAAAAAGTGGTAGGCCACAGAAAGGTTACTGGCCAGGTGAGTTTGAAAAACAGAATGAAGCAAACTCCTTTTCTGCGGTACTTCTCAGTGACTTTCATATGCTAATGTCTACCGTGAGTCTCGGAAAAGAAGATACAATATAATGGGCAGCATTCCCCAAATTTATTTGTCCTCAGAAACATTTCTTCATTGAATGTCTCTAGGGACTAATGTCTCTCAGAACATTGCTTCGGGAAATAGGAAGCTACAATCCTTTATTTGTTGATACGTTTTAAATGTTTTTCAAAGCAAAAAGTAATGATGTAACCAAGCAAGAGCTCATAATACACTCAGTCCATCAGAGTCTGGATACAGGTTTCCAGAAATCAGCAGGAGGATATACTTAGCCGGAGCTAGAAATCTAGATGAGAAGTTTATGAATTTTTTTACAAGACAAAAAGAAACGTAGACATAGATATCTTGTATTAACCAGCTCTCTTGATAACTGGAATGAACATATTTTGGTTTTGTTTTGCTACCTGGGCAATGTAAGGTCTCAAATGTCATCCCCTCTCTGCTTTAACCATACTCAGGGAAGTCTGTGGCTTTGCCAGGACACCCTCTCCCCACCTAACACTGAAGTGTGCTTCTTGCTGTTTCCCAGAATTTGAAAGAAACGGAGTGAGCTGATAGAGCTGAGATGTGAAGCCTGTTACGTATGTGCCCAGCCCCACCACTGGGGACTGTGGGTGAGGTCCTGGGCATCTGTTTGAATGAATTGCTGAAGGGGCAGCACTACACCAAGGAAGGGCAACCCATCCTGGAGCTGGCACAGGGCCCACCTTATCCAGTACTCAGCATTTCTTTGCTGCTACCTGGTTTTCTCTTATATGTGAGGGGTGGGTAGGAAGAGGCGCCCAGTGTTTTTTGAGTTTTAGAACATCTCCACAGAGGGATCACAGCAGCTCTGCTCTGTTCTGCTGAAGTCTCAGCAGCCTTCTTGGTCCTGCGGGTGTTCTTTCTAGATTATTGCCAGGGGAGTCATCCCTGTAACTGCAGAGGTGAGAGGAGTGGAGAGATGGGGTTGTATTAGCATATTACAGGCCCTCAGTGGAGGGCTTGTGTGGTGGGGAGCCCCTCTGCCCCCTGCTTAGTGCTTGATCTGAAGGCCTCCAGCCCACCTGTGGGACGTGTCTGGCCCCAGCTGCACTGCCCAAATTGTGCCACTGACCCTGCCCTTCTGTAGTCTGCAGCAGGGAAACTGTTAGGCACCCCAGGTTGCCCGTATAAAGCATTCAGGGAAGCTCTTTGATAAGTAAATGGATTGCTGTGGCTGATCAGCTGTGTATCACAGGCAAGAGAGACAGTTACCTGCCTTGTGAGTGGATGGTGCTGGTTGAGGTGGGTGGGGGGTGGGAGGGAAAGGGTAATGATTTAATCTGGCATTACATCTAGTAAGTGGGGAAACTTTATGCTGCAGCAGCTTTGTTTTGTGTATTTTTACCTTCAGTTAGAAAGGCTGTGAGTTTAATGTTGACTGGAAAGACCGGTGAGCTTAATGGTTAGGTACGAGAAAGGGCACTGGACATAGGCGGGGTGGAGGCTGGTCCTGGTCCTACTGTTCTGCATCTGACTCTCCTCTGAGCCTCAGTGGGGGATGTGAGTAGAACCTTCCCAGGGTGTGGTGAGCATTCGGTCACACTGGGCATGTCATACATAATGCTGACCCTGGTGAGTTTTCAGCAGAGGTGAGCTGGCGGGGTTCTCAGGAGGGGAACTGTGCCTTGTAGAGTCACAGCCACTGCAGAATGCGCTGCAACCGGCCCACCCAGTTAGCGTCTTTGCATTCTTCATTAGCAGTGGCACAGCTTTAAAGACATGCTGGAATTGGGCCTCAGTCTGTCTCTGGAGCAAAATTAAGTATCTCTGTGTGGGCACAGGAGGTTCCAGAGCATAGCATGGAGGGAGACAGGTTTGGGTCCTGGCTTTGCTGTGTCACCGTCTGTGTGACTTGAAGCCATCACTCCCCAAGTCCTGCTCCTTGTCTGTAGAGTAAGCGTGGCATTTTCTAGTCCCTGGGACTGCTGCGTGGAGTGTGCGTTCCAGGAGAGGTTCAGGGCTTCAATGCTGCTCAGAAAATGGTGATGGATCTGTATAGGGTTTGAATCTAAGGTGCTGGCCTCTTGGCACCTTGTTGTAACGGGCTGTTACTGTGCAACTGACTTAGGGAGCTGGCCCTCTTCTGATTCTCTTCTTTCTTTCAGAATACAAATTCAGTGCCAGGTGGACCAAAGTCATGGGCACAGCTGAATGGAAAGCCAGTAGGACACGAAGGTGGTAAGTGTGCACCTGTGTGTGTATTTGGGGGTAGTGGGGAGGGGGAGGTAAATGCCTTTTCCAGACTGTCTGATTGGGTCTAGGCACCCAGAAGCTTTGAGGACTCTCTTCCACAAAGGGGTACTGTTCTGTGGAGCCCTTGCCTGTGCACAGTGGGGCACTGGTTCTGCAGAGGTGCCAGCTCTTTGGTTTCTTGGAATGAATGCTCTTGCTGAGACAGAGGAGCGCTGACTGGGCCATGTTGCTGGTGGACTCCTGCCTACTCTGCGGGGTTGCCAACACCATCTGCTTCCTCTTTCCTGGGACCAAAGGAGGGAGGTGTTGTGTGGCTTGGGTTGATGAAGGAGCCAGCCTTGGAGTCGTAGCGGCCCGCCTGGAGGATATTCTACCTGAGCACTCTGAGGGTTACATGGTGTTACCAGGAGCACTGTGCCCACCACACAGGAAGCTCCCACTATGCAGAGCCCACTGTGCTTCTTCCATGGAGTAGCTCAGGAGAAAGAAGAGGATGATGGACCAAAGGAAACAGTGTTCAGAATTTTAAAATAAAATTCATGGGAATTATACATTCACACTGCTTCCAAGGCAGGCCTAGAACAGTGGGCTAAAGCAGTTCTGGTGAGTCCTATTCAGCCAGGCTGCCCTCTAGCCCCCTCAGTCCTTGGAGAATATGGGTCAGCAGATGTTCTTGAGAGAACCAAAAGATCCAGGTTTTCTACATGAGCTCTTCTAATTTTTGATGATAGCTTGAATGTTTCTAGCATACTGTGCTGCAGACCAAACTAGGCAGCAGCTCTGAGTGAGAAAGAGGGTGGTCGTGGCGTGGACACCAGGGAAAGCCCACAATTCGCTTTCTCCTGTAAAGCACATTGACTGTCCTTTTTTTATCTTTTGCCCCCATCCTGGTGTCACCTTCTGCGCTACCCCTGCCAGCCAAGGCTTCACCAGACTTGGTCTTTAGTAGCCTGTATTAGAAAACCAACTGCACGTCGTTCGTTCCTTGAACCTCACCCCCAGACTGCCATGCCTAGAAGGTCCTGCCGCTTATGGGTTGACATCCTTGTGCTCAAAGGCTCTTCCCTCAGTCTCCAATGGGAAATGACTGATGAGTTAATTTCAACACCCCAGCTTCTCCCAAGGGGCTTGGGGTACAGATTGAAGTTACATCGTGTTACCAGGTGCACTTGCCTGTGAGTAGCTGGGACCACAGGTGTGTACCACCACATCTGGCTGATATTTTTTTTTCCACAAGATCTCACTATGTTGCCCAGGCTTGTCTTGAACTCCTAGTCTCAAGCATCCTCCCGCTTTAGCCTCCCAGTAACTAGGGGCTGGGACCACCACACTGGCTTATTGATTGGTTGATTGACTGACTGACTGAGACAAGATCTTACTATGTTGCTCAGACTGGTCTCCAGCTCCTGTGCTCAAGTGATCCTCCTACCTTGGCCTCCCAGAGTGCTAGGATTATAGGCGTAAGCCACAGTGCCTGACCCCAAAAGGGTCTTTGAAGATGCTTTATGAAGACTTGTAACTGGTTCTTTGGCTTTCCATATCTTATATTTCCATAAGGTTACATTTTTGTTTTTTGGTTTTTTTTGAGAGAGAGTCTTGCTCTGTTACCCAGGCTAGATTGCAGAGGTGTGATAGCTCACTGCAATCTCTACAAAAGTTAGAATTTTTAGAAATAGATAGAACATATTAATTTTTATTTAAAAAGAACAACAAAGATTAAAAAAATCCTGTATAAATTGGCCCAACTCCTATAGAAGCCAGTTTGGCACTGCCTGGCATAATAACAACACATAGTACCCTTTGACCTAGCAACTGCACCCTAAGGAAATTGCTCTACAAATTATACTTGCCCATTTGTGAAATAATCTGTGCATAGGATTATTCACTGCAACATTGTAATAGCAGAAGATTGCAAATGATCCCTTGAAATGCCTGTAAAATTCTAGTACTTTAGCTATAAAGAAAAAAAGCAGAAGTTTCTTATCGATTTGGCAAGCTCTCCAGGGCCTATTCTTAAGTGAAAAAAAGTACAGAACAGTATATGTAGTATCTTTTTTTTTTTTTTTTTGAGATGGAGTTTCACTGTTGTTGCCCAGGCTGGAGTACAATGACACAATCTCGGCTCACCACAACCTCCGTCTCCTGGGTTCAAGCAATTCTCCTGCCTCAGCCTCCCAAGTAGCTGGGACTACAGGCGCGTGCCACCATGCCCAGCTAATTTTTGTATTTTTAGTAGAGACGGGGCTTCACCTTGTTGACCAGGATGGTCTCGATCTCTTGACCTTGTGATCCACCCGCCTCGGCCTACCAAAGTGCTGGGATTATAGGAGTGAGCCACCACGCCCAGCCAGTATATATAGTATTTTAGTAATCCCAGCACTTTGGGAGGCCGTGGCAGAAGGATTGCTTGAGTCCAGGAGTTTGAGACCAGCCTGGGCAACATGACAAAACCCTGTCTCTACAAAAATTCAGGCTGGGTGCAGCAGCTCACGCCTATAATCCCAGCACTTTGGGAGGCCAAGGTGGGCAGATCCATTCTGGCTAACACGGTGAAACTCTGTCTCTACTAAAAATGTAAAAAATTAGCTGGGCATGGTGGTGCATGCCTGTAGTCCCAGCTACTTGGGAGGCTGACGTGAGAGAGTCACTTGAACCCAGGAGGTGGAGGTTGCAGTGAGCTGAAATTGTGCCACTGCCCCCTCCAGCCTGGGTGACAGAGTGAGACTCCATCTCAAAAAAAAAAATAAAAATAAAAATAAAAATAAGCTGAGTGTGGTGGCGTACACACCTGTAGTCCCAGCTACTTGGAAGGCCAAGGCAAGAGAATCACCTGAGCACCAGAGGTGGAAGCTGGAGTGAGCTGTGATCACACCACTGTACACCAACCTGGGTGACAGAGCAGGACCCTATTCTCAAAAAACAAAACAAAAAAAATGGGAGTGAAGAAAAAATACACTTCTAAAAAATGTTGTATATGCGGGGTTTTTTTGTTTTTTGGTTTTTTTTTTTGAGATGGAGTCTCACTCTGTCACCAGGCTCGAGTGCAGTGGTGCGATCTCAGATCACTGCAACCTCTGCCTCCCGGGTTCAAGCAGTTCTCCTGCTTCAGCCTCCCTAGTAGCTGGGACTACAGGCCACCATGCCCAGCTAATTTTTCTACTTTTAGTAGAGACGGGGTTTTACCATGTTGGCCAGGATGGTCTCCCATCTCTTGACCTCGTGATCCACCCACCTCGACCTCTCAAAGTGCTAGGATTACAGGCGTGAACCACCATACCCAGCCTGTATATGCGTTTTTAAAAATCCACCCATCTGCACACTAGTGTATATGCATTGTTGGCCAAAGTGAGAAGATTGCTTGATCCCCAGAGTTTGAATCCAGCCTGAAAAACATAGCAAGACCTTGTCTATACACAAAATTTTAAAAAGAAAGAAGAAATAATTGCAGGCAGAAATCTACCAGCCCACAGAATAGACACACTGGGCAGGGTGGGGGCTGAGTGTAACAATCATCCTCAGTTTCCCCTCCTATGCTAGATTTACACATCTGTGACACTGACAGGAGTGTGGGTATTTGAGGGTATTGCCCACAGGGTTTTGCATGACTCTGTGGAATTCAAAAGGACTTCTCCTTAATTGATACACTCTATTGGTTGGTTAAACTGAAACAGACTCAGGAGACCTGATTATGTGTTTGGGCAGAGGTCAGAGGCTCAGATATCAGCTGCTACCCAACCAGTGGCTCAGCCTGTGACCTTGGAAGATGCCCTGACTTTCCTGCTGCAGTTTCTCATTGCTGGTTTTTTTCCTAATTCCAAATCTACCATATTTTGTATTATTATTATTATTTTTGCTACAGGGTCTTCTTCTGTTGCCCAGGCTGGAGTATAGTAGCACAATTTTGGCTCACAGCAGCCTCAATCTCCTGGGCTCAAGCAGTCCTCCCACCTCAGCTTCCCGAGTAGCTGGGACTACAGGCGCATACCACCATGCCCAGCTAATTTGTGTGATTTTGGTAGAGATGGGGTTTCATAATGTTGTCCAGGCTGGTCATAACCATATTTTAAAAACGAGAGTTTTAATTTTATTCTTGCTAATTACCTTTTACCATAATGAAGCGACTCTGAGTCAGAGCCACGTTCACAGATCAGTGGAGCTCCTTCATGATGCCTAGAGGCCCTCTCTGGCTGGTCCTTGGTAAATGGTGTCCAGTCTCAGCCTGGTCAGGTTTATTTGACCCTGGACCTTTTTAACTAAGGGAGTGGCAAGCGAATTGCTGCCACATGCCTGTGTGGTGATGCAGCCACACCTTTCCAACACAGTTGGCTTTAGTGAACAGGTCCGTGGATCAGTGGTGTTAAGAATAATAACTGCCTAGGGGAAGATTTGGGTTTGGCTGTATAAGGAATAAGGCATGCCACAGGGGGCCATTCATTGTGTGGTGTTGCTGCTGTTCCTAGATTTCTACAGTCTGGGGCATGCTGCATATTCCAGATGAAGGGATAGGGGCCACCTGAACCTTTTACCTGCACCATTTTTAATATTTTCATCCAAAAATGGTAGCAGAGCCTCTGTGCTAAGTTCTTTGTATAAGGGAACATTAGGAAAGGCTTCTTCTCTAAAGTAGATTATAAGGCTGAGGAATGAATGAAAGAATGAAGAAAGAAACAGTTTCTAGGATTATAAGAAACTCTTCCCAGGATTCTATGTTTGGCCTTGTAGGGCTCAAGGAACTTAGTAGAAAATGCAGAAGGACAGGTGAATGAGGAGGTACTCATGTAAATCTAATTTCCACCTGTCTTACCACATTCGATGGTAGAAAGCAGCATTTTTTTTTTTAGTTTTTGAGAAGGAGTCTCGCTTTGTCACCCAGGCTGGAGGGCAGTGGCACGATCTTGGCTCACGGCAACCTCTGCCTCCCGGGCTCAAGTGATCCTCCAATCTCAGCCTAAGTGCCTGGGACTACAGGCGCCCGCCAACCTGCTAATTTTTTCTGTTTTTGGTAGAGACGGTTTTGCCATGTTGCCCAGGCTGGTCTTGAACTCCTGAGCTCAAGCGATCCACCCAGTTTGGCCTCCCAAAGTGCTGGGATTACAGGTGTGAGTCACTGTGCCAGGCAAAAGCAGCATTTTAATCCTTTTAGGGTGGCCTGGTGTTGCCTCCACAGGAAAGCAGTTGGCTTCTTGGCTTTCCCTTGGCTGATTTTATAGGAGGCGGTGCGTGTCTGTGGCCCCAGGCGGTCAGAAGGACCTTCCCTGTCGGGACAGGCTGTGGCCTGGTGCTGCTGTGATATCTTACCCCATTCCGTTTGTAAGCAGGTACTGGCCCCTGCAGGTCAGCTGGGGAGGCCATGGTGCTGTCAGCAGCAGCCTCCCTTGCTACCCTCAGCGCCCTGGTGACATTGGCTCCCTTAGAAAGCCTACTTCGAGGCAACATGGCTTTTAAGGTGTGGAGCTGGGAAGTGGATGACTGTTTTCTTTAGTGTTTTGTTTTAAAGTCTCACTCTGTCTCCCAGGCTAGAGAGTGCAGTGGCATGATCTCGGCTCACTGCAACCTCTACCTCCCGGGTTCAAGCAGTTCTCCTGCCTCAGCCTCCCAGGTAGCTGAAACTACAGGTGCACACCATCACATCTGGCTAATTTCTGTATTTTTAGTAGAGACGGGATTTCACCTTGTTGGTCAGGTTGGTCTCAAATTCCTGACCTCAAGTGATCCACCCATCTCAGCCTCCCAAAGTGCTGAGATTACAGGTGTGAGCCACTGCACCCCGCCAGCAGACGACTGCTGACTCCATCTCACTTCCTCCATGTCTGTCCTGTCTTCACAGGTTTAAGGGGCTCAAGCCGACTGTTATCCTTCTCTCCCGAGGAATTTCCGACGCTGAAAGCAGCTGGCGGGCAGGACAAGGCTGGCAAAGAAAAGGGCGTCTTAGATCTGTCGTATGGGCCAGGACCAAGCCTCCGCCCTCAGAGTAAGTGACTGCAGCCTCTGGGCACTCAGTGGAGTCACAGAACTTCCTCCCTTGTCTCTGCACTCCTAGAAGGGTGCTGATACCACTGGGGTCTCTGGCTCGAGCTGGAAATATGGTTCTTTGGCTTGCCACCTGATCCATGCATCCATTGGACTTGCTACCTAGGCCATTAGGCCTTGTGCTTTTTTTTGTCTTTTGGGGTAAGCCAGGCCAGTCCCCTCTCCCTCTGTTGTCCAGTTGTTAGTTTTGCTGTGCCTGGTGGCTGTGACAAGGACGGACAATGGGCCAATTAACTTAGGTCCCCGGGTTAGGAGCTTATTTTCTAAAGCTCTCAATCCTAGCTGTGTCTAGTCAGAATCACTGGGGAGTTGGTGAATGAGTTTGATTTCCAGGCCTTCCCTTCCCCAGCCCAATTAGGATCTGTATTTTTAACTCATTCCTCTGGGGATTGTTGCATAAACCAGCCTAGCACTGGTCTCTACTGGCCCCTCATCTCGGGTCTGCCCAGGGAAGTGGTAGGATTGTGTAGCACTTCTTTTTTTTTTTTGAGATGGAGTCTCACACTGTTGCCCAGGCTGTAATGCAGTGGTGTGATCTCGGCTCACTGCAATCTGCCTCCTGGGTTCAAGTAGTTCTCCTGGCTCAGCCTCCTGAGTAGCTGGGACTACAGGCATGCAGCACCATGCCCAGCCAATTTTTTTTTATATTTTTAGTAGAGGTGGGGTTTCACTATGTTGGCCCAGATGGTCTTGATCTCCTGACCTCATGATCTGCCCACCTTGGCCTCCCAAAGTGCTGGGATTACAGGCGTGAGCCACTGTGCCCGGCCTGTGTAGCACTTCTTGTTGGAAATTTCTCTTTGGAAGCCGAGGGTGGCTAGATGTTTAGGTGGTGATTGCAATTTTCCACGTGTTCTACTCAGGGATTTTGAAGTGGCTCATGTATTTCAGGGGACTTGATCAGGTCTTGAAATGCGAGGGCCTTTTGTTTGCTTGTCTTGATGTATCTCCAAGGCCTCTCCCATTCAAGTCAGAAGTGATATCCTGTAATTCAGTTATCACCGTGCATGTGTCTCACTTAAAACAGCACTCACTGCCCTTCCAGTGCCCCACACAAGACTATTTTGTTTGTTTCATTTTAAAGGACAAGAGTTACATCTTTCTGGGATTAATTAAGATGAGCTGTTTTGTAGGCCTATAAAAATTTAGATGTAGAAGAAACTTCTTTCTAAGCATCAGTTTCATCTCCTTGTTGGAGAAGATGAGGAAGCATGGCCAAGAGGAGTGACCTCAGCTTGCCCCAAGTCACACAGCAAAGGGATTGAAGGGCTGAGGCCAAACATGTTCTGGGTCTCTCCCTTAAGGGTCGTGTAACTCAGATACCTTGGTACTTCAAATTCTAACCAGAAGGTGACCAAAAACAGGGGTCTGTTTCATCTGATTTCTTTTTGGCCTCTAGTAATTTCCACCCAATCTCACTACATTTGGCAATAGGAAGCATCGTTTTAAAAAGACAGAGAGGTCAGCATGTTTCTGCTTGTGAGCTACACAAGTGCCCCACACCTCTGCTGGAAGGACAGCAGCTGGGTCTTGTCTGTCTTGTGGGCTGGTGGATCTTGACTAAAAGGTGCCACTGCTAAACAAAGCCCAAAAGCGCTGTGTCTGGAACTCTCTCCTATTTTGTGTTTTTTGGTTTTTGGTTTTTTTTGAGTCAGAATCTTGCTCTGTCGCTAGGCTAGAGTGCAGTGGCCCAATTTCTGTTCACCGCAGCCTCTGTCCCCTGGGTTCAAGCGATTCACCTGCCTCAGCCTCCCAAGTAGCTGGGACTACAGGCGTGTACCACCATGCCCAGCTAATTTTTGTATTTTTTAGTAGAGACGGGGTTTCACCTTGTTGGCCAGGATGGTCTCAGTCTCTTGACCTTGTGGTCTGCCCGCCTCGACCTCCCAGAGTGTTGGGATTACAGGCATGAGCCACTGCGCCTGGCCTCGTCCCTGTTTTAATGTGTAGCCCAGTGCTAACCCTAAGTGGGGTGGTCAGCATTCGTTGAAGGAATGACCCAAGGCTGTTTTCATAAGGGTTGTTTTAATCTCTCTGGGTTGTAGGATTGGGGAAGGAGTGGGGGTGATTGTTACTCACTGATGAAGCCTTCTCTCTGAGTAGATCCCATTTTATATTTCACAGTCAGACTTCCCTCAGCAAGTTCATTCTCACTGGCCAAGGGTCTGTCCCAACCTTCCCTCACAAATTTAACATTTCTTCATTTTTTTGTTGTTGTTGTTTTTTATTTTATTTTTTTGGTGAAGGAGGGGATCCCTTGACCTTCAGAACCTCATACGATCCCTCCTTCCCCCTCCTCTTCCCTCTCCTCTTTGCCCCCTTTCAATTTCCAGATGTGACAAGCTGGAGGGAGGGCGGTGGGCGACACATAATTTCTGCCACGTCTCTCAGCACCTCCCCAACTGAGCTGGGCAGCAGGAACTCAAGTACGGGAGATGGAGCCCCCTCCTCGGCATGTACCAGCGATTCTAAGGACCCCTCTCTCCGCCCGGCTCAGCCTGTCCGAAAAGGGGCTTCACAGTTCATGGGAAATGTATACCACCCACCTACATACCATGACATGCTTCCTGCTTTTGTAAGTCTTCAGAGTGTACGTTTTTTTTTTTCCCTCATGATGTTGGATTTGTGTCCAGCATAACCTAGGTCAAGTGATTGAATGTCACCCTTTGGGGTCTCCTCTTGGCCCTGTCACCCTACTTCCGAGGTTTACACTCATTTTGGATTTTCTCTCCCTGCTTTTTAAATCTTAAGGGCCTCTGGCTTCTTTCCCTGGTGATGTGCATATGATTTTAGCTGTGGTTCTTTAGAAACAGGAGAGGCAGGTTTTCTCTGATATAGGTTCCCCAGTCTACTTACTGACAGCAGGAATGAAATGGGGGAGATGGTGGTAGGATTGATTAGGAAACCCTAAGACTTTCCTGTTTCTTTTTCCCATTTTCCACTTTCCAAAACAAATTCTAATTTTACTAGCAAATCCTGTTCATCGATGTTATGTTTCAGATGTGTTCGCCAAAGTCATCAGAGAACCAGGGTACAGTGGAACGAGGCTCTTTTCCCCTTCCTCAGCTCCGCCTTGAACCCCGAGTTCCTTTTAGACAGTTCCAGATAAATGACCAAGATGGGTGAGTCCATTGCGTTACAGTCATGTGTGTAGAAATTACTCCGGTGGTGATTCTGGTCAGGATGAGGGGCTGATGAGAAAAGTGCTGTGTCTCCAGGAGAACAGAGAACTTAACCAGCTCAGCATGGCAGGGTGTATGGGGTGGTGGTTGGGATTTGGAGCTGGATCAGAGATTGAGTCATTATTTCAAGTTCCTGGTAGAGTTGAAGTTCTGGCACATGCATGTTGCTGCTGCCCTAGGCCTTAGCAACCACATGTAAAACCGCAGGACAAGGCAGAACTTCTTTCTGGGATGTACTTGTTTGCTCATTATATATTTCTTTGAGAGGATCTGATAGAAATACTAAACATGAACCTTTGCAGTATGGAATTTATTTTTGGAAAGGTGTTTGATTTTGCCTCTATCTGCATACTGGACATGATTCCATCATCTTTACTTTTCTCTCTTTTATCAGAAAAGAAAACAGGCTGGGAATGTCTCGCCCACTCCACCCACTAAGGCAGCTGGTGGAGCGGGTGCCACGGCCCACCATTATCAACGCAGAAAACCTGAAGGGCCTTGACGATCTGGACACTGATGCCGATGATGGCTGGGCAGGTGGGCAGAGAAGCCCTGGTGGTTTAGACGGGCAGGACCGAAGTCCACCTGTACTGACCAGGGATGGAAACCCCCTGGCACCACTGTGTGTTTTCCCTTGGTAAGATAGGGACTAACAGCAGGACAACGAGGCAGCCCCAATTCCCTGCATCCTCATTTGCAGCCCGTCTGGTACCTCCTTCCTGGCCGAGCCATTAGCTTCTTTTGGTCTTTATTTTTGAGCTTAGAGTTTTGTGGTTAACTTTTTAAAAATTATTGATGATGCAAAACCTAAACAAAAAAATAATAGCTTCCAGCCACTCATCACTCAGGTTCAATTAGTACCAATGTTCTGCCAGTTGGTTTTTGTTTGTTTTAATTTAATTTTGTTCTGAGAGACAGGGTCTCAGCTACTCTGGGCATACTGCCTGTGGGTTAGCCCTGCTCTGCAAGGAGCAGTAAAAAAAAAAAAAAAAAAAAGATAAAAAGGAAAGAGGTAGGGTCTGGCCATGTTGCCATTCTGAAGTGTAGTGGCTGTTTACAGGGTCCATCATGGTGAGCTGTAGCCTCAAACTCCTGGCCTCAAGCATCGTCCTGCTTCAGTCTCCAGAGTAGCTGCTAGAACTACAGGCGGGTGCGGCAAACTGTTTATTCTGCCATTCTTATTTCTCTTTTCTTTTTTTTTTTTGAGACAGAGTTTCGCTCTTGTTACCCAGGCTGGAGTGCAATGGTGCGATCTAGGCTTACCGCAACCTCTGCCTCCTGGGTTCAGGCAATTCTCCTGCCTCAGCCTCCTGAGTAGCTGGGACTACAGGCACGTGCCACCATGCCCAGCTAATTTTTTGTATTTGTAGTAGAGACGGGGTTTCACTGTGTTGACCAGGATGGTCTCGATCTCTTGACCTCGTGATCCACCCGCCTAGGCCTCCCAAAGTGCTGGGATTACAGGCTTGAGCCACTGCGCCTGGCTGCCATTCTTAATTTCTTTATCTCCGCCCACTCCCCATAACCCAACCTGATTATTTTCTTTTATAATTATTTATTTTCAGGTAGATTTTAATGACAGTGACAGGCATCCATCTCACATTTTAACTGTACGGTTTTACAAATGGATACGTGTATATCACGCACACCCATATCCAAAGAGATAACATGCCCCTTACCTCCCCGGGTTTCCTCAGTGCTCCTCCCTGCGACTGGCCTGTTACCAAATGTCACATGAGTGAAGTCACAGTTTTTACTCTCATACGGTTTTCATATTCACCAATGTTGTTTATATGCCAGTTGCTTTTAGTTGCTGAGATATGTTCCAGTGTATTAATATACTGTAGTTTATTTATTCATTCAAGAGGCCCACTTTACATTATACTTCCATTTCTCTTGGGTAAATATGTAGAATTTTTGGGTCAAAGGGTAGGCGTAAGATTAAGTGTTTAAGATCTGTCCAAACTTTTCCCCTGGTGGTGTTATGCCATTTTACATTCCCAACAGCAGTGTGTGAAGCTGGTAGGTCTGCATCTTACATTTTGGTGTTCATTTTTTTTTGTTTTTTTTTTTTAAGAGACGTGGTCTCAGTTTGTTTTCTAGGTTGGAATGCAGTGGCATGATCAAAGCTCACTGGAGCGTTGAACATGTTTGTCTTTTTAATTTTAGCCATTCTAGTGGGTGTTTAGTGGTATCTCATTGTGCTTTTAATTTGCATTTTGCTGATGACTAATGATAAACACACTTTTATGTGTTATTTGATGACTGATATATCATCCTGTTTGTTGTCTCAATTGTAAAAAATTGAGTGGTAGGATACCAGCCCTGGATACAAATTCTTTAAAACTTTTATTTTGCAAATATATTTCCTTATTGCATTGTCTATTAATTTTTTTAAACACAATGAGGAGAAGTTTGAATTTTGAAGTTTAATGTATAAATTTGAGTTTTTTTCTGGTTATTATTTTTGTGTCCTAAAATCTTTGCTTCCCCTTGGTGGTAAAAATATTACTAGATATTTTATAGTTTTAACTTAATTTTAGGTGTTTGATACACATTGGGTTAATTTTTGTTTATGACAGGTTTGTTTTTTCCCACATGGCCAGTTTTCTACAACATTTCTTGATAAGATTTTACTTTCCCTGTTGAATTGCTTTGGAACTTTTGCCAAAAATCAATTGACTATAAAATCATTGGTCTATTTCTGGACACTGTTCCATTGACCTGTTTGTTTCTCCTTATGCCAATACCACACTGTGGGTTTATAGGAAATCTTACATTTCGGAAGTGTAAGTTTTCCAACTTCGTTCTTTTCCAAGATTGTTTGTTTCCACATAAATTTAGAATCAACTTGTCAGTATTTACAGAGAGCCTACAGGCATTTTGGTTCAGATTATGTTGAATCTCTATCAAGATAAGTGACATCTTAATTTTTTTTTCCGAAGACAGAGCCTTGCTTCGTCATCAAGGCTAGAGTGCAGTGACATGATCTCGCCTCACTGCACCCTCCACCTCCCAGTTCAAGCGATTCTTCTGCCTCAGCCTCTCAAGTGGCTGGGACTACAGGTGTACACCACCACACCCAGCTAATTTTTCTGTTTTTAGTAGAGGCGGGGTTTCACCATGTTGGCCAGGCTGGTCTTGAACTCCTGACCCCATGATCCGCCCACCTTGACCTCCCAAAGTGCTGGGATTACAGTTGTGAGCCACTGCACCCCACCTGACATCTTAATTTTGAAACTTGTTTTTTTTTTTTTTTTTTTTGCACTCCTGCCACCGAGGCTGGAGTGCAGTGGCATGATCTCAGTTCACTGCAACCTCTGCCTACCGGGTTCAAGCGATTCTCCTGCCTCAGCCTCCCAAGTAGCTGGGATTACAGGTGTGGGCCACCATGCCCAGCTAATTTTTGTATTTTTAGTAGAGATGGGGGTTTCACCATGTTGGCCAGGCTGGCTCCCTCACCTCGTGATCTACCGTGACTGGCCCTTAATTGGGAATTTTTAGGAAGCTGGTGTATCACTTTATTAGGACTTTGATTTCTCTCAGCAGTGTCTTGGCATTTTCACGTAGAGATCCTGAATGTCTTTTGTTAAATTTATTCTCAGACATTTTTATGGTTTTTTGATGCTATTATAAATATCATTGATTTTTAAGGACAATTTTATTTTTCAAGGGTTTGTTGTCATTATATAGAAAATACAGTTGTTTTTTCTGTATTCACTGGTACCAGCCACTTTGTTGAATACATTAATTAGTTTTACTAGTTTTTGTTGATTTCTTAGAGTTTTCTACATAAACCATTACGTAGTTTGTAAATAAGGACAGTTTAACATCTTCTTTTTCAGATTACTTCCTTTCTACTTAGTGTTTTTTGCCTGTGGTATACTTCGGGTATAATATTAACCTCAAGTTCTTTCTGATCTTAGGAAGAAAATGTTTTGTGTGTCAGCATGAAATGTCAGCTGTGGTTTTTTTTGAGATACTGTTTATCAGGTTGAGGATGTGTTGCCTTCTATGTCTAGTTTGCTGAGCCTTTGTTTTTTTGTTCTTGTTTTTGTTTTTGAGGTGGAGTCTTGCTCTGTTGCCCAGGCTGGAGTGCAGTGGTGTGATCTCGGTTCACTGCAACATCCACCTCCCAGGTTCAAGGATTCTCCTTGCCTCAGCCTCCCACCTAGCCAGGATTACAGGCACCTACCACCATACCCGGCTAATTTTTTTGTGTTTTTAGTAGAGACGGGGTTTCACTATGTTGGCCAGGCTGGTCTCAAACTCCTCACCTCGTGATCAGCCCACCTCTGCCTTCCAAAGTACTGGGATTACAGACGTGAGCCACGGCAACTGGCTGGGTTTTTTGTTTATAAATTATGGGTGTTGCATTGTGTTCAGTGCTTTCCTGCATCTGTGATCATACTGTTTTTCTCCTTTATTTTGATAGTAGACTGCATTGATGTTTTTTTTAGTGCTAAACCAACCTTACATTCTTAGAATAAACCCTCTCTTCTTGTATGCCTAGACTAAATTTGTTAATATGTATTAAAGTTATGTCATGAGGGATATTGGTCTGTAATTTTTTATGCTTTTAATGTCTCTGTCAGGTTTTGGTATCAAGTTGTGCTGGGCTTATAAAATGAGTTGTGGAGTGTTCCTTCTCTACTTTCCTAAAGAATAAGATTGCTGTATTACTTCTTTTTCTTTTTTTTTTTTGAGATAGGGTCTCTCACTTTGTCACCCAGGCTGGGTACACTGCTGCACAATAATGGCTCAACACAGCCTTAAAATTTTGGGCTCAAGTGATCCTCTGCCTCACCTTCTGAGTTGTTGGGTTTACAGGTGCGAGCCACTGTGCCTGGACAGTATTACCTTACCAGTGAAACAATTTTGCCTCTGGAGTTTTCATTGTGGAAATACTTGCAGTAATTTAATTTCTTTAATTAGTTTTGAGACTGCAGATTCCCTGTGTCATTTTGTGTGAGTTTTTTGGTAAGTTGTGTTTTTTGAGGAATTTGTTCATTTCTTTTGAGTTGTTGAAATTATTAACATAATGTTGAAAATATATTACATTATCTGTTTGATGTCTGTAGGATCTCTAGTGATATCCTTTAATTCCTGATAATTTGGTAATTTGTGTATTTCTTTTTCTTCATTTCTGCCAAGGAATTGAATTGTTGTATTAATCTTTATGAAGCAGCAGCTTTTGGCATTGTTCACTTTCTCCATTTTTTGACTTGTTTTCTGTATATATTTTAAATGATTTTTTAAATAATTGGAGCAGGTTTTTATTATTGGCCATTTCTAAATTGCTAATTTAGTTGTCTTATAGCCAGAGAGCACATTCTGTATGATATCACTTGTTTTCAAGTTAGTAAGTCTTGTTTCATGACTAGAATATGATTGGTCTTGGAGAATATTTCAAGTGCACTTTGAAAGTATATATATTCTACAGTTGTTGCTGGGTGTCATGTTTTGTATGTTTCCCATTAGGATGGTTTTTGGTGGCATTCAGATCTTTTTTTTGGCCTGTTTTTGTTTTGTTTTGGAGTCTCTCTCTGTCAGCAGGCTGGAGTACAGTGTCTTGATCTTGGCTCACTGCATCCTCCCCCTCCTGGGTTCAGGTGATTCTCCTGCCTTAGCCTCCCTCAAGTAGCTGGGATTACAGGCATGCACCACCATGCCCACCAAGCTCATACTTGTATTTTTAGTAGAGACGGGGTTTTGCCATGTTGGCCAGGATGGTCTCAATCTCTTAACCTTGTGATCTTCCCACCTTGGCCTCCCAAAGTGCTGGGATTACAGACATGAGCCACTGAGCACGGCCAATGGAGGTATTCAGATCTTATTGTATACTTACTGATAATTTTGTCTGCTTCTATCAGTTAAGGAAAGAAGGTGTTCAGCTCTAATCATGGATTTATCTATTTCTCCAATTAATACTCATGGTTTCTGCTTTATTTATTTTGAAGCTGCTCTTAGGCATACACACGTTTCTAGTTTCTGTGCCTTTCTGGTGTATTTCCACATGTCCCTCTTTATCTCTAGTAGTCTGTTATCTTGCAGTCTGTTTTGTCCTGTGTTTATACCAATTGCTCTGACCCTACTTACTGTTTCCACGGAATATCTGTTTCCATTCTTTTCCTTTAAACTCCTTTGTGTTTGTATTTAAAGTTATTATTTAGCAAATAGCACATAATTGCAACTTACTTTTTAAGTTTCTAACTCGGCCTTTTAATTGTATTGAGTTTTTGTTGTTACCTCTTAAAATTTTTTTATTTTAATTTAATTTAATATATATATTTTTTTTTCTAGAAATGAGGTCTTGCTTTGTTGCCCAAGCTGGTCTCGAACTCCTGGGCTCAAGCAATCCTCCTGCCTTAGTCTCCTGTGTGGCCAGAATTGCGGGCATACATCATGGTGCTCAGTTACCCTTGTTTCTGAGGCAGGGTCTTGCTCTGTTACCCAAGCTAGAGTGCACTGGCACAGTCACAGCTCATGGCAGTCTCACTTTCCTGGGCTTAGGTGATTCTCTCACCTTAGCCTCCAGAGTAGGGGGGACTACTGGCGTGCACCCCTATGGCTGGCTAATTTTTTGTATTTTTAGTAGAGACGTGGTTTCACCATGTTGCCCTGACTGGTCTCAAATTCTGGGCCTCAAGTGATCCTCCTGCTTCAGCCTCCCAAAGTGCTGGGATTACAGGTGTGAGCTGTGAATCATATGACTATATGAGTCACATAATTTTTATATAATTATATGATTAACATAATTTTCCTATAACATAAAATTTACCCTTTTGAAGTCTGGTTTAGTGTTTTTTAGTATATTCACAAAGTTGTGCAACTACCACCACTATTCCAGAATGCTTCCATCACTCAAAAAAGAAACCCCATACCTGTTGGTAGGCATTCCCTCCCACCTCCTACTTTCCAACCACAAATTTGCTTTCCATCTCTGGATTTGCATATTCTGGACATTGCCTGTCACTGGAATCATACAATATGTGGCCTTTCTTACCTGGGTTCTTTCACTTAACATAATGTTTTCACAGTTAATTATGTTATAACAATGTGTTTGTATTCATTCTTTTTTACGGCCAAATAATAATCCATTGTGTGGACCTACCACACTGTTCACAGGATCGTAGGTGATGGACACTTTTTGCCATCTGAGCCACTTGGGCTGAGCAATGCCTGGGGCAAGTGGTAACTCACACATCTCACAAGTCATGTTTCTGTATTGCAAGGGTAGACAGCTACCTCATTTCTGCCTGGTTTGTTCACCCTCTTGGGCCTTAAAATACATTTTAAAGATACATTGTTCAGATTTAAGAATTGTTACCTATGGGACAGTTAGTCTAACCAAGCTGTCCTAAAGTCATGGGGGGAGGCAGCCAGGTGGTTGACTCAGCTCCTCTGCTGGAATAGTGAGATTCCTGAGCAAAGGAAGCTTTCCCATGGTACCTGGGCACCACTGACCTTTTCATTCTTTCTCATTCTTCTGGGCCCTCCTGTTGCTGTAGGCCTCCATGAAGAAGTGGACTATTCTGAGAAACTCAAGTTCAGCGATGATGAAGAGGAGGAAGAAGTTGTGAAGGACGGCAGGCCAAAGTGGTAAGGACCCCTGCCCCATCAACGTGAGAGCATTTCTCAGTTTCCATAGCAACCTGGAAGGGCAGATACTGTTTCCAATTTGGGGTGACAGCTGCTGATCATGGCTGTGAAGGAGTAGAGCCAGGGTTTGCCTGCAGGTATGGTATGCGTCCTGTGCATAGTCAACCTCTTCACCACTGTGTCAGTGTGTGCCCGAGTGTGTTATGCAGACCATGTCTTCATGGATTGCTCATGGCTGTTAAGCTCAAAAAGGCTTCTGTGTCTGAGCAAATTTGGGAAACTTCCCTGGGTTCAAATTCTTTTTTTTTGGAGACAGGCTGTCACTCTTGTCACCCAGGCTAGAGTGCGGTGGCATGATCTTGACTCACTACAACCTGTCTTCTGGGCTCAGTGATTCTCTCACCTCGGCCTCCCAAGTAGCTGGGACCACAGATGAGTGCCACCATGCCCAGCTAATATTTCTACTAGAGATGGTGTTTTGCCACATTACCCAGATTTGGTCTCTAGCTGCTGGGCTTAAGTGGTCCACCATGCTACAGCCTCCCAAAGTGCTGGGATAACAGGCATGAGCCATCACACCCAGCTTCAATTAATTAATTAATTTCTCTCTCTCTCTTTCTCTTGCTCCCTCTCTTTCTCTCTCCTTTCTGTCTTTCTCTTCTTTTCTTTTCTCTCTCTGTCTTTCCTTCCTTCCTTCCTGTCTTTTTCTTTCTTTCCTTTCCTTTCTTTTCTTTCTTAGATGGAGTTTCGCTCTTGTTACCCAGGCTGGAGTACAATGATGCCATCTCAGCTCATCACAACCTCCACCTCCTGGGTTCAAGCAATTCTCCTGCCTCAGCCTCCCGAGTAGCTGGGACTACAGGCCCACGCCACCATGCTCGGCTAATTTTTTGTATATTTAGTAGAGACGGGGTTTCACCATGTTGACCAGGTTGGTCTCGATCTGTTGACCTCGTGATCCACCCGCTTCAGCCTCCCAAAGTGCTGGGATTATAGGCGTGAGCCACTACACTTGACCAACTTCTTTCTCTACTCCAGGACCCCTCAGAGGCTTGAACATACACTGAGGTGCAGTGGCTCATGCCTGTAATCCCAACACTTCAGAGGCCAGGGCAGGCAGATCACTTGAGGCCAGGAGTCTGAGACTAGCCTGCCTGAGATGGTGAAACCCCGTCTCTACTAAAAATACAAAAATTAGCCAGGTGTGGTGGCATAGGCCTATAATCCCAGCTGCTCGGGAGGCTGAGGTAGGAGAATTGCTTGAACCCAGGAGGCAGAGGGTGCGGTGAATGGAGATCACTCCATTGCACTCCAGCCTGGGCAGCAGAGCAAAACTCTGTCTCAAAAAATAAAATAAAATAAAAAAATTAAGTATACTGGGGAGGTGGAGAAGCAGAATGGATGCCAGCTTTCCTGAATTTATTTGACCATGTGAATCTTCTCTCTCTCTCTCTCTCTCTCTCTCTCTCTCTTTTGGGTCATTTCCTTGGACTAGTTTAGTTTTACTTTATTTTTTTTTAGAAAGTACTGCATTGTACTCTCATCCCTCCAGTTTTTATCATAATAGTAGTAGCATTTACTAATACTTTTAAAATAATCCCCCAAAATTAGCTGGGCATGGTGTGCACCTATAGTCTCAGCTACTCAGGCGGCTGAGGTGGGAGGACTGCTTGAGTCCAGAAGGTCGAAGCTGCAGTGTAGAATGCCTGTTTGCTTCACATTTATCACTGCTTTCCTTTAAAATGTTATTGTTTTATATCATTTAGATATTAATGCTTTGCTGTTGTCTTAGAAATATTTTTCTCTTTCTGTTTTCTTGTTAATAACTGAATATTGTTCAGTCAAATCCGTGAGTCATCTTTTTCTTTATTTCATCTTTTACTTAAAAGCACCTAAAGTAAGTGCCCATCTTCTGGAAGGAGTTGGTAATAATAATCTGCTACTCCTTCTCTGATGGCACACAGAAAATGAAATTCTGTAATTTTTTTTTATGCTGTTTGATTTCGGCTGAAGTTTTGGATGCAGTCGGGGCATACCTGTGGGTCAGTTCCTGGAACACTAAGCTCAGAAGGAGCTGTGATTAAGAATTTAAATCAAAGGCAAAGACATAAGCTCTTAGAGACTGATTGGAGCAGTAGGACACTCTGTTCCTTGTCTGTTTGAGGCGATGAGAACTGAATATTCCGCTGAAGGACCTGGACATTGGTTTTGGAGGCAATTTTGCCCCTGGCTTTGACCAAGGGCACTTCAAAATCACAGTGCCTGAACTACCTCCTCCTGAAACCTGCTCTTTTCATGTTCTCTAAGCTGGTTGGTGACCTGGTAGAGCATCCACGTCTTATTTGACATCTTTATTTTCTCATACATGATTGGCTCCCAAAACTTGCCCTGACTCTCTCCTGTTTTCATTTTCTCTGAGGCTGTTGGGACCTCCTCCTTTTCCGAACCATCCATGCATCTACCAGTTTATCTCCATCCTTTCATCCTGTCCTCTGTGGCCCATCCTTCACACCCTGCCATAGTCATCTTCTAAAAACACAGATCTTTTTCACAGGTCAGCAGCTTTCCTGTGGTCTCCATTTCTTACAGAGTCAAGTTGGAATCACTAGTAGTTGTTGCCCGTTCTGTAATCTCCTGAGTTGTGTTACCTGCCTTGTCTTCCCTCCCTCCCGATGTACATATGTGTGGGTAGAAACGCAGGCCCACACACCTGCCATCCCCGATTCCCACTTTTCTCTGATCTGCTGTATTCCTGGGCCCTTGTAAATGCTTCGTCCCAGTGCTGTTGCTTCTACTGTGACGTGTCCAGACAAGAATGGCACCCATCTCCCTTCTTGTCCAGCCGCCCCTGCAGCTGTGTTTTGGAACCTCCTTTTCCGTGCTGTGTAGGCTCTGCTTGTCTCTTCTTGCTCTTTTTATTGTGGCACTGTTCAGTAGTCATCTTTGGTTCTTTTGAGGGGCATTTATTGAGCAACCGGCTTGTGCAGAGCATAGGGAGGGAGTGCTACCAAAAGGAATCAGACACACACCTGGGAGTACTGGTTCAAATCTGTGGGGTGTGTCCCCTTAACTTTGATGAGACTCAGCTATTGACTTTTTTTTTTTTTGGAGACGAAGTCTTACCCTGTCACCCAGGCTGGAATGCAGTGGCATGATCTTGGCTCACTGCAACCTCCGCCTCCCAGGTTCATGAAATTCTCCTGCCTTGGCCTCTTGAGTAGCTGGGATTATAGGTGCACACCACCACACTAGGCTAATTTTTGTATTTTTAGTAGAGATGGTTTTCCCATGTCGGTCAGACTGGTTCTGAACTCTTGAACTTGTGATCCGCCCACCTTTACCTCCCAAAGTGCTAAGATTACAGACATGAGCCACCGCACCAAGCCCAGCTACTGTCTTTTCAAAGCAAGAGTGTTCAATCATTTGGCTTCCCTGGGCCACATCGGAAGAGTTGTCTTGGGCAACACATAAAATATACTAATGATAGCTGGTAAGTGAAAAAGTCAGGAAAAATATCTCATAATGTGGTTTTGTTTTGTTTTGTTTTGTTTTTCCCCCGAAACAGAGTCTCATTCTGTTGCCCAGGCTGGAGTGTACTGGCGTAATCTCGGCTCACTGCAGCCTTGACCTCTCAGGTTAAAGCAATTCTCCTGCCAATTCTTCTAACTACTCAGCTTCTTGAGTAGTTAGGATTACAGGTGTCCGCTACCACACCTGGCTAATTTTTGTACTTTTAGTAGAGACTTGGTTTCACCAGGTTGGCCTGGCTGGTCTGGAACTCCTGACCTGAAGTGATCGGCCTGGCTTAGCCTCCCAAAGTGCTAGAGTTACAGGTGTGAGCCACTACACCCACCCTCTCATAATGTTTTAAGAAAGTTGATAAATTTGTGTTGAGCTGCATCCAAAGCCCAAGGCCCTCCTGGGCCACATGTGGCCCTTAGGCTGTGGGTTGGACAAGTTTGTTTTAAAGTGAGGGTCATGAGGACTTATTTTGCCTCAGTGAAATAATGAGTGTGACATGTCCTGTTCATGAGAGTGACTTGATAAATGGTGGTTCTGAATTGTGGAATTCACACAGACATGGTGGGAGTGGTAGTCCATTCTGATGAAGGAAATGATATGGACAGCTAACTTTGGAATTCCCAAGGCCTCTGACCATTGAGATCAGACCTACAAAAACTTAACATCAAATGTGCATTGTCCTAGGAACAGCTGGGACCCTAGGAGGCAGCGGCAGTTGTCAATGAGCTCTGCGGACAGTGTGGACGCCAAGCGGACTCAAGAGGAAGGGAAGGACTGGGCTGAAGCAGTGGGTGCATCCCGTGTTGTCCGAAAGCCACCAGACCCTCAGCCACCATCCAGGAAGCTTCATGGCTGGGCAGCAGGCCCTGACTACCAGGTACCAAGGGCCCTTGGCTGGTCTATGTATTTGAACTTCTCTGAGTTCAGTGGCTGGGTTTCTGAAAAAGTCCTGGGTGGGCATTTCCTTTTCATTTTTAGATTTCTTCTTCTTCTTTTTTTTTTTTTTTTTTTTAAATAATCTCTTCATAGAGGCAAGGTCTCACTGTGTTGCCCAGGCTGGTCTCAAACTCCAGCTCAAGCGATGCAATGTGTTAGGATTTACAGGTATGAGCCACCATGCATGACTTATTTTTATTTTTTTTGAGATAAAGTCTTGCTCTATCCTCCACCTCTCACCTTCAAGCCATCCTCCCATCTCAGCCACCTGAGTAGCTTGGGACTACTGGTGTGCCACCACTCCTGGCTCATTTCATTTATTTTTTGTAGGGACGAGGTCTTACTATGTTGCCAAGGCTGGTCTTGAACTCCTGGGCTCAACGGATCCTCCTGCCTCAGCCTCCCAAAGTGCTGAGATTATAGGCATGAGCCACTGTGTTTGTCCTATTGTTTTCATTAAAAAAAAAATTAAAACAGCTGGGCATGGTGGCTCATACACTTTGTGAGGCTAAGGCAGGAGGATCACTTGAGACCAGGAGTTCAAGACCATCCTGGCCAACACAGCAAAACCCTGTCTCCAAAAAAAAAAAAGAAAAGAAATCATTAAAACAGCTTCAAAGTGATAGAAAAAAAGTTGGAAGTACAGTACAAACGATGCTTTTTCTGAACTAATTAAATGCGTAGTCAACCTGATGAGTCTCTTTACACTGTGGTGCTTGTTTCCTACCAAATTCCACCCGGGTAACCACAATGACTTCCAGGAAATTAGTCTTGATCATTGATTGCCATTTAATCTGCAGACGCCATTCATCTTTTACTGGTTGTCCCATTAATGTCCTTACCTGAAAGAATCCAGTTCAGAATCACCTATCTTTAGTTTTCTTCAGTCTGGATCAGTTCCTCAGCCTTCCCTTAACTTTCATGACTTTGAGGCTTTGAAACGTTACAAACCAGTGGAATGCCCCTCAAATTGGGTTTATTATCATCTTTATTGTGAAGAGGTCCAAGATTGCCATCCTTGGCAGGGATCTCTCAGACATGACTGGACTTTTCTCATTGCATGCTACCAAGGCAACCGTGCCTTCACCCTATCTCCCTCTGGCTATGTTCACTTTAGTCTCTTGATTAACAGGGTCCTTGCCAGGTTTCATATTGTAGAGGTAACTCTTTTCCTTATTTGTAGTTGATAAGAATTTTGTTGGGGGAAACTTTGAGACTGAATATCCTGTTTCTGATCAAGCTTTCAGTTTATTTATTTATTTACATCAGTGGGTGATAATCTGCTGCTGTCACCCGGTTGGCCATCGGGAGCCCTGTCAGGCCAGTGTGTGTCCTTTTTAACTGTCTTCATCCTTTTATGGAGCCCTTCCTTCATCTCTCCTGGACTCATCTTGTTCTTGACCTGTCTTGTCTGGGATCAGCTCTTTCACCATGAAGTCCTAGTTCTTTTTATATACGCAGGGCGTTTTTTAGAAACCAGTGTCTGAGCCCCAGCAGGCTCCTTGCTGTTGGGGTGTCACTGCTCCTGGACTTCCTCAGCGGACATTTGCGGGGGATGTATTTAGGCATATACATGTGTGTACAAATACATTTATACCTGTGTTATTTCTGTATCTGTCCAGGTTGAGAACCCTGTGTTCTCATCAATACCTCCAGTTCCACAGACTCCATTCCTGTTCCTCCCAGTGCATGTTTGCACTTCCTTTCTCTAACAGTGCAAAGCTGTCCCTTGTACTTATACTCACTTGCTCAGTCTTCCTGTGTGTGACCAATCTCATTTCTGCTGCCACGCTCTCTCCCTTGCACATATGCCCTCCTTGCCCACTCAGGTGTCATTGTCCCCACTCCTGGATGCCCTGAGTGTCCCTGCCAGGCCAACTCTGCCTATGAATGTCCCCCTCATCCAGCTTGGGCTCTAGCCCCACACCTTCACGTGCATGCCCTCCTCCCCTTGCCTGGACTCTTGACCATTTGGAGTGCAGTGAGCCACCAGGACTCCTTGACACCAGGTGCCTGGCTTGCCTTGCCACACCTGATGACACTGGGACTGGACTGTTCAGGAATGGGAGAGCTGGGGAAGGGAGAGTCATGACTTTGAATACACTGACTGGGTAAAGCCTGTTGTTTTCAATGCTCTTTGCTATTTATTTTTTATTATTCGTTTTTGGAGACAGAGTCTCGCTCTGTCACCCAGGGTGGAGTGCATTGGCGTAATCTTGGCTCACTGCAACTTTTGCCTCCCGGCTTCACGTGATTCTCCTGCCTCAGCCGCCCATATAGCTGGGATTACAGGCATGCATCACCACGCCTGGCTATTTTTGTATTTTTAGTAGAGATGGGGTTTCACCATGTTGGCCAGGCTAATATTAAACTCCTGATCTGCCTGCCTTGGCCTCCCAAAGTGCTGGGATTACAGGCATGAGCCCCCGCGCCCATCCTGTTTCTTGCTATTTAAAGGGCTCCTATTCCACATTCTTATAAGAGGAAAATGCCCTTAAGCTGCAGTCTGCTAATTGAATACCTATTATACACACGCATAGGCACATACATAAGTGCTGGGTACGAGAGACCCAAAAGTGAAACTAAACAGGCACAGTGCCACTGCTCTTGGAAATTATTCTGCAGTTAATCCACATTTTCATTTACAGGTTGAGATTGCTCAGTATTCCCTATTTTTTTCCTTTTCATCAGCCAAGAAGTAGTGCTTATCAGTATTCAAAGGTTTCACTTTAAGGTACTCATAACAGCACTATAAATTAACTAAAAACATCAGTAGTGATGAAATCTATATACTTATGTATCCAAGGAATCTTCTGACCAAATTTCTTTTTTTTTTTTTGAAATAGAGTCTCACTCTGTCACCCAGGCTGGAGTGCAGTGGTGCAATCTCAGCTCACTACAACTCCTCCTCCTGGGTTCAGGCAATCCTCCTGCCTCAGCCTCTCGAGTAGCTGGGATTACAGGTGTGTGCCACCACACCCAGCTAATTTTTATATATTTAGTAGAGATGGGGTTTCACCACGTTGCCTAGGCTGGTCTTGAACTCCTGACTTCAGGGGATCCACCTGCCTTGGCCTCCTAAAGTGCTGGGATTATAGGTTTAAGCCACTGCCCCCAGCCTCTTCTGACCAAATTTCTTAAAAAATGGTCTTAGTTTAAATTACTTTGCGGAACATTTAGTCTGTAAAGTGATCACTAATTTCAGGGCAGTGTAGAAAGGCACATCAAAGGTCTTGTCTGTACATGTGCCCTCTGGGTCTATTATTTCTTTTCTAGGAAATTATCTGAAGGAAGTAATCAGGGTTAGGCATGAAGGCTGATGTGCAGTAGTGTATTTAATCCCATGGGATAAAGGCAGTTAGGCAGTTTATGGTATGAGCCATGAGCTGATCAACACACAGCCATTAGAAAGATATAGACAGATGCTCATGCTCAACGGCAAAGAGAAAGGAAAGTGCACATTTCGGCTCCAATGATATTATGTAAATGTACCTTCATGCTTCTAAATTGGAAGTTTATAATCTTATGATTCCAATACTTATCTCTAGCTTATGAGAAGTTAATTGTTAGGAAACTCCTTGACTACAGTAAGTTTTTGTATATTTCGTTTACTGAAGTACAATTAACCTACAAGAAAGGCCTAAATCCTGTTTCTTTGGTTTGATTTTTAACAGTTATATACATCTGTGTCATTAGCATTCAAAACAGGAAGTCCTGCCTTTTTCTGATAGTCAAATCTTACTAGAATTTCAGTGGCCAGAACTCAGGTGCCACCTGTCCATCAATTGTGCTGTTGCAAGGTCTGCATGCAGCTTTGCTCCTGTAGACCAGTAAGAAGGGGTCCCAGTGTTAAGAGCTTTTCACTCTGCATTTTGGCACTGTGGTTATCCAGTAACTGGCAACCAGCAAGAAACTCAGAAATGGATAAATACCCAAAAGAGATTTTTTTAGACACGCTTTTTTGTTTTGTTTTGATGGGGTCTGGCTCTGTTCCCTGGCTGGAGTACAGTGGTGTGATCTTGGCTCACTGCAGCCTGCTGGGCTCAAGTGATCTTCCTGCCTCAGCCTCCTGAGTAGCTGGGACCATATAGGCATGTACCCACGCCCAGCTAATTTTTGTAATTTTTATTTTTGTAAATACAGGGTCTCATCGTATTGCCCAGGCTGATCTCAAGCTCCTAGGCTCATGCAGTCTCCCGGGTTGGCCCCCAAAAATGCAGGAATTACAGGCATGAGCCACTGCACCTGGCTAGACATGCCTTTCTATATAAAGAGCACTTTGAAGCTTTATGTCTGACAATGAATTTTATTTTCCTATGGTTCTTTCTATCCAGGGGTCCAGAGGTTTATGTATTTTCGTGCGGGCAGGAGTAGCGGTTTCCTGACCCAGGAATGATCAGTGTGTGGCTTCCTGTTGCAGTTCATTAGCCGTGGAGGCCCTTAGCTTGTGTGCCCGTCAGCAGTGATAGGCGTGTTTCACGTGTGTGGTTGCAGTGTAGAGTGCTTTGCAAACATGGTTTCACCTTCACAATCCTAAGAGCTTGCTTTGTTGTCCCCATTTTAAAAACAAGGAAGTGAGGAAATAAGGTGTAGAGAGTTGACATTTGGCATAAACCACATTCCACATACAGCAGAGGCCAGAGTAGGATTTTAATCCAGCTCTGTCTATCACACGCCTGCACTGCCTCTTGAAGGTGCTTGAGGATTATGGGAGGAGAACTGATCCTGAAATGGGAGTGGTCCCTGTATCCCAGGTCTGGGACCTGCCGCCTTATCTCAGAGACGTTCTCTTTGCAGAAGTCCTCGATGAGCAGCATGTTCCGGCAACAGTCCATCGAGGACAAGGAGGACAAGCCCCCACCGAGGCAGAAGTTCATTCAGTCAGAGATGTCTGAGGCGGTGGAGCGAGCCCGAAAGCGCCGGGAAGAAGAGGAGCGCCGAGCCCGGGAAGAGAGGCTGGCTGCCTGTGCCGCCAAACTCAAGCAGCTGGACCAGAAGTGCAAGCAGGCACGGAAGGCAGGTGAGGCCCGGAAGCAGGCAGAGAAGGAAGTACCCCGATCTCCAAGTGCTGAGAAGGCATCGCCCCAGGAAAACGGCCCTGCTCTCTGCAAAGGTAAGGGCTGGGCCCTCTTCCCACCAAGTGGAAACCCCGGCCTGTTGTCATTGGCTTGTTACTTGCACCTGCCTTCCTCCTTAGCTAGCAGAACCTCTGGCTTATGATGAGATCGTACTGGGAAGCATCAGTTGGTAAAAGCATAGGCCTGGGTCAAATGCCTGAGTCCTGATCCTATTTGAAATTCTTTTTTATAATTTCAACTGTTATTTTAGATTATTAAGGGTGTACATTGTGTGATGCTGAAGTTTGGGATGCAAGTGACCCTGTCACCCAGGTAGTGAGCATAGTGCCCAGTAGGTAGTTTTTCAGCCCTTTTTCCTTCTCCCTCTGAATGTCTTAAACTAGCTGGTGAGCACCTCACCTCTCTGGAGCCTGTTTCTTTGTCTGTGAAATGGGATGAGTATGTACCTGCCATCATGCTGAGGGGTGTATAGCATGCTCCAGTTTCTGGGACATAGAAATCATGCATCTGCTCATTGATGATACTCATCATCACAGTTATTATCATTGTCCCTGCCCAACCAAAGTCACAAGTGCCCCAGGACTTTAATAAAACCACAGATCCTTTAACCTAGAATAAAAAAATAAGCCCCCTTGCTTGGTAGAATAATTTTCCTGTTGTTGATTCTAAAAGAAATGGATCACGTGCACTGCCCCCCTTTTTTTGATAGGGTCTCACTCTGTTGCCCAGGCTGGAGTGGTGGGATCTCAGCTCGCTGCAACTTCCCCCTGCCAGGTTCAAGTTATTCTCCTGCCTCAGCCTCCAGAGCAGCTGGGATTACAGGCATGTGCCACCACGTCCAGCTAATTTTTGTATTTTTAGTAGAGACAGCGTTTCATCATGTTGGTCAGGCTGGTTTGGAGCTCCAGACCTCAAGTGATCCACCCGTCTTGGCCTCCCGTAGTGCTGGGATTATAGGCATGAGCCACCGTGTCTGGCCGACATGGCCCTGTTTAAGAGTGATTAAACCACGCTATATTAAGCAGAGTGTCACAGTTTTAAAGAATATAATCAGCTGTTTTCTGTGTAATTCTTAAAAATAAACTCAGATCAGCTCTTGTTAGAAGACAAGGGGATGTTTGAAGCTCTGAAAGCTTCTCGGGTGATTGGTCACCTGAGAGTCCTAGTGCCCCTTTGGCCAGGGAACTCATCTTTAGTTTTCCTTCTGATCTCCTTTTATTAAAGGTTGAGTGAGGGCTGTGCCAGTCCTGTGGCGAAGTTGCACTGAGCATTTTCTGCTTGTCAGGCACTGTTTTCAGTATATATCTGTACTTAATTTAATTCTCACAGAAGCCCTGGGAGTATGCATGGTGGTTATTCTTATTTGCAGATGAAAAAATGGCCAGGGAGAGCCTGGAAAATGTGCTCAGGTAGCACAACCTTTCTCTTGTTTTTTTTTTTTTATCCTTGCCAGCAGGAAGTCATACACAGCCTTTTCGTATGTTGAATTTCTGCTGTTCAGATGTTGGATATGTGAGCTGTCACCGAGTTCCTGGCTGTTCTCTATCAGTCCTTTTTTTTTTTGAGTTGGAATCTTGCTCTGTCATCCAGGCTGGAGTGTGATGGTGCAATCTGACTGCAACCTCTGCCTCCTGGGTTTATGCCATTCTCTCACCTCAACCTCCCATATAGCTGGGATTACAGGTGTGGACCCACCATGCCTGGCTAATTTTTGTGTTTTCAGTAGAGATGGGGTTTCACCATGTTAGCCAGGCTGGTCTTGGACTCCTGACCTCAAGTGATCAGCCACCTTGGCCTCCCAAAGTGCTGGGATCACAGGTTTGAGCCACCATGCCTGGCCTTACTAGTCCTTTTTAATAAAACGTCTTTCACCTGAAATCAGATTTCAGCTCTGCTGGTGACTGTGTGACCCTGGACATCATCTAACTTCTTGACTTTAGTGTCCTAGTCTGTAAGGTGACAGCAAGTGAAGCCTCCTCACGTGTGTTGTGGGGAGTCCCTGAGCTTGTGCATGTGGTACGTTTGGCGTAGGGCCAGGGTTCAGGGACGTAACTGTTCTAGCTGTAGAGTGTTTGTGCCAACAGGAAGAAGTACTTGCTTGTAAACATTTGGTTGGCTGAGCTCCTGTGAGCTTACTGTGGTATTTCTCTACTGGTATATTCTCTAGGCTCCCCAGAATTTCCTGCTCAGGAGACCCCCACCACGTTCCCAGAAGAGGCACCCATAGCGTCTGCAGCAGTGGCACAGAGCAGCAGCAGTGAGGAAGAGGCCAGAGAGGCAGGGTCCCCTGCACAGGAGTTCAGCAAGTATCAGAAGTCCCTTCCTCCCCGATTCCAGCGCCAGCAGCAGCAGCAGCAGCAGCAGCAGCAGGTAAACAGATGAGATGATAAAAACCTGTGATAAATGGGCCTGAGTGCTGAGTGGATGTCCCCCCACCATCCCCATGCCCACCTCCAACTTAGACCAGAACACCCCTTCTGTGCCCCCAAGAACAGTGGAGACATTGAGAGTTGCACCTCAAAACTTGGAACGTTGGTAGATCAGCCCCTGGCCGTTATTTACGTTTCCAGGTGGAGGTCCCTTGTTGTGGTTAATTGACCTTGTTTTCTAATATTGGAAAGGAACCTATTTCATGTTGTATGTAGTGAACTCCATTTTTCTTGTGTGCAGGATGGTTGCTTATTTCAGAGCAGTACACCTTGGACATTCCTTAGAGGACAGTGGGTCCTGCCCTGGGGTCCTCCCAAGATGTAAGGGAGGCCAGTGAGTTAAGAGCTGTCATAGAGAGGCATGCCACCTTTGGGTTAAGGATGTAGGTTTGAAAGTTTCAAGTTGCACAGCTTGGGCTCCCTTCCTGATGGTGCTGCTGAACTAGTTGCGCATGACCTTGGATGGGTCAGTCATGCCCCTCTCGGCCATATTTTTTCACGTGTAAACCAGGAAGAACGAATACCTGCCTTTCAACATGGCAGAGCGTTTCATGCCATAACGCCTATGAACTGGTTTATTGGTGTTACCATTGTTGGCTTTTTATAAACCTTATTTTTTTCATGAACTTTATAAGGGACCTACTTTTTGTCCTAAAGATTGTGTGAATAGTGGTTGTAATTCCACCAATCTCTCCTAGTCCTGATAGTCTTGCACTCATCAGCAATCATGCCTACTAGAGTAGTAATAAGTAAAGGAACCCAGTAGCCATTACAGAGAAATAGTACATTTTGATGGGAAACTGAGATGATACATAGATGTTACTTAGTGCACACCCAACAGCAAGGTGTGCAGTAAATTATTACTAAAGCTAACTGAAAATGTTTCAAAATGTGTGTGCCATGGAGAAACAAACCAAGGTCTTAAGGCTTTTCCCAGTATCTCTCTTAATTACCTTTAAACTTCTCTCCCCAGCCTCTTCTCTCCTCTAGGCCCCTGGGAGCATTCCAGGCACTGCCTTTAATTGCTTTTAGAGCATGGTAGTGTAGGCAAGCACTGCACAGTTACTCATGTTCGTGGGGTGTAGAATTACTGACTGGGGAGATCTCTGGAATTATCCATGCCAAACCTAGCAGTGACAATTCCTCTGGGCAGTTGAGGTGTGGAGGGAAGTGATGGGTAAGTCCTTCCTTAAGAATAGAAGGTCTGAAAGCACCAAGGCAGCCTGTCTGGTCATATTCCCTGGGGACCTAGGGTCTAGACAGGATGAGGAGGTGGGAAATGGAGGCCCACAGCCTTCTCTGTGGACTGGGACAGTGAGTGACTCAAGTCTCTTGATTGATGAGCTATATTTATTGAGTGCATTTAGTAGGTGATGGGAGCGCCAATAGAACTGTCCAGAGAATCAGCTGAGGATGTGCTATAGACTGCCAGGAGGGTTGGCAACCTTTCTGTTTGTGGAAAGGAATGGTGTGTCCTGGAGGCCACTTGGGTGTCCTCAGAGTGTGATGCAGCAGTGAGTCCTGGCCTCAAGGCCAATTCAGGGTTCCTTTAGAAATTAGTGCCCAAGGTCACTGATGGGATAAGAAGCAGGGTCTGAAATCAGGCAGGGGCCTTGATTTTGAATAGTTCACTGATGCTTTCTCTTTACCCATTTGTGCAAATGTTCTGTATCCCAAGTGTGGTGCTGGGGGCAAGAGTGCACAGGGAGTCTCCTAGGGTTTGGTGAGGGTTGCCACCAGTAAAAACCATCAGCTGCTATGAGTACAACAAAAGAGCACCTGTTCTGTGGGAACAGAACCAGGGATCTGGTCTAGTCTGGGGGTTATGACAGGCTTCCTAGAGGATGCGTTTAAGCTGGAAACCTGCATTTAGGGATGGAGGAAAGAGGTGCTTACCTAGGGGCCCCAGTGTGTTCCCATGGCCTGAAATGGGTGGCAGGGATATATGGAGCAGAAAGGAGAGGGCCAGTTGTGCCAGGCAAAGCTAGAGAAGCAGACTGGGCAAGGGCACACGGGACCCAGCCCTCATCCTAACCCCACAGGTCATGCATAGCCTCATAGGATTTGAGCCGTTAGTCAGAGAGCAGTGGAGAACCACTGAAGGGCCTTATGAGCTAGGGGTTGACATATTGGGGGTGGGGTGTGTGTGGGAAAAGATCACCCTAGTTGGGGTTGGAGATGGATTGAAGGGGCCAGGAGGGAGCAGGGAAGGGATGCTGACTCCCCTCAGGTGGTAGCTGCAGGAGGGAAGAAGCGTCCAGCGTCAAGACGTTCTGTGGGAGGCTGCTGGTGGGTTCCAGGAGTGTCTGATCTAAGTGAAAACCTAGCCTGTCTCATGTAGCACAGGTGCAGATGGGCCTCCATTGTGATAATGGTATGTCGGTCCACCAGCCTTGGACAAGGACCTCAGCTTGCAAGCTGTAACACACTGGAGGCTCCCCCTTGAGCAGCTGCCCATCCCTCCCCTCCTTGGTCTTCTGTTTTGGGTGGGCTTTCTGTGCTGCCTGCTGGAAAGCTGGAAGGGCATGTGTTAGGTAGCATCTCTGCCCCCCCTGCCGCACCTGCCTGACTAAGTCTCTCTTTCTGCCTGGGCAGGAGCAGCTGTACAAGATGCAGCATTGGCAGCCGGTGTACCCCCCACCCTCCCACCCGCAGCGTACCTTTTACCCACACCACCCCCAGATGCTGGGCTTCGATCCCAGGTGGATGATGATGCCTTCCTACATGGACCCGCGCATCACACCCACTCGGACCCCAGTGGACTTCTACCCCTCCGCCCTGCATCCCTCAGGTAAGCACTGTGGTCTAATGGTTCATACCTATAGCACCCAGGATAGCGCAGTGGTCAAGAGTGTCAGTCTCAACACACCTGGATTTTGGTCTGGTTCTTTGTCAAGTACACGACTGGTCTGAGTTTCAAAGTACTCACTTGCAAAGTGTAGGTATAATGATAGTTCTTTCATAAAGAATTGTTGGGAAAGTCATGAACATCATGTATCATAAATTACTTTAATTAATTTTGGATTTCTGCTGTGTTTTTTTGTCCCTCTCCTCATTCTTAACATTCTTTGTGCTTTTTCTTTTTTCCTTGATTAATCTTTCCCAAGGTTTGTCTAGTGCCTTTTTAAAATCAGTTTTTCGGTTTCTTCATTCCTCTTTCTTATTTGGGTTTTATTTTAATAATGTCTGCTTTTTTTTATTAGTGCCTTTAAAATATATGATTAGTTTATTAATTTTTGGCTTTATGGCTCTCTTTGTGGTGTTAATTTCTAATGTGGCTGCTTTTTGGTCAGATAATACGGTCAATGTGACATAGACCAGGGGTCAGCAGACTTCTACAAATGACCAGATAGTAAGTCTTTTAGGCCTTGATCAGGTAGTCGGTTTTGGTGTTGCAGGACAAAAGCCGCCACAGTCAATCAATGGTAAGTGAATGAGCATTGTTGTTTCTCCGTAAAACATTGCTTGTAAAAACGGCAGTAGGCTGAGTTTTGTTTAATGGCTGTAATTGCTGACCAACTTCTGACTTAGGTTGGTTGACATTTGTTGGATTTCCTCTGTTTCCTCTTACGTGGAGATTCTTTTTTAACATTCTACATTTGCCTGAAAAGGTTGTATTCTCTGGTTGGATATAGTCCATTAAATTGAGCATGCTAATTGTGTTGTGCAACTATCTTCATCATTGTAAGTTTTTATCCCTCTGACCAGCTACTATAAAAAGTGTTTTAAAATGTCCCACTATGATTATGGATGTGTCACATCTTCTTTGGGAGTCTTTCAGTTTTTGCTTTGTCTATCTGGAGGCATACCTGTTCCTTCTATCCTTACATAGCACCCTCGTTGTCATTAATTGTGCTTTCTATATTTATTGTCTACTTTGTCTGATAGTAATCTAATTATTCTAGTTTTCTGTTGATTAGTACTTATTTGAAGTCTTTTGTTCCGATTTTTACTGTTAGCCTCTTTGAGCCTTGATTTTTGGGGAGTGTATTTTTGTATCTACAAGATGTGTGTGGTTTTACCACTCTGAAGGCCTATGACTTTTAATTGTAAAAGTTGGTCCCTTTACATTTATTGGGATTATTATCATTTGAGACAGAGTCTTACTCTGTCGCACAGGTTAGAGTGTAGTGGTGCTATTTCAGCTCATTGCATCCTCTGCCTCCCAGGTTCAAGCAGTTCTCCTGTCTCAGACTCCCAAGTAGCTGGGATTACAGGTGCCCACCACCATGCCCAGCTAATTTTTGTGTTTTTTTGTTTTTGAAACAGGGTCTCGTCTCACTCTGTCACCCAGGCAGGAGTGCAGTGGTGTGATCTCGGCTCACTGCCACCTCTGCCTCCCAGGTTCAAGTGATTCTTCTGCCTTTATCTCTGGAGTAGCTGGGATTACAGGAACCCGCCACTATGCCCGGCTGATTTTTTTTGTATTTTTAGTAGAGACAGATTTTGCTATGTTGGCCAGGCTGTTCTCAAACTCCTGACCTCAAGTGATCTGCCTGCTTTGGCCTCCCAAAGTGTTGGGATTACAGGCATGAGCCACCTTGCCTGGCCTTATTGGGATTATTATATTTAGATTTTCCAACTATAATATTTTATGTATTCCACTTTTATTCCTTTCTATGCCTTTTCTTTTTATTCTTGCCTTTTCTTGGTCCTATTCTTGTTTTTCTTTTCCTTCTACATTTTATTTCTATATGTTAGTGGTTACATGAAAATTCTGACATGCACCTTCAACTAAGCAAAGCATAATCAGTATCTTTACCCTTTGCCTGAAATTTGATTACCGCCTCCATCAGTCTTGTGGTCTTGGCTTTGTATTTCAGTTCATTCTTGTTTTTATGCCCATCAAATAGGGGTGTGTGTGTGTGTGTGTGTGTGTGTGTTTGTGTTTTCCCCTGTCACCTAGGCTAGAATGCAGTGGCATGATCTTGGCTAACTGCAACTTCTGCCTCCAGGGTTCAAGCAATTCACCAGCCTCTACCTCCTGAGTAGCTGGGATTACAGGTGTGTGCCACCACGCCCAGCTAATTTTTGTATTTTCAGAAGAGACAGGGTTTCCCCATGTTGTCCAGGCTGGTCTCAAACTCCTGACCTCAGGTGATCTGCCTCCTTGGCCTCCCAACGTGCTGGGATTACAGGTGTGAGCCACCATGCCTGGCCTATTTTTGTTTTTTAATCCAGTCTGTGATTGTTCAGATGTGCCTATATACTTACCAATTTTCTTACTGCTTTTTCCTTGTTTTATCTTTTTTCTTCCCTCTGGGATTCATTTTACTACTTCACGAAGTACATTCTTTATGCTCTTCAGTTCTTTTGTTTGTTTGTTTGTTTGTTTGTTTATTTGAAACTGAGTCATGCTCTGTTGAGCAGGCTAGAGTGCAGTGGCGCAATTTCAATTCACTGCACCCTCCGCCCTCCCAAGTTCAAGCGATTTTCCTGCCTCAGCCTCCTGAGTAGCTGGGACTACAGGCGCTCGCCACCACACCTGGCTAATTTTTGCATTCTTAGTAGAGACAGGGTTTCACCATATTGGCCAGGCTGGTCTCAAACTCCTTACCTTGTGATCCACCCACCTCGGCCTCCCAAAGTGTTAGGTTTACTAGTGTGAGCCACTGTACCTGGCCATGTTTTTCAGTTCTTAAAAGTTTTGGCAGTAGATTATCTAGTGCCAAAAAGTCTGTGTCTAAAAAGTCTTTATATCACCCTGAATGCTAGTGTAGCTGGGTATAGAATTCTGAGTTGACAGTTATTTTCTTTTAGTGCTGTGAAGGTGAATTTTCTTTTTCTTTTTCGAGACAGAGTCTTACTCTCTCACCTAGTCTGGAGTGTAGTGCACGATCTCAGCTCACTGAAGCCTCTACCTCCTAGGCTCAGGTGATCCTCCTGCCTTAGCCTCCTGAGTAGCTGAGATTATAGGTGAATATCACCATGCCTGGCTAATTCCATTTCTTTTGGCTTCTCTTGCTGCTGAAATGGAAACAGTAGAGTATCATTTTTGGATACTTAGTTTTCTCTCTGGGTACTTTAAAAATCTTCTCTTTGTCTTTGGTGTCCTGTAGTTCTGTCTCAATGTGTGGTGTCTAGGTATACATCTATATTTTATTCTGCTTAATATTTATTGTGCTTGAATCTAAAAATGTTTAGTCTTTAATCACTTTTGGAAATTTGTCTTCTAATTATCCCTTCAAATATTGCCACTTCCTCATTCTTTCTAGGGCTTCCATTAGGTTTATTTTATACATTCTCATTCTGTTTCCCAAGTGTCTTAGAAAATATGAAAGATAGGCTCTCTCTGTGTTGGCCTTTTGGGAAATTGCCTCAGGGCTATTTTCCAGTTTTCTCCCCTGCTGTGTCTTACCTGCTTTCTGATGTTCCCAATGGGCTTTTAATTTTAGTGACTGTATAAAAAATACACACACACACACACACACACACACACACACACACACAACCCACCCCTTTTTTTGGAGACCACAATCTCGCTCTGTCACCCAGGCCAGAGTGCAGTGGCACAGTGCAACTTCTGCCTTCTGAGTTCAAACGATTCTCCTGCCTCAGCCTCCTGAGTAGCTGGGAGTATAGGCCTGCACCACCACACCCAGCTAATTCTTATTTTTTAAGTAGATAACGGGGTTTGACCATGTTGGCTAGGCTGGTCTCGAACTCCTGGTCTCAAGTGATCTTCCTGCCTTTGGCTCCCAAAGTGCTGGGATTACAGGCATGAGCCACTGCTCCTGGCCCAGTGACTATATATTTTTATTACTCGGGTTTGTTGAGCAAATCTCATTTTTTCTTAGGTTTTTAATTCTTCCTTTTATGCTTTTAATGATTTAGAAGATAATTTTCTGGCATTTAACAGATTGTTCTGTTAATTGAAGTTCTTGGGGAGGCATCTAATCCTGTGGGCTCATCATCAACTCATGGTGGGTTACCTTTCACATATGTTCTGATAATTTGGGACCGCGAGCTCAGTTTCAATAGCATTTTAACTGTGGTGATCCAGGATTGTTCAGGTCAAGACCGTGTTTCTTCAGAGTGTTTTTGTTTCCTTCTGACAGCCTAGAACCAGCTTTTATATTAATTTAGGAGGTTTCTGGACTGTTTGGGGAGGTAGAAATCTGGTCTCCCATCCCTTAAACCCCTGTGAAAGTAAGCATATGTGTCTGAATTCCTGGGAGGGCACAGTTGTTTCCCTGCCCTGTATAGAAAGGCTTCATCTCTTGTCCTGTGAGTATTAATGATCAAGCCCATAACTGACAAATGTGCTTTTCTTGCCCCCCTTCCTTGGGCTTCACAGGTCTTTGAACCAATCAGGGTGCATGCATGTGTGCCTTCAGAGGTCCTCAGGTCAGGAAAGAGATTAAGAGCCCTGTGATGTGTAGGTGGGTGGGTTTCTGTATCCACGTGAAGGTTGTCTACCCTCAGATTGGAGCGGGGCTTTCTAAATGAGATGACGTAGATCAGTCTTTGCCTTCTTCAGGACTGATGAAGCCCATGATGCCCCAAGAGTCCCTCAATGGGACAGGCTGTCGCTCTGAGGATCAGAACTGTGTGCCCTCACTCCAAGAAAGAAAAGTGACCCCCATCGATCCAGCCCCTGTGTGGAGCCCAGAGGGCTACATGGCACTGCAGAGCAAGGGCTACCCGCTCCCACATCCAAAATCGAGCGACACCTTGGCTATGGACATGCGTGTCAGGTGAGATGAAGCCTGGTCCTGCTGCCTTGCTACTGAAGGAAGATTCAGGTCCTAATCAAGAGGGCTCTGGCCTGAGCTACCACCCTAGGAGACACTGCCCATGGGAGACTGGCTTCTCTGAAGGAGCCCCTCTGGGGAAGGAGAGTGTGAGGAGGGTTGCTTGAATGCTTTGGGCAAGAGGCCCTTTGCTGATGGTGAGACTTAAGGTGAAGGAGAAGTCCTGGGGGTCATCAAGCCCTAGGCACAGGGCAGGTGGGTGGGGGCTTCATAAGGCAGTTGGGGTCCAGAGTGTGGGTCTTGGCTCCTTTCTGTGGAAGTAAACAGAGTTAGCCCTGCAGCCCCCTGGCCCCAGACTCTTCACGGCCTCCCAGGCTCCAGCTTGCTCTTTGACCCAGAGGATTGCCCGGCTCCTCTGTCTCCAGGGGGCAGGCCACGCCCACCTGGCAGCCACGACACTCTTCACTCTCATGGACTCCAGGGGCCACCAACCAATTCATGGCCTGGCATTTCTGAGACATATTTAAAGATAGAGCAAATGTTGTTGCGTATGTTTTTTTTTTAAAAAAAAACTATCTTTAAAAATTCTTTTTTTCTTTTTAAAACTAAGCTCTGTGTTCAGCATGGAAAACAGGAACCAGGCTCCAATCATGTTGACTGATTTTTCTGGTTCCTTTTCAGGAATGAAAGCTCTTTCTCTGCCTCACTCGGAAGGTCAGGGGGCGTAAGTGCCCAGCACGATCTCTTTGAGGAGAGAGGGGAGGAGTACTTGAGTGCTTTTGACAAGAAGGCCCAAGCAGACTTTGACAGCTGTATCTCTTCTCAAAGAATAGGCCAGGAGCTTTTGTTTCCACCCCAAGAAAATATTCAGGATGCGGGTACTCCTGGGGGTCACACCCAAAACCTCAGGTGTTCCCCATTGGGGCCTGACTTAGTCCCAGATGAGAAAAAGCCAGAGTGTGGCAGTTGGGACGTTAGCCACCAGGCAAAGACCGCTGACACAGCCCATGGTGTCGAGCGGGAGGCACCCCGGGAGGGGACAGCCTTTAACATCTCCTCCTGGGACAAGAAGGGGAGCCCCAAGAAACAGCTGTCCTCAGAGCCTGAATGGACTCCTGAGCCCCGGAGCTCCAGCAGCCAGCACCCGGAGCAGATGGGCAGGACCCGGAGGTCGGGACCCATCAAGAAACCAGTTCTAAAAGCCCTCAAGGTGGAAGACAAGGAGAAGGAGCTCGAGAAGATGAAGCAGGAGCTAGGGGAGGAGAGCGCCCGGCTGGCCAAGGAGAAGGAGCAGAGCCCTACAGCAGAAAAGGATGAGGATGAAGAGAACAACGCCTCTCTGGCCAACTCCTCTGCTGCCACTTTGGAGGACAAGGGCCCTGCCCACACCACTTTTGGCCACGAGGCCACCAAATTTGAAGAGGAGGAGAAATCTGACAAGGCCTGGGAAGCCAGACCCCAACGAGAGTCCAGCGATGTTCCCCCCACAAAGAGAAATAACTGGATCTTTATTGATGAGGAACAAGCCTTTGGGGTCAGAGGGCAGGCCCGGGGCCGGGGCCGTGGTTTCAGAGAGTTCACTTTTCGTGGTCGGCCTGCTGGTGGCAACGGGAGCAACCTCTGCGGCGGGGGGGTCCTGGGGGCCCGCAGCATCTACTGCAGCAGCCAGCGCAGTGGCCGTGGCCGGGGCCTGCGAGAGTTTGCTCGGCCAGAGGACTGCCCCAGAGCCAAGCCCAGGCGGAGAGTTGCCAGTGAAACCCACAGCGAGGGCTCAGAGTATGAAGAACTTCCCAAGCGGCGCCGGCAGAGGGGCTCCGAGAACGGGAACGAAGGCTCACTTCTGGAGAGGGAGGAGAGCGCCTTAAAGAAAGGCGACTGCAGAGATTCTTGGCGGTCCAACAAGGTGTGCTCCGAGGACCATAACGGTCTAGATGCCAAGAGCCGAGGCCCTCGGGCCTTTGGGCGTGCCCTCCCTCCGCGGCTGAGCAATTGCGGGTATGGACGGAGAACCTTCACTTCCAAAGAGTCACCCCACTGGCAGAGCAAAAGTCCTGGCAGCTCTTGGCAGGAATATGGCCCTTCTGACACATGTGGATCCCGGCGATCTGCAGACAGAGACTATGTCCCAGATTCCTACAGACACCCTGACGCGTTTGGTGGCAGGGGCTTCGAGGATAACCGCTCAGAGGAGAAGAGGTCCTTTTTCCAAGATGACCACGTGGTGGATTCTGAAAATGCAGAGAACCGGCCCTTCAGGAGGCGGCGCCCCCCACGCCAAGATAAGCCCCCTCGCTTCCGGCGCCTCCGGCAAGAACGGGAGTCCCTGGGCCTGTGGGGACCCGAGGAGGAACCCCACCTGCTAGCAGGTCAGTGGCCAGGCAGGCCCAAACTGTGTTCTGGGGACAAGAGTGGCACTATGGGCCGCCGGTCCCCAGAACTCTCGTACCAGAACTCCTCCGATCACGCCAACGAGGAGTGGGAGACGGCCTCTGAGAGCAGCGACTTCAGTGAACGGCGGGAGAGGCGGGAAGGCCCCGGGTCCGAGCCTGACTCCCAGGTGGACAGTAGCCTGTCGGGGGCCAGTTTGGGTGAGAAGAAGGAGCTGGCCAAGAGGAGCTTCTCCAGTCAGAGACCTTTGGTTGACAGACAGAGCCGAAAGCTGGAGCCGGGAGGGTTTGGGGAGAAGCCCGTTAGGCCAGGTGGTGGTGACACCTCCCCCTGCTATGAGAGCCAAGAGAATGGGACGCCTTTGAAAGCCAAAAGGTAAAACCAGACACCACCCAGGCCCTTTTTGTTGTTGTGTTCTGTTCTCAGCAGCACTGAGTTCACGCATGCATGCCGCCGTGTGTCGGGGCTGGGGACCTGCCCCCAGGCCCCTGGGTGCGCGCGTCTTCATTGCCTGCCCCGCATTGCTTGTCTGCTTCTCTTGTGGTGCTGTTGTTGTGGCCAGAGAACCCCCACCCTAAAGCGGTGCTCTTGCAGCCGCTGTCCAGCACCTGGCCTGGGAGTCCAGGCGTGTGTCCCTGCGTGTGTCCCTGGAGCCCTGCCAAGGGCTGCCGCAGTGAGGAGCTTTGCCTGTGCACAGCGCCAGACCCCGGTCCGCCCACCAGAGTCCTCTGCTCCAGAGTTGCTGCCAGGTGGCGTCCTAGGGGTCATTGTTGGCCTTGTGACTGCTTAGAAGTGGCTCTTCCCAGGTCGCTCTGTTGCTCCATGGTGAGGAAATGTGGCCTCACGGTGGGGCTGCCACCTCAGCATGGCAGGAGCCCAGCAGAGGGGAGCAGGCTACGCATAGCCCGGCAAGCACCTCTTCCATAGCCAGGGACATTCGGGTGATGACCTGGGCTCAGGGCCTGGGAGAGGGTCCCCTGCACAGTCTGGTTGACAGCACTTGGCTCGTGCCATGGACAGGGAGGTGCTGGGGCTGCTGAGGCCTTCCCTGTCCTCAGCACACTGAGGCAGACAGCTTCACACCTCCACCCTCCTTAGAATTCAAGGCACATCAACTCCCAGAGAAGGAGCCACAGAGATTTCTGACTTTCTTAGGTGGCGTTTAACCTCGCTTCCCAGGCTCCAGAGGCCGACCCTCAGCTTCACCTCCATTTTCTGCCCTGAGGGCCCTGTGGCAGGGCAAGGCCTGGGTGCCGTTCTGGTCAGTGACTCCTGGAGAGGAGCAGAAATGCTGGTGGCTCTGTTCCGAGCGTATTCCCCCTTGTCTCTCTCCCCCTACTCTTTCTAAATGTAGCATGTGGGAAAGCCCTGCGGAGCAGCAGGAAACCGCCACTTTCCTTAGGAGGAGGCAGAGCTGGCGGGGGCAGCCTTCACCCTGTGTTTGCACACAGAGACAGATGCACTGCTGCCACGAGCTGCTCCTCCCCACCCAAGGGGTCGGCAAGAAGAAGCAGGTCTAGAGCAGGGTGCCTGGCTTGTGTGCAGGCTCTGTGCATGCACTGTGTTTCCCTCCTTCCCCAGTCTCTAGTTAACACCATCCTCTTTCCCTTACAGATCCCCAGATGAGGCCTTACCTGGAGGTCTTAGTGGCTGCAGCAGTGGGAGCAGCCACTCCCCCTATGCCCTGGAGCGGGCAGCCCATGCCAGTGCTGACCTTCCCGAAGCCTCCAGCAAGAAGGCAGAGAAAGAGGCCAAGTTGGTTGCTCAGAGGCCAGGCGAACAGGGAGAGGCCATGAAACAGTTTGACCTGAACTATGGAAGTAAGTCGCCCTCACATCCTCAAGGCAAAGAGCTCAGGTGGAACGAGGGGCTGTGCAGTCCTCAGGGCTGCCGAGTTTGCCCTTGCACTGAGTGCCTTAGCTTTCGGAATAGCTGGGCAGTCACTGGGCCGGGTTCTGGGGCTGCAGAGGTGAGCAGAGTAGGCAGGATTCCTGCCAGCTATTGCTCACAGGCCATTGGATCCCTGTGACACCTTGCAGCTTCCGCACTTTAAAGAGGGGAAGCCTGGGACCCAGAGATGTTGGGTGGCATGTCCAAGGTCTCACAGCTGGCTAGGAGCAGAGCTGGGGTTTAAGTATGCCCTTAGAGTGGTCTCTAAGTTGTGCCCTCGGGCCTCTTTGGTTTGTGGTAACTGTGTTAGATCAGAGACAGCCTGAAAAAGACACAGAAGTCCCGTCCAGGTTTCTGTCCAGCCTGACGCTAGATATCAGGCATCTGTTGAATTGTGTTGTTCTTGCCTTCTGGTGAATGGAAAGACTGTTCCTTCTCATGAAATCTTTGTTCAGGTGCCGTCATCGAAAATTGCGGGTCCAGCCCCGGAGAGGAGAGTGAGGTGGGTTCTCTGGTAGGCGAAGGCTTCATCGAAGTCCTGACCAAGAAGCAGCGCCGCCTGCTGGAGGAAGAGAGAAGAAAGAAGGAGCAGGCCGTGCAGGTGAGGGGCTGCGGCATGTGGGGCAGGAGGGCAGGCTGGCAGATGCCTAGGAAACCTAGAGCCAGTTAAGGGAGTTCTCAGGCAAGCTTAAGGTGGCAGGGAGGAAGAAAGGAGTATTTAGTAAGCATGCATTGTCTCCCTGTGCCTGCTGTTATCCATCAAAGTAGGACTAGGTGGTGGCATCATTGTTCTGCAGAGGAAGAAATTGAGTCTTGAAGAGGGTGATTTGTCTAGGTGATAACAGCGGAAACATGTCCAAGCCCAGATGCAGACCTTGGTCAGCTCCTAGCTCCTCCTCCCTCCCCACTCCTCATTCCTGAGCGGAATAAGATTTGTCTCTCTGAAGTTATGTGGTTAGTGAACCGTGTACTCAAATGGAGACCCGCACACAGATCACCGTCCATTGGCCTTTCGGGTCTTTCCTGGCGGGTACTTGGCTTGGCCTCACAGTTCACTCTACTTGAGGTCTTAAGAGACCAGCATTCCACGCATCTCTGGAACATTTTCAGGTGCTGTCATTTTGGTACCTGGGATACTTGTCCTGGGGAGAATTTGTCAGTCATCGTGCCTTAGGCTAGATTACAGCACCCTTTCTTCCCCTCAGGTGCCTGTCAAAGGTCGAGGCCTTTCCTCCCGTATTCCTCCTCGGTTTGCAAAAAAGCAGAACAACTTATGTCTGGAGCAAGGCGACATGACCGTGCCTGGCAGCAGCCTGGGCACTGAGATCTGGGAGAGCAGCAGCCAGGGTGAGTTGGGGGTTGTGACCCCAGCTGTGGCTCCCAAGGTCACATCACAGACTAGGTTTTCGTCTTAGGGAGGATCCTGCTTTTGAGCTACAGACATAGTTGGAACAGTACTCATTTGCAGGGTTCCACTGCTGAGCTAGTTTTGAATGCCATCTGAATGATTTGCTGCTGCAGCCCCCAAACAGATACATAATTTTCCTTGCCTAAAATCGGGTAGAAGAACAGAGCGTTCATTAGGTCCAGTGATCTGGAAATCGATGGCCCTTTGAGCTGAGAAAGCAGCAATGGGATTGGCCTTTGATCGTGTCTGTCATCATGTTCTCCCACTAACTTATGGAAAAGCATCAAGTGACTGACAGACCAGCTGCAGGAGTTCAGCAACTTTCTTCTGTGCTCTGCACCCTTTCTTAACATGGGGAAGGCTCTGGAAGCTCCACCCTGAATGCTCTTCTGGAAAGGCAAACTGAGACCAGAAGAGGGTATACACTACTTTTTAGAAAATTTGTTTCCCTGAAAAAGTTTTTTTAAAAAAATTCTATATGGAATGTGATTTTTCTGGTAACTTTTCCTTTTAAAATAGAAAACTATTTTCCTAGAATAGGTAGGTTCTTCTTGAAGCTTCCTGGGCAGGGTCCTGCACTGTTAGCCCAGAGGGTGCATAGGACATGCACATTTAACAGCTCAGGCCCATAAGGGGAGCTTGGAGAGGTCACCTAGTGCCAGTTCATTTTTCTACAAAGCAGCTGAGGCTTCTAGAGGGAAGGAACTTGACTCCAGGGTCATAGAACAAGCACCTGAGACACTGAGTTCTGGGCCTTGAATCTTCCACTGTCTCCACATTGCCTGTCCTCATGTGCTTGATGCCCAACTTTGATGGAAAGGAAGCACGATCATTTGAGAAAACATCAATAGCACTAGATTTGGTAGTGGCTGGGTGATAGGTATCATGGTATTGATGTCCAAAAATGCCCAGCTGCCAGATTGGTTGAGCTGCCAGGTGTGAGTCATCCCCTTTTGTCAGATCTTTTCCTCCAGAATTCTGCAGGGTCTCATTGGTTGCTCAGACCAGAGATTGCATCCATGGATGGCTTCAGAGGGCCCTTGGATATTAAAATAGCAAGTGAAAGCGTTTTTGTTTTAAAGAGATGGGATCTCACTATGTTGCCCAGGCTGGACTTGAACTCCTGGGTTCAAGCAATCCTGCCTCAGCCTCCTGAGTAGCTGGGATTACAGATGTGCGCCCCACACCCTACTCTAGCATGTAAATTTTTGCATGCATATTTATTTTTCTGGGCTCAGGATCTATGGCCCCTCAGGAAGTGGTCTGTGAGCTGAACAAATTTTAGTAATACCCACTTGGATCTTTCAAAGACCTGTAGAAGCTGCCAGCTTTGGCCAGAAGTGGTAGTAGCTCACGGGAGGCCAAGGCGTGAAGATCACTTGAGGCCAGGAGTTCAAGACCAGCCTGGGCAAAAGTGAGACCCTGTCTCTATTGTTTAAAACAAAAAAAGAAAAGATTTATATTTTTAATTAAAAAAAAAATGCCAACTTTTAGAAGTAGCCTAAGTGAAAGGAAGCATCGGCATAGCAGAAATAGCAACAGAGAATCCAGATTGGCAGGAATAACAGCTTCTGCCGTGCTCACCGTCTCTCGTATCAGTGAGATGCTGAGAAACACGTTGGGTGAGGGTGTGGAAAGTTAGGTAAGGCTGTCAGAGCAGCTCTTCCACATCAGAGCTGTTAACCAGGTGTCATGTATAGGGGCTGCGGGTGGGGACGGGGGGCGTGTAGGGGAGGCAGGGGAGTTGGATTTCTGCAGGCTGTGCCTGTGCTTGTTCTTTAAGAGCTCATAAACTCGTGTTTTTCTAGACAGGCTTCTGTTTCATGCCCTGACTCTGTCTCCCTCCCCTGGCAGCTCTCCCCATGCAGGCCCCAGCCAGTGACTCCTGGAGGAAAGCTGTCACTGCCTTCAGCAGCACTGAGCCTGGCTCTGCAGAGGTGAGTGTGGCCACTGCCCACATGTTGCTCCTGGGATGAGTATGTGCTCACCATCCACACGGCCAACTTGCTGTGGATCCCTGCATCCCAGCCCATCCAAGCCCCTGCCACAGCAGCCAAGCTGGGAATTTGATTGTTTTCATGAGCCCAAGCTCATCAGTGGTTTTCCCTCTTGACTCCTGCTGGGAGTCTGGCCTGTGCGTGGGGCCTGCATGAGTAGGAGAAAGAGAAAAGGGGTAACAAGGAAGGACCCAATGCTGGGTGGGAGGAGGGATTGAGGGCTTTCCCTGAAGTGGTGTCAGCAGTTACGTAGTCTGGTTTGGGTCATGAGTGAGATGGGTTTGGCAGCCTCTGTCTGGGGCCTGCGGAAGATCCTGTGGTCGTGCGGAAGATCCTGTGGGGTTGGTGTATTTGGCCGCATGTAAATTGTGAGGCATCCTCGGCATAGCAGGACCACACTTGGCAAGGGGCAGGCAGCTGGGGTAGATGAGTCTCAGTGCCACATTGTAGTTTTACTGTCTGGAAAATCAAGTTGGAGTTTGAGGCTCTAACCCATTTTGTGCTCTGCACAGCAGGGTTTTAAGAGCAGCCAGGGAGATAGTGGCGTTGACTTGAGCGCGGAGTCTCGGGAGTCGTCCGCGACCTCCTCGCAGCGCAGCTCCCCCTATGGGACTCTGAAGCCAGAGGAGATGAGCGGGCCTGGCCTGGCAGAACCCAAGGCTGACAGCCACAAGGAGCAGGCTCCAAAGCCATCTGAGCAGAAGGTAACCTGGGTGTTCAAGCCACAGTGGCCAGGGCCTGGGTAGAAGGGGCCACTGTCTTGTTGTCTTCCCCAGTTCTTGGGACAGTCGAAGCTGGAGAGTGTGGTCATTCCAGTCTATATTTCCACCTCTCTGCTTTTTTATCAAGGATTCAGAACAAGGCTCTGGACAGAGCAAGGAGCACAGACCAGGACCCATCGGCAACGAGCGTTCTCTGAAAAACAGAAAGGGCTCGGAGGGAGCCGAACGGCTGCAAGGGGCTGTTGTTCCGCCTGTGAATGGGGTAGAGATTCACGTGGACTCTGTGCTGCCTGTGCCACCCATAGAATTTGGAGTCAATCCAAAAGTGAGGGTTTGATTTGTTTTCTTGCTTGCTTTTTTTTACTTTTTATTTTTAGTACTTGGAGAAGTTGGGGTCTCAGACAGGATTGTCTCCTAGAAAGAATAGAAGGATGGGAGCCAAGCACTATGCAGTGACTAGGGTGTTGGCTTGGAGTCCTGCACGTGGCTGGTGCTCTGTTGAGTTGCTTTAAAGATTGCCTCACTGGGCCGGGCACAGCGGCTCACACCTGTAATCCTAGCATTTTGAGTGGGCAAGGTGGGCAGATCACCTGGTCAGGACTTTGAGACCAGCCTGACCAACATGGTAAAACTGTATCTCTACTAAAAATACAAAAATTAGCCGTGCTTGGTGGCATGCGCCTGTAATCCCAGCTACTTGGGAGGCTGAGGCAGGAGAATCGCTTGAACCTCCTACCTCAGGAGGTGGAGGTTGCAGTGAGCCTACACCATGCCACTGCACTCCAGCCTGGGCGACAGAGTGAAACTCCACCTCAAAAAAGATCGCCTCACTGACAGTGGCCAGGCTCTTGGGACAGACAGGCCAGTGATCTTCCCTGTCTCCATCAGACCACCTAAGGGACTGGGAGAGAGTGAGGCTGGCGTCCTGTCTCCTGTGCTGTGGGGAAACATCTGGCCATCTTGCTCATACGTGGCTCCAGTGAATGCTGCTCAGGGGAGGTTTTGAGTCGCAGCAACTGCATCACTTTAACATGCGGCTCTGGGGAATGTAGATTCCCACCTCAGTGGGCTATGTGGCCTTTTTTTCAGGACTCTGATTTCAGCTTGGCACCTGGTTCTGCCTCTGGTCCTGCCGGGAGTCCAGTTGTCAAACTTCAGGATGCCTTGGCCAGTAATGTAAGTTCACACTTTTACCTCTGGCTCTGCTTACCGCCTGGGGTTGGCAGGTCCTGGGTGAAGGAGACAGCGTATGTATTGGAGTCAGGCTGACCTGGGCTGGCATGTGACTCAGTCGCTAGCAGCTCCATGTCCTTAAAAGGTGCTTAAATGTTCCTGCCCGGGTTTTGCGACCTTCCAGTGGGGATTGTACAGTTCCTAAGGTCTGCTTTATTTGGCTCTCTTTGGTTCCATGTCTCCTCTGTGCCAGGTTCAAGCCCAGACTCAAGTTGCCTTTTCAGTGGCCAGGGGTAAGGGGCACAGATTGAGTAGGAGAAGCCTCCTTGGGAGGCCCCATCTCACCATCCAAGGGTCTTGGCCGCCTGTGATCTAACTGCTATAATCCAGAAAATCTCGTGGTGCCCCACCATGGGCCCAGGAACTGGCAGTGGCATCTTATCATGGCCACTGGGAGCTGCGGCATCTAGTTCACTGCTCTGTACTCACCACCTGCTGGGGTGGGTGCTAGTGCATGTGCTGAATGAATGAGTATCATTTGGGCAGCATTTCCCAGAGGATTCCAAGGAATGTGAGTGCTATACAATATTCATAGGTGTCAAATGAAAAAAAATGTCCTGGAAGTGCTAGGCTCTGCAAGGTTCTTTACTCTGAGAGTCTGCAGTCTCTGATGTGCAGATGGATGCCGGGGATCTGCAGGAGATGGTGGGGCGCTGTTGCATGTCCAGCCACTGTTACTAGGGCCCTCTTTTTCACAGTTTGCTGAGGGGCACAGCCTTCCCTGTGTGGCCCAAGACATCTCCAGGCCAGGTGGCAGGTGTCTTCTGAACCAGGTGCTTGCGTGCTAGCAGCCAGTTCGTGTCTATACTGCTGGGACATGGCTCTGCCTGTCTGAAGGGCACCATGGAGTGTGATATATGGGGGTGGCTCTCTGCAGACTTGTGTTGAGGAAACAGATGAAGGCAACCATCTCAAGATCAATCATGGTCTTGGCTGCCATCAGTTTCATTACTTAGTGGTCTTGGGTATACATGGCCAAAACTGAAGAATGCACATGGACAAATCATAGATGCTATTGGGGACTGTAGGTGGTTTTGGGCAAAGCCATGGATGCATTTGGACAAGTCATAGATGCATTTGGATGAGCCTTGGATGTGCTCAGGCTAGCCGTGGATGGGTTTGGGCAGAGCTGTCTCTGCTTCTGTTTGCGTTCCATGGTTTTCTTATCCTTCTCTCCAGGCAGGGTTAACACAGAGTATCCCTATCCTGCGGCGGGATCATCACATCCAGAGGGCCATCGGTCTCTCCCCAATGTCCTTCCCCACCGCCGACCTCACTCTGAAGGTAACACCAGCCCCAAACTGGATGAGCCCCAACCTTAGTTTATGAAGAAGCAGAAGGGAGGATTCCCCCATCCCCCAAAGCTTAGATCGGTGCTGCCCACTGCCATCGTGATAGTAATTTTCATCCCTCCCCTCCTTGCTTCTGAAGATGGAGTCTGCGCGCAAGGCTTGGGAAAACTCCCCCAGTTTGCCGGAGCAGAGCTCTCCAGGCGGCGCTGGCTCAGGCATCCAGCCTCCATCCTCTGTGGGTGCCTCCAGCGGGGTCAACTACAGCTCCTTCGGTGGAGTGTCCATGCCACCCATGCCTGTGGCCTCTGTAGCACCTTCTGCTTCTATGCCAGGTATCTCATCCCCTGAGCCAGGCCTTAGGGCCTTCTCCATTTATTATTGAGAGAAACGGATTAACAGCCCTGAACGCCACCTCCTGGCCTTGGCTTGAGTACACGTAGAAGTAGCAACTTGTTTTCAGGCTGAGTGGTCGCAGGTCCCCATGTGCTGCAGATAATGTGTACATCCTGCTTCCCCATGCTGGGGAACAGAACTGGGGGACAATAGCCAAGCACTCCTGCCTCCTGGTGAGAGGAGCAAGCCAAGGCTTGGCTTTGAGTCAGACCTGGGTCACGTGCTGGAGCTGTGCTGCCTCGGCTGGCAAGCAGCTCTCCCGAGCTGCCTCATCCTCCCCTCTTAAGTGAAACAGGGCGATGACCTTGCTCCATGGGGTGGCGACACCTGTGAAGCCAGGTCTTACCTGGAAAGGGCTTTGTATCAACAGAGCCCTCAGTCACTGGTAGCTGTTTTTGTCCTGACTGCTGCCATCTTTGTCATGTGTCCATGCACCCAAGGGAAAGTGTAGGGGTCTTGAGGGCCCAGCTGCCAGTCTCAGTGATGTAATTCCAATAGATCCTTCTGACCCTCCGCTGTGGACTCAATAGCAGGGCAATGAAGAGGACAGTGACTGAGAGGCCAAGGCAGCCCTAGTTAAAGTTGAATGCCCCTCCGACTGTCTGGGGTAGTTGGTGAGTGGTAAGGCCGGAGCCCACCTCCTTCCTCCTAGGCCTGACGCTGCACCCTCCCTGAGTTTCCTGAGGTGTGTCCCAGGTGTCTTGTGAGCAGGCATATGCTGCAGGCACTCTGGGAACTGAGCAGCCTCTGTATACATGGCATCATCCCTACTGAATCCCCTGGTAGACCTGTAGACTGTCTCCCTCAGGGACATTTAGAAGTAGTAGGCTTGATCATCTTCTACCTACCTTCTCTTGCTCTGTTTCCAGGCAGCCACCTCCCACCCCTGTACCTGGATGGCCATGTGTTTGCAAGCCAGCCCCGGCTGGTTCCTCAAACGATACCTCAGCAGCAGAGTTACCAACAGGTGACAGCAGCAAGCCAGGTGGCCTGGCGGGGGGAGGGAGCCAGTGCAAGGAGGAATTGGCTTGTTCATCGTCTGTCTCATTTTCCATCCCCCTCACATGTGATGGCCAGCACCTGGCCCATCACGGCAGCCAGAAGATATTTGTTAAGTAAATAACAAGAGATAGGGAAGAGGAGTGGAGCTGATTGCTCCCCACTCTGCTCAGTTTTCCTTTCTCAAAAGTTCTCCCTCCTTGTGTCCTAGCTGGGGAATTAGCTAAAATGGAATTTTCTTTGGTGATCAGGTATCCTTCTGATGAAGAGACGAAAGGCCTAAACTCCCAGGCATGGATGCGTTAGAAAGAGGTAGTCTTAGAAATGAGCAGGCGTTTCTTTTTATGCAGGACTGGCATACTTTCTGTGCTGCCAAGGGGCGATTTTTGGAAGTCTCCCTCCTAACGCTGGTGCTGGGCCTTTGGGATGGTTCAGACACCCCTTCAGACACATATTCCTGCACAGCCACAACAGTGGACTTCCAGGCAGAATCTACTCCAAGTGAGACTTGCTGTTGGAGGACATGGCCTCTGCTGACCTCTTTTTAAAAACATGTTCTTAACTGCTATATCATTTGGTTTTCAAGATTTTTGTTCTTGCATAACCGGGACAGACCATGTATCTTTCTTTTTGTACATTGTTAAATTCAACGTTCTGTTTCTGGAACTCGTCTCTGGACGTGTGTGCTAGGATCCATTTTTGTTGGCGTATAGAATTTCAGGGTAGGGCTATGCTGTGGTTTGGGGTTGCCACCAGTTTTTCATTATAGGCTTTATCCCAATAGCAAGGGAAGCCCAGGAATGACATGCTGGAATTGGAATTTTGTGAAGTATCCCAATAGCCATGTGGAGAGAGGGGTTGGGGAGGTGGGAGATGGGAGGTGAGGAACCACCTGGATGGGCCTTGCGGTTACCTCCCCCCACCCTGGCTTCCCGTTCGCAGGCCGCCGCTGCCCAGCAGATCCCGATCTCCCTTCACACATCTCTGCAGGCACAAGCTCAGCTTGGACTGAGGGGTGGGCTTCCTGTGTCCCAGTCCCAGGAGATCTTCAGCTCCTTACAGCCCTTCAGGTGAGCTCATGTACCAGTGTGTGGAGCTGGCAGCTCACAGTCAGGGCCTCAGCCCTGTGTGCTGCCTCTATCCTGCAGCTGTTTGGTGCTTCTCTACTTTAGACCTGGTGGGGCAGGCGTGTTGCTCTGGATCACTCTTCGGTCTGTTATTAGCTGTGCTCTAGGAGAGGCCTGGGCCGGGCTGATACGCGGTGGCCTGGTTTTGCTTTTCCATGACATCTTGCCTCCTTCCCTTGCTCCTTCCTCCTCCTCTCCCCTTGACTCCCTGCGTCCTCCCCACCACTGGCTGCTGCTTCAGTGTGGCTGCTAGTGTGTCTGATGTTCTGTGCCTTGTACAGCCTGGATGTGTTCGCTTGTTTAATCCAGCAGCATCAGGGCGATCTAGCAGCTTGTTCTCGGGCCTTATCCTGATCCCTCAGAGTCGCGCTCTTGGGGTAGGGCCGGGGATCTGTGTTTTAGCAAGCTCTACGGGGGATCTCTGAGGTGTGGGGCCACATGCATGGCAGTGCTCACCCACCCGACCCTGACCTTCTTTCTGGCTTTTGCAGATCTCAGGTGTACATGCACCCCAGCCTGTCACCGCCCAGCACCATGATCCTTTCTGGGGGCACAGCCTTGAAGCCTCCGTACTCGGCGTTCCCAGGCATTCAGCCCTTGGAGATGGTGAAGCCGCAATCTGGCTCCCCCTACCAGCCCATGAGCGGGAACCAAGCCCTGGTCTACGAGGGCCAGCTCAGCCAGGCTGCCGGCCTGGGTGCCTCCCAGATGTTGGACTCCCAGCTCCCACAGGTCAGGAATTCAGTCACTCCACCCAAAGCCCTAGGCTTCTTTCTTTCACAACTTTGCCTTTTCTTTTCACCTGCCTCTCAGTGTGTGCTGGCCTGTCATGCTGTCGTGCCCATTCCTTGGCATGCAGGAAGTCAGCCTCTTCTGAGTAGCCCTGTTGCCTTTTTTTTTCCCGAGACAGAGTCTCGCTCTGTTGCCCAGGCTGGAGTACAGTGGCATGATCTCGGTTGACTGCAACCTCTGCCTCCCACATTCAAGCAATGCTCCTGGCTCAGCCTCCTGAGTAATGGGGATTATAGGCATGTGCCACCATGCCCAGCTAATTTTTGTATTTTTAGTAGAGACAGGGTTTTGCCATGTCGGCCAGGCTGGTCTTGAACTCCTAACCTCAAGTGATCCACCCACCTCGGCCTCCCAAAGTGCTGGGATTACAGGCTTGAGCCACCGAGCCCAGTCTCTGCCACCCACGTTTTTGTCATCCTTCCCTTGGCCTGGCTTCTTCCTCCTCATCAGCAGATCCGTCGAGCCACGTGGCCTTTGCATTTCATGCAAGCTATGGCTCCCTGTCAACCCCCACCCTCTTAGCAGTTTTTTAGACTTGCATCTTGCCCCTCACTGCCTCCCACCCATGACCTCCCTTCCTATGTCACCTAGGAAACAGAAGCAGTGATTAATCTCCGAGCCCCTTTGGCCACATCCCTGCCTGGGTGCTGCCTGTGCCCCTGGGGACCCGCCCCAGCAAGTCTCCCTCTCTTTTGTGCATCAGGTAGTCCTTACTGTCATTACACAAATGAGCTGCACTCCTGACCCCATGATCCCGACCCCGACCCCCACTCCCTACACCCCTTGAACCATGTTCTTCACCCAGTTTCCAGGCCATCACTCCTGGCTTTCCTGCTGACTCAGGCCGCCTCAGTCTCCTTTGCCATCCCCTCCTTCCATAATGATCGGCATGCCCCTGGGCCCTGCTTTGGGTATCTCTCAACAGTCATGGCTCCAAATCCCTCCAGTCTTCTCCTTACTCCCAAATGGACATCCTCAGCTCAGATCTGTCGCTGGAATTGAATCTCAAATCCAGTCAACTTTCCAGCATCTCTGCTATGGTGTCTTGTGGCATCTCACAATCCTTCTGCTTGTCCAGTCCATGTCCTCCTTTGTTCCCTGCTCCCCCTCACCTCGCCCCCTGATCCTTCAGCAGGTCTGTCAGCTCTGCCTTTAAAAGGAAGGATTCAAAATCCAGCTTTTTCTCATCCCCTCTACCACACCACACTGTCCAGCTCCTGCGGGGGCTCCTACCTGGCCTCTCTGCAAGTCAGATCATACCCCAAGTCAGCACTCTAAAAATGGCAGCGTATCCCCCTCATCTTCATCCTGCACCATGTTGGTGCTCTAAGGAGGAGCGTGGTGCTTTGCAGCTCTGGCCACCACAAGTCTCAATGATGTAATTCCAATAGATCCTTCTGACCCTCCACTGTGGACTCAATAGCAGGGAGATGAAGAGGGCAGTGACTGAGAGACCAAAAGTGGCCCATCCCCCCCATCCTATACCCCTGTCCTTAGGTCTCCAGGCCCACATCCTCCTCGCCTATCTTGTTCTAGTCAGTTAGGCCTTGCAGCCACCCTCTTCTCCTGTTGTGGCATGCTTCAAAGGATTCCCACAGCCCGTAATCGAGCTGGGTCTTGTTTTTACCACCATTTGATGCAAAACAGTAAGGGTCTTCAATGTTTGTGCTGTACAAAGGAATGCAGAGATACACACGTCCAGTACAGCTGTCATCTTTTGGGACTTGGCTTAGCCATTACTTCGACTTTCCTCACTCCTCGCCTGCCCCCGTCCTTTGTGTACCCACAGATTCTGTGCCACTCTGCACCCAGCGTGTCCTACAGCTGTGTCCAGTGTGTCACACACTGACTGCCCTTGCAGTGCCCAGGCCCATGTTGAACAGGGCCTCCCCAGCCCATTGTATGCTTTCAGTGAGCACTTTTGCCGGACAAAGGCAGAAAGGTCTGAAGATAGACCCAGCCCTTTGCAGAGATGTGCATGAGACACATGTATGCTGTTGGCTCCTGTGCCTGCAGCCAACTTAGTCTTGCCCATTTTCTTACCACCTACTCCATTTCAGCAAGAAGACATGCCCCTGGTGTCGAAGGTGTAAAATCCTGGGCAATCTCTCCCATCCCACAGTAGAAATCAGAACGTGTCCTCCTGTGTGCAGTTCTTACTTCGAGTTCTTCTGGAGTGTATGAATCTGAAGTACATGTGCAGTCGCTCTTTGGTGCTTGTTTGGGGTTTCTCTGTAGCATTGGCTCCTCCTCCTGACTGTCCTTGTCGCCCAGCAGCTGACCATGCCACTGCCTCGGTACGGCTCCGGGCAGCAGCCGCTGATCCTGCCCCAGTCCATTCAGCTGCCGCCTGGGCAGAGCCTCTCTGTTGGGGCCCCCCGAAGGATTCCTCCACCCGGGTCCCAGCCACCAGTCCTGAACACCAGCAGAGAGGTAAGGGAACCCCATCTGCCCATGACCCTGGGGAAGGGGCCTTGCCTCACCAACCTTTTCTAGCCAGCTAAGAACCCCTGTGTGGTAGAAAGAGCCAGTGGCTTGGGTATGTGCAGGACTGCCAGGGCAGAAAGGAATGTGACTCTGTGTGGGGCCATCAAGGGGCAGGTCCCGGGGACTCTGAACGTGTCAAGGGCTGAGGGCCAGGAATCAGCATTCCTTCCCAGCTCCCCAGGAGGCCTAGCTGTGGGTGGCCATGCTTCATTGGCTCTCCCACCTCACTTTAAAAAGAATAAAATTTGCGATGGTTCCTGCTCCTAAGAAGCCCTCTTTTGAGTGTGGCTTGAAGGGGAGGGGCTTGCAGATTCCTCCAGAACTGGGGTCCCAGCCCCTGGGCTGCAGACCTGTATTGGTCTGTGGAAAAATCGTCTTCCATGAAACTGGGCCCTAGTGTCAAAAACTGCTGCTCTAGTCCCACGGCCCTTGCCACCTCTGCCCTGGGTGTAGTTCAGTAAGTCTGGGTAGTCCACTGTCTCCAGGGCCTCAGATGACAGCGTGTTGCTGTTTGGTCTCTTTAGCCCTCTCAGATGGAGATGAAAGGTTTCCACTTTGCCGACAGTAAACAGAATGTCCCTTCAGGAGGCCCCATGTCATCGCCACAGACCTACAGGTAAAGCCACTCCCTGGGGACTGCGTTCCGCATAGCTGAGCTGTTGCTAGAGCCGTGGCCCAGTGGCTCAGAAGAATCTCTGGGCCCAGGGAGAGCTGTCAGCGCCCTGGTCCCTCTTTGCGCCTCGCGTCACTGTGGCGTTTCGGCACTGAATGCACTGGTGTTGCAGTTAAGTGGGAGAATGAGCAATCAGGAGAGTGGTTTGGGTTTTAATCATTACAGTAAGATGCTCTGGATTGGGGAGCTTTCTGGAAAGGTAGGAAAAGGAACTGCTGACATTTAGTAGGCATCAGGACTGATGTGACTTCCCATCAGATCCTAAAAACAGGACCCACTGGCCACAGGGCTGCATCCCAGCAAGGGGAGGAGCATGGCCTTTCCCGGTGTCTCTTTCCCCAGACTTGCCCTCTGACCTCTGCCAGGGGACTTTTATTACTGGGCTTGTGGGGTCATTCCTTCCACACTACAAACCAGCACCCGCTTTTTGCTTCCTTCGTATCTGTCTCCACCCCCGGTAACCATCCCAGGTCCCCTAAGCGGGATACAGAGGTGGCTCTGTCAGATTCGGGCAAGAGCATCTGGTCCCTCTGCTCCCCCTGTGCAGGTGTGAAGGCAGCACGCTCTGGCCCTGTGCTCCAAGGGTTTGTATAGTCAGTCGACCCTTGTTACATGTGGGAGATTACTGAGACTGCTTTGTGTTTGCAAAATGAGTGAAACAGACGTGCCTGACGCATGGTACCCTGTGAGAGGTTAACACCCTTACTGCATGCGCCATGAGGTGACCCCATGAATACAAAGGTACTTGCGGGCCTGAGGAGTGCTCTGCAAGCCAGGCCTCTGTGCTTGCGAGTTGCTCTGGCTGCACCCCTCTGCTCCGCTGCCCTTTGCCTGTCAGGCCGCCGCCTCCATCACGGCATTCCACTCTTATTCCTCCATTTCCAGAGAAAGGGGTTTTTGTGGATTTTCCTCCCATTCCATCTTTTCTATTCTTATTTTCACTCTCCTGGCTTCATTTATTTCTGTATTTAGTATTTGTTTTCCTGCCATGTCTTTCACATAGACCAAAACATCAGGACTGTGTGAAAAAGATAGCTGGACAGCAGCACCCACCCCGGAGCAGAGCTGGGAGGAGGAAGGCGGCCGCAGGTCTGAGCACATGCTGTCCTGCTGCTGCCACAGGCAGATCCCAGCAGCCTCTGGCTACAGAGCCTTCCTCAAAGGCAAAACCCAGAGAACAGAAGCTCATGGGACAAGAGTTGCCTGTGTCTATGTAGACATAGGAAAGGCAGCAGATTATTCCTTGGAGAATACTTAGAAAGTAGAAGCCTTAACTGTTAGCTTTGTTTCAGTGGTGTTTAGGAGGGTTGGGGAAATTGCTATAATTGTAATGTTTCCCAAAGGTTTCTGGAACTAGAGCTGCTGAGATGTGCCCTGCAAAAAAAAGTTCCTTGGTCAGGTCCTCGGGGGTGTGCTGTCTCTGGGGCGGCCTACCGGGAGAGGCACTCGCCAGCACAGAGGCTGAGCAGGCCTGGGTGGGCAGTCCTGTTGAACTCTGTGCCTATGGCACTTAGGCTTTTTGACGGCAGAATTTTTTTCCCACACAACCCCTAATTAACATCCCTGGGAACTAACTAGTGGTCAGTGGAACACATTTAGAAGCATGTCATAGATTTTTATTCCTCCACGCCCTCTTCTGAAAAGCGAAGACTAGAGCAATAGCACGGTTCCGTCTCAGTGTCAGGCTTCTAGGCCTTTTGTCTGGGGCACTGCGCTGTGTTGGTCCAGAGGCTGAGATGGCCAGTGTCCCTTTCTGCCTAGCAGGACAGCCGTGCCCACCTGCACAGGGACTCAGCCTCCCTCTCTTGTGGTGTGTCTCCTTGAGCTCTGTCCTGGAGGTGCCGCGGTGGTCAGTGACAGCCACTCCCTTGCCCTGCTGCATTCTTGGCTGTCTTAGGTCTGTGGTTTTTTTCCCCATCAAGAGGCCCATAGACTGTCCAGAGAGAGCACCTCTGGCCCAGGCCCTTCCTTCCTCACGCCTCCTCCATGTGCTAGTCTTTGACTCCATTTCTGTGGTGACACGTTGTGTATTCTCAACCCCTGCCTTTGGTTTTTTCAGGCCTAGCTCTGCTAGCCCCAGTGGGAAGCCCTCTGGATCAGCAGTTAACATGGGCTCTGTGCAGGGACACTACGTGCAACAGGTAGAAGATGGCTTTCCAGACCCTTCAGCCCTGGACATTTAGGCCCGTCTCCAAGCACCAAAAGAGAAGGGACTGTCCAACCTATCTGAGTGCTCCTTGTCTAAAGAGAGCCATGTCCTAGCAGTTAGAGCACGGAACTAGGAGCTGGGCCACCCGCGTCCCTCCTGGCGAAGGCATTTCTCCTCTTGACGGGCGTCTGGATCCTTCCTTGTCCTGCAGAGAAGGGAGGATGCCGATTCCTCTGAGGAGGTGACGCTGGAAGGTGGACCAGCCCTGGCAGGTCGGGGCTGTGAGGCGCCCTGGGAGACTCGGCTAGGTTTGGGGGTCAGCTCTAGGAGCTGGGGTGCGCAAGTCAGTGGTGTGTCTTGTCTTTGTCTTGGCTGGGTGGGATCACAGGTGAAATTAAGTTTTCCCATTTGATAATGAAAAGTACATTTCAGTGTCTTTCCCTGCAGGCACTATTCTCTTCACTAATCTCTAAAATGTGCTGGGGCTCAGAGCTTAGGCCCCTCAGACCTGGGTGTTTCAGTTACTGTGCCTGGCTGGTAGAGTGGGAAGTGATTGCTCGCATTGGTTCCCCTGGGGGTCATGAGAATTGTGTGGAATAAGCTTCTAAAGCTTTCTTCCAGAGTTCAGACTTGGAGGGGGCAGATGTGCTGGCTGCTCTGTGACTTTCCCATCCCACCCCCATATAGAGCCACAGACCAGGGGAGCCTTGACTGGGAATGGGGCCCCAGGGCAAGGTTATAGAGTGGGAGTTGTGGCTGAATTGAGGCCAAAGATCTGGGGCAGGGGGGCAAGTTTGCCTAGGGCCATAGCAGACAGGGCCCCCAAGGTGTACAGTGGGGCACTTGGATCTACTCGAAAGGGCTTTTTGCTTGTGGGGCAGGAGGTGCACTGATTTGAAAAGGTTCTTCCAGTTGGCCTTGGGACTAGAACTGCTTCCGCCCTGGGTGTGCCATCGCGGAATTCCTTGTGGAGGACTCGGTGTCTTCCTGCCTCTCCGAATCACTGCACTCGGGGCTCATAGGGAGGGATCAGGGACGGCAGTTGCGCCACTTGCCTTACTACGAGGGGGATTTGTAAGTCTGGTCCTTCAACCAAGGGATGGATGACTTAGGGGAGCTTTCCCTGCACTCAGGAGCAGGAAGGGAGTGGTGGGAGCTATGTATCCAAACGGACGTTTCAGCATCAGGGTCACTTTGTTTTTCCCGTTGATCTGTCCAAAGGCAAAACAACGAGTGGATGAGAAACCCAGCCTGGGAGCCGTGAAGCTGCAGGAGGCCCCCTCAGCTGCCTCCCAGATGAAGCGAACCGGAGCGATCAAGCCTCGGGCTGTCAAAGTGGAGGAGAGTAAGGCCTGACGGTGCCTGGCTGCCACCTCGCCTCGCCCCACTGGGGACGGTGCCGCCACGCGACCTTGACACAGCTGACGCTCGGGAGCCTCACCAGATCCACCGTCCAAACGCCTGGTCTGGACTGAGAGACCTCCCTCCTCTCTCCACTCCCGAAAGCTCTGTCATCAACCAGCTTGCACCTGTGGATATATGGCATTGACCCGCTTGCTTTGATTATGAAACAAAAAAGCAAATGACTCCTTCATCCCATCTCCTTCCACCGTGACCGTGGAGTGACTCGCCTCCCGTGCAGTGCAGATCCGCCCTCCCTGCTCCTCCCTGTCCTGCCGCGCAGCCAGGGCACCTTCTCAGCAGTGCTTCCGGCCCACCAGCCCATCCCTAGGCACTGTGGTTTGGCAGCAGGGTCATTTTACTTTGAGGCTTTTTGTTTTAAAAAGTAGCCAAGGTTTTTACAAAGGGGAAAGGAAAAGAAAAAGAAAACGCAAGCTCCGTCTGTATAGCTGAACTTTTCTACCTACGTTCCTCGCCAGCCCCTCCCCTCCCTTCCGTCTCCAGTGGTTTCCTTTCACCTTTGTCCTGTTTAATTTGATACGTCACTTCGATACCTTAAGAGATGACTCTTAAGAATGCATCCCCTCCTGATCCCCCCAGCTGGTTCACCTTTGAAGTTATTTGCAAAAAGAAATGAAGGTTCTTGAGGGCACCCATTGCGAGCACTCTAGTGCCTGGCTCCCTGCCTGGGAAGCGATGGTGTGCGCAGAGCAGTAGGCAGGTTGGGGGTTGCATTCGGGTTCCAGCTCCTGGTCTGATGAGCCCAGGGCATTTACAGGCAGCCCATGAAGTTGATGACAGTTTTGGCAAGAGAATCACACAGTATCCCTGTCCTGTGCTCTTCTAAAGCCAGTGGATGTGCTGGGCACCAGGGACAAATCATGGAAATGGCTGGTGGTGGCTCCCAGGTTGACCCAGATGGGGCAAGCTGATGCACCACGGGTCCATCCCAGGCCCCATGGGCTCTGCTTCTGAACCTCCACACCCTGCCCCTCAGGGGCGCTGTGTTTTTCACTCACTTCTTTCCTTGAAGCCTTCTGTAACCTGTCATTTTCGTTCCTTTTCCGGAGCCTGCTGCTTCCTCTGGACCCGTCTCCACCTCCCACACAGCTCATCATGAACACCACTTGGTGATGGAGGGAGCGGACATGCATGTCGTCCCCAAGTGAGGCCACTGGGAGTGGTTCTCCTCCTCTGTTTCACTCCCAGCAGCAGACCCAGGTTGTCGGGACAGGAGGGGCTGAGCTAAGCAGCAGGCCTCAGTCTCAAGTCTTCAGACAGCTGGGTGGGGCCAGGGTAAGGCTAGGTGCAGGGCTGACCACAGTCCAAAGGGCCTGCACAGCCTCCCAAAGGGCAGCACCTCCAGGCTATAGGGCTGCCTCCATCCAGAGGCTTGTGTGAGCCGTGGTGTTCTGGGCTTGTTTTTATGTAACAAGGAAATCACTCCAGATTCTGTCATTCCAAGGAAAGGGAGGGGGGGGACAGTTCAAGTTTCTCAGCTGTTCTTAGGGATCACTGAGCATCTACCTTCGCCTCGCCCAGAGGCTGCCCCCAGTGTCTCACGGGCACAGGACAGCCATTTGGGCTTGGGCTCTAAGCTGTGTCTAGTGTGGAACATGGGAAGGAGCATCTTAGGAACTGTTGAAGTTACTTCTTACTGCTCTCACAAGTCTAAGGAAGTGGGAAAATGGCCTCCTACGAACAGCACCAACCCCGGAGCTGCCTGGGAAGGGGCAGTTTCACTGAAAGACGCTTTACTGTTCGCCTGTATCTTTCAGCAGCTCCCCTCCTGCCCTCACACTGCCTTTCCCTCTTCATCCTGAGTCTTTACTCGAGTCCCTTCCCAAGGGGCAACCCACCTGGCAGTTCTGGGCATTTCCTACCTGAGCTTCTTGTCTGCTTTTCCTTCTCCCGCTGCAAGTGGCTGCTTGTGGGCCTGGGGTGAGCCCTCTGTCCCCACGAGTCCCCCTTGCCAAGCCATTCCTGGGTGAGTCCAGGCCTGCAGGAGCCACACTTTCATCTCCACCTGGACACTTGAGCCGCATGGCCAGACCCCTTCCACCTGACGCGGTGGTGCGTGTGATTTGTCGAAAGAAAAAGCCTCCTGGATGCTGTTAAAAATTCAAGATGTATCCTTCAGGTGAACCTGGCATCAGACCCACAGTAATTGCTGTTTGAGAAAAAATAAAAACAAAAAGGTCACCTGTTCTCCAGCCCTTTTCTCTTACCCGGTATTTCCTTCCTTTCCCCTCCCTTACCCCAATAAAAAAAAAAACAAAAAAAAACCCTAGAATTTATTTATATGTATTGATGTTGTAGGTCTAGGTGAAAGAAGTAAATGTTTCACTGCTCTATTTATATATCATGTCTGAATTCTGTGCAGGAAAGGCCAGGAAATTGCATGTGAAGTGCGGTGCAGTCACCACCTCTGTGTGACCTGAGCTGTAGTCTCTTTACTGAGATGCAGATTTTAAATGAGACTGCCGGCCAAGGGTAGGCCTCAGGCCTCCCAATGCCCCACCCCCTTCCTTGGTCTGATTAAATGCAGTTCTTAGTACAGACAGAGACGTTTTAAGGTGCAATATATCTCTTCCTTTCACGTGGTTTTAGAGCCAAGCTCAAGGTAATAGGACATAGGGTCATTTCGTTTTCAAACCCCCGTCCATCCTCAGAGCGCAGATATATGCAGAGGCTTCTGTCAAGATTCTGTGGGGCCTTGGTGGGAACAGGTGGAGACCAGCACTTCCCTTTGTTGCTGCAGAGGTGGGGAGTAGAGGGTCAGAACTCCCTCACCTTTGCCTGCTAAAGTCACCCTCCTCCCTATGCTGGCAGCTCTGCCTTGGCCATCGGGGGTGTGGCCCATTGCTCAGCAACCAGTAGCCTTGGGGTGATACCTGTCCACCGTCCACTAGAGTGGGATGAAGTCCAGAGTGTGGTGGTGTGTCTGAAATGCTGCTCATCCACCCACTGGGGACTTTTCTGCCAGCTGCATCATTTGGTTTGGTTTTCTTAACTATTGGCTATCCCCCCGCCTTTCTTTTTTTTTTAAACATTCGTATTGTTTTCAAACTTGGAATTCATAAACACTCTGGCTCTCGGTTCCTTAAGGGGAAAAACAAAGGATAACTTTATTATTTCAAATTCAAGAAAATCGGTTCAGTTCCAAAGCTGTGGTCGTCCTTCCAGCCACTTCTAGGGACTCTGGGGTACCTTGTTAAACGTTGACATCAGCTGTGCTGTTGCCCTCCTGTCTTCTGGATCTGCTTTCAGGACAGTGACACCTTCTGGAAGCTGGGTGCACACAGGTGCAGGGCCATGCTGTGGCCTGGCCTGCTGCGGCAGTGTGGCAGCTCTGGTGGAGCTCCTCCCTGCTGTTGGTTCTCCGCTGCCAAGTAGCTGCTGGCTGCCCCTCAGATCTTTATTTGTCCCTTTTCATTTCCTGCAGAGCAGGCCTGTGTTAGAGGGTCTGTTGGAAATGGCCTTTGAAGACCAAGGATACCAGGGTATGTGTGCTCTGTCGTGAATGGGAATGTAGGCTTCCAGAAAGCCAGCTCTCCTCTGAAATGTGACGGACCTACACAGGAAGTCATCCAGGACAGGAGTGGCTCACTGTTGGGGATGGACATTGGCCCAGCCATGCTCCACCAGGGCCACCAGTGCCCGTTGGGCTGGTGATCTTCAGGCACATGAGATCTGCTGTTCACCAGTTCACCCCAGTTGGTGGCCTCCAGGATGGTAGTGGCACCCCCAAAGCCCCATCTTCAGTGTGTCCTGAAGCCTCGGAGTGGAAATTCCTGCTAAGGTTCTGTGTGGACGCCTTTCTCCTATGGTCTAAAGGGGACGCTGTACTCAAGCTTTTGACCTCAGGCCTTGTGTAGTAAGAAAGGGTTTGGGGGTTTTCGTTTTGTTCTTGAGAGGGTTGCATTTTGTTTTTGTTTCCTTTTGTTTATGTTTTGGCCTTTCCTCTTTGTCTTTTCATGTAGACCAGATATTTGAAAGGGCAGACGATGGCTAGAGGTGTAATGTGCAGCTTGTTTATACATTATTTCGGGAAACTTAGCTTGGATGGGAAATGGAATTGTGGATTCACCAGGCCGGTGCTGGCACACTCACCCTCGCCCTTTCCCTCCGGTTCAGTACCTATTGTTTCTCCTTTCAAATATGTGATTGTACTAGCTCTTTCCATATGAAAGAATTCTCCTTATTTAAATAAAAAAAAGTTAAAAAAAAAATAAAGCTGAACATGCTTTCTCAGGTTGTATGTCCCTCATTTCTCAGTCATTTGACTGGAGAGACCTACAGATCAAAAGTTCTAATTTTACAGAGTTCACACAGAAATCAGGAGTGGTGCAGCCGACACACCTTAACAGAAGCTGTATGGGTAGAGAAGGGATCAGAACCCATGGTTAAGGAGCATCTTCAAAATGTAGCAGCATCAAGCACTCTCCAGTCTCTTCCCACAGATGGCATCTGGCTGTGCACAGTGCCAGCCTGCAACCCCACCACTTGCAGTGAGAAATGGGTTGGTCACAGGAGGTAAGCATTTCATGTGGCGTGTTATGTTGCCACTTCTAGTAGTGTTTTTGCAGGAAGTAGAGGATGATGCTGTGCTCTGGGGTGGGGAAGGAGCAGGCCAGGCCTGGGGTAGCAAAGGGTAATAGTTCAGAATTGGTTCTCGGTTTTGCCATTGCCTCACTGTGTGTCTTGGGGACATTTCACCACCTGGGTCTTTTATGTCTTTAATGGTTAAGTCTCCTTAACCATAAAATGTAGATGGTAATGGTATCAATGGGGTCATGTGGATTCAAAGAGGTCACTAGTAGCTTTTGGCTTAGTGCCTGGAACCAGCTAAGAAAACTTAATTACCTCCCAAGAAATAAAATGCTGTTTCCAACCTCAACTTCCTTCTAAGCCTTTTGACTATGGATAAGAGTTGGGGACCTGGGCACAGGCATCTCAGCTTCAACCAATCACACTCAGTGCCCTGATTCACTGCTCCCTAGGGACAGGTGGCTTACAGCCAGCCCCAAAGGAGACTAGTCCTGAGGTTGGGGGCCTGCAAGATGGAGCTTTAACTCATGAGGCACCACCACTGTTAGCATGGCATGCACCAAAGCTCAGCGGCCCAGCCCCACTCCCTCCTGGGGCCCAGGGAACCCTCCCTGCCCAGTGTAAACATAGTTGCCTGCAGGCTCTAGCCACAAACCCAGGTGAGCCCCAGCTCCTTCCCTCTGTGGGATCTTGGGTGAGTCACATAACCCTTCATGGGTAAGCCATAAAGAAGTAACCACTACGTTCGCAACTGGTGTCACCTAATGCTATGTTGACTGACATGGAAAAAAATATCTTGCAGACAACCAAGAACAATAATTAAGGTTATTAAACCCACAGTGTGCCCATTTGGTCTCTATAGGTTAACATACAAATAGACCAGGAGATCAAGAAGGGGTGAGGCCGAGAAGAGTGATCCATTAGCCTGGTTCCACTGCTGTCAGTTACATGCTCGGTGCCCATCCAGGCAAAATATGGGAAGGGGTGCAGTCAACCAAAAGTACCATGTTAGCCCCAAAGCAGGTCTTTGGGAAGGCTCTTGATGCTGAGCAGAGGGGGCTGGAGAGGCTGATGGATGAGGAAGAGGAGCCCTGGGAAGGGAGGAAGAAGCCTCCAGTCTTCTGCCAGGGAGTTTAAGAGAGTTGCCCCCACTGAAGCCTCTGGTGGTCTTGCAGCCCCCACCATGTCCGGGTTTTTGGGTTTTTTGTTTTGAGACAGGTGTGACCACAGCAGACTGCAGCCTCGACCTCCCTGCCCCAAGCAATCTTCCTACCTCAGCCTCCCTTGTAGCTGAGACCGCAGGCAGACACCAACAGGCCCGGCTAATTTTTGTATTTTTTCATACATACCGGCTCTTGCTATGTTGCCCAGGCTCTTCTGGAACTCAAGCAGGCTCACTTGATCCTCCTGCCTCGGCCACCCAAAGTGCTGGGGTTACAGGCGTCAGCCACCGCTCCCGGCCCTAGGTCCCTTTTAAATGCACTTACCCTCAGCCCCTCCTCTGCTAGATGTATGTGCAAGCAGGTTCGCGGCAGCGATTTTTTTGGCAAGAAAACTAGGGGCGTGGGGGCGTGGAACTGTGGTCCCAGCTACTCGGGAGTCCGAGGCGGGAGGATAGCGTGGGGCAGGGAGGTCGAGGCTGCAGCAAGCTGTGGTCCTGACACCACTTCAGCCTGGACGAAAGAGCAAGACCCTGTCCCAAAAAATTAAAGCCAGGCGCCATGGCTCACGCCTGTAATCACAGCACTTTGGGAGGCCGAGACGGGCGGGTCATTTGATGTCAGGAGTTCGAGACTAGCCTGACCAACATGGTGAAACCGGTCTCTACTAAAAACACTAACTTAGCCGTGGTGGTGGCGGGCGCCTGCAGTCCCAGCTACTCGGGAGGCTGAAGCAGGAGAATAGCTTGAACCCGCAAGGCGAAGGTTGCGGTAAGCCGAGATCGTGCCATTACCCTACAGCCTGGGCAACAAGAGCGAAACTCCGTCTCAAAACCAAATTAATTAATTAATTAAAAAGAAATCTGGGAGCAAACTGGCGCACCGCTGTGCAGAGGCAGAATTAAGATCTCCACGCCGGATGAAGTGAAAAAGCAAGGAGAAGATTGGTGGGAGCCCACTGCGTTTTTAAAAAGCTGCACGTTTGCTTAGAGTACACAGAAAACCCGGTACACAAAGCAGTAGCACCTGAGGGAGGGGAAGTCCCCCCGCGTTTGACACTTGCTTCTCCCCGGGGCCTGGCGCCCTCACCTGCTGCGCACGCGCGCCACTGCCCAGTGCGCACGCGCGCTGTTGCCAGTCGGGTCCCGCAGGCGCGGTGAATCGAACGTCGAGAGGGCGGTGGGCGGTGCGGAGTGCCGAAGCGCCTTGCTCCCAGCCGTCGGCCCAGTCCGGCGATTCCGAGGCCTTGCCATGAGTCTTTCGCGGCTCTGCCTGGACTCGGAGAAACGCGGGTACGTTTAGGGACACCGGGGATGAGGGCCCAGCCCGCACTCGGGGGAGTCCATCAGTGCGTGACGCGGGTGAGCGGCCTGCGGACAGGCTGGGGCCAGGGGCGTCCCCGTGTTGCCGGAGCCGTGGGCGGGGTTCGGCGCCCTCACCCTTGCAAGTGAGGCGTCAGGGGCCGACCGAGCCCCGTAGTAAGAACTCCGCGGCATGTGCAGCACTAGGGAGGAGGGGCGTGCCCCGGGTGCAGCCTCCGGAGTGGTGGCAGGGACCGGTATGGCCTGTGGGGAAGAAGGGCCGGCCAGGGAGGTGCGGTCTGCAAGGGGGGAGTAGGCACTTCCAGGACGGCTGGTCCTCTTGGGAGGAAGGTGCTCAGGGCAGATGCAGCTCAGGGAGGGAAGAGCCAGAGCTCGTCCAGGGTAGATGGGGCCTGGGGATGTCAGCGGGGTGCCAGCGGCCAGATGCAGCTGTGTTGTGAGACTGGGACCCCAAGGCTGATGCAGCTTCAAAAGAAGCAGAGCTCAAGGGAAGATGAAGCCTGGAGGAGAACTTGGGGGCTCAGGATGAAAATGCACCCTCTAAGCGAGAAAGGGGGACTCAGAGTGCAAATGCATCCTCCAGGTGAGAAAGGGGGGCTCAGAGTGAAAATGCACCCTCCAGGTGAGAAAGGGGGGCTCAGAGTGCAAATGTACCCTCCAGGTGAGAAAGGGGGGCTCAGACTGCAAATGCACCCTCCAGGCAAGAAAGGGAACACCCTCGGGGTGATGTGCCCCTGGGAGAGAAGGCCGGGAGGCGCTGGGGGCAGATTCATCCTTAAGGAGAGATGAGAAGGCCCTGAGGCTCGGGCGGGTTGAGGTCCCTGGGCATAAGCAGCTGAGATGGCACCCAGGAGCTGCTCAGGGTCGGGGAGCCGTCGGCACCGTGTGAGCTCCTGGTCGTTGGGGAGGGAGGGGAGAAAGACTGGCATTCCTTAGCAGTGTTCTTGCTCCCAGGACGTTCTCAGCAGGTTTTATCCCTGCCTTTCTCAGCAGGAATGAGTTGTTGAAGGGAGTGAATGTCCAGTCCTGAGATCCCTGAAGTCCCACCCGAGTTCACTGGTAGTGCCCCTCACCCCATATGTCTACCTGAACTGAGGCTCCATGAACAACTGCCTTTCTCAGCAGCCTGGCTGTGCTGTGGTTCCCTCTGTGCATCTGGGAGCCGGGGGCTTCGGATTCCTTCTGTAGCTTCCTGTGAGCCCTCATTGACCACGGTGCCTCCCTTCTTTTCTAGGGCATCTACCTGAGCCTGCTTTTCTACAAGATGTGGGGATTTTTGAAGCGCCCTGTAGTGGTGACTGCCGACATCAATTTGCACCTTGTGGCCCTGACTGGGATGGGGTTACTGAGCCGGCTGTGGCAGCTCACCTACCCGCGGGCCGTGGTGTAAGCAAAATGACTAAATTCCCAGTGTGAATTGAAAATTGTACTTTGTGACAGGAGGGGCCTTACTGAATAGCATAAATAGGAAAGTGAAATCCTGGCTTCTTGGTGATAGATGTTTTTGGCAGTGAGAGGAGAGACCAGTCTGTCCCCAGGACAGCCCCAGCAGAGTATTTAGGTCTTGCCTTCTGGGTCTGTGGCAGGTGAAATCTGGCCCATTGGATGGTGTGGTAGAGGAATATCTGGTTGCCAGCCTTAGATAACAGTGTTAAAGTCTGGATGGCAGAGGACTGATGGATTTGGAAGTGAGTCTTCACTGTTGACAGCACTCAGAATGTGTTTTTGTCATAATAGGAAATGGCTGCTGTTAGTATCGAAGGGCTGTTTGTTAACTGATTAATGCGTGTTCTTGTTTGTTTAACTTTCTATTATGGAATATGTCAAACATATGCAAAAGCAGGGAGGTGAGTATAATGAATGCCCCTCCATAGACACCAATGTATTCATTACCCAGCTTCACCTGTATCGGTTCACAGCCAACCCCTCCCTGCAGTGGAACTCTGAAGCAAATCCTAGACATATTGTATTCATAGATAATTCAGTGTATCTGCAAAAGATGAGGATTCTTTTTTTTTTTTTTTTTCTTTTTTTGAGACAGAGTCTTGCTCTGCCACCTAGGCAGTAGTGCAATGGTGCGATCTCAGCTCACTGTAACCTCCACCTGCTGGTTTCAAGCAATTCTCCTGCCTCAGCCTTCTGAGTAACTGGGATTACAGGCGCCTGCCACCCGTCTGGCTAATTCTGCTATCTTTAGTAGGGATAGGGTACCACCATGTTGGCCAGGCTGGTCTCAAAACTCCTAACCTCTGGTGATCCACCCGCCTCAGCCTCCCAATGTGCTGATATTACAAGCGTGAGCCACCTCGCCCAGCGGAGAATTCTTAAAAATCACATAACCACGGTTCCATTGTCATGCCTGATAAATTGCTCGGTTATCTTCACATTTCCCTGATTGAAGACATGTTATTGCAGTTGATTCCCACATTTTCCCTTCATACTTGCAGCCGTTTCATTGGGTCATCAGGTCTGATCCCTAGCCACAGATGTGCTTCTGTCCCGGGCGGAGGTGGGTGGATAGGAGGGATTAGCCTCGTGTCCTGGGAGGTATTTCAGCAGGTTGGTTTGTAGTATCCACCTAAATCAAATTTGTGGGAGAAACGGAATCTGTATGGGGCAGGCATGCTGAGTGCCAGCTGTGCTTGGTGAATTCTCATGTCTCTGTAGGTGGATGATGCTGTATGTGTCTTAATGTTTGGGGCTGGGAAACAATTGGGGCAAACGATCCACCCTTTGCTGATCACCCACCCAGAGTCATTTGGAAACACATAGACATTTATCCTCACATTTTGTTTACAGTTAAGATTCTAATTGAATACAATGTGTGGGTTTTTTTTCCCAGTTTTGACGAAGTATATTATGGGCAGTACATCTCTTTTTACATGAAACGAATCTTCTTCTTGGACGACAGTGGACCACCATTTGGCCACATGGTGCTGGCCTTGGGAGGTAGGCGTCATCAGTTAGGAGAGTAGCCCCTGCCCGTCAGGACCTGAAATGCATTTAAACTTATCAGTGAATTTCTTAAGGGCAGAAACCAGTCTTATTATTGATGCATCTTGTTTATTGTCTGCCACAGTACTCTGAAAACGTTTGCTGAAGAGAATGGTTACTGATTAATCTTCTGTTTCAGGTTATTTAGGAGGATTCGATGGCAATTTTTTGTGGAACAGAATTGGAGCAGGTAAAAGTTTCATTTCCCTTATGAATGTGCACAGCTTAGAATGGAGACATGGCTTTCGCAGGGATTAACAACTGTGGCTTTTCTTTTCGCTTTTATACCTAGTCCTGCAGAAACTGCCTTATTAATCTGAGTCCAGGAAATAATAAATGGGTTGGATGCAAGTGAAAGACTTGAAAAGTCTGGTAAAAACCTTAGTGTTTATTTACAGTCCTTATTTTATCCCTTGTTTTTGGTACATGTATTATGTAGCATCTCACTGCAATTATCTTTGTACACGTAAACTTTGTACATTGCTACAATGTTTTTGAAAATAGGTAGGGTAAATGTACAAGCAAAATGGTAATTTTCGAATCCTTAGTCACTCTTCCTTTACCTCCTGAGATCAGGTCCGTGCCTGTGCAAAGCTAATTTCAAAGCCTTCACCCATAATTTACCCACTCCACTGCTGATGTGGTTTCCAGTTTTGTAAACGTGTGTATTAGAGTCTGTGAACATGATGGCATTATGTGAAAAGATACCTGCAGGCCGGGTGTTCTGTGAAAACATACCTGCGTGGTGGCTCATGCTTATAATCCCTGCACTTTGGGAGGCTGAGGCTGGCAGATCACAAAGTCAGGAGTTTGAGACCAGCCTGGCCAAAATAATAAAACCCCATCTCTACTAAAAAAAAAAATACAAAAAATTAGCCAGGTGTGGTAGTGGGTGCCTATAATCCTAGCTACTTGGGAGGCTGAGGCGGGAGAATCGCTTGAACCTGGGAGGCGGAGGTTGCAGCCAGCTGAGATCATGCCACTGCACTCCAGCCCAGGCAGCAGTGTGAGACTCTGTCTCAAAAAAATAAAAAACAAACACACCTGCAGCACATGGAGATGGTGTGCGCACAGCGCAGTCAGCTCTACAGTGTGGTTGCTTTTCCAGAATACAGTAGCAACGTGCCTGTGTGGTCTCTGCGCCTGCTGCCGGCGCTCGCTGGGGCCTTGTCAGTCCCCATGGCCTACCAGATAGTGTTGGAGCTCCACTTTTCTCATTGTGCCGCCGTGGGAGCTGCTCTGTTGATGCTTATTGGTAAGACCTGGGCCCCCACCTGCTCTTGCTGTCATGCAGGGAAGAACCGAGCCTTTGGCCCAGAAGATCACATGGGCTTATTGGGCGAGCTGCCCTGGAAAGTACGTCTGGTTCATCCAGATTTGACGCTGCGAGGCTAACCCTGTGGCTGTGGGATTGCTGAACTGTGGGATCAGACTGTTATCAGCAGCGGGACTATGGTAGTAGAAAACTGTCCACATGATGCGGCAAAGTCCATGCATAGGTGGGCACCTCCGTCTCCATCCAATCCTGTGGCCAAATGGCAACTTCTCCTTGTTCCATCACCTCCCAGGCTTTGGCCAGTAGAGATGGACTCATGAGTCAGTGGATTCTCTTCATAGAGGGTCTTCCAGCTCATGTTTATGAACAGATGAAATTAAATCAGATGAAAAATTAGATTAGGCTGGGCGAGGTGACTCACGCCTGTGATCCCAGCATGTTGGGGGACTGAGGCAGGTGGGTTGCTTGAGCCCAGGAGTTTCAGACCAGCCTAGGCAAGATAGTGAGACTGTGTCTCTACAAAAAATAAAAGGGCTGGGTGCAGTGGCTCATGCATATAATCCCAGCACTTTGGGAGGCCCAGGTGGGCAGATTACGAGGTCAGGAGTTTAAGACCAGCCTGGCCAACATGGTGAAACCCTGGCTCTACTAAAAATACAGAAAATTAGCTGGGCCTGGTGGCAGGTGCCTATAATACCAGCTAGTTAGGAGGCTGAGGCAGGAGAGTCACTTGAACCCGGGAGGTAGAGGTTACAGTGAGCTGAGACTGCACCACTGCCCTCCAGCCTGGACAACAGAGCAATACTCCGTCTCAAAAAATAAAACAATAAAAATTTTAAAAATTAGCCAGGTGTGGTGGCATGAGCCTGTAATCCCAGCTACTCAGGAGCCTGAGGCAGGAGGATCCCTTGAGCCCAGGTAGTCAAGGCTGCAGTGAGCCATGATCGTGCCACTGCACTCCAGCCTGGGAAACAAAGCAAGACCCTGAGTCAAACACACACACACACAGGAGAAAAAGAGATGTTGTGTATTAGGTGATGACTGTGAAAGGCTCTGTTTTCACATTCACAGCAGCCCTACACGGTCATATTACTTCTGAAGTCTACCTTTTTTCGTAAATATTTTTCATCTTTATACATTTGTCCTTGCTACCTTAAGGTTGACACGTATTTCCTCTTTGTAACAGAGAATGCTCTCATCACGCAGTCAAGGCTAATGCTCTTGGAATCAGTGTTAATATTTTTTAATCTATTGGCCGTGTTGTCCTACCTGAAGTTCTTCAACTGCCAAAAGCAGAGGTATGGAAAACGGGTATCTATCTTCCTAGTCAATGAGAACAGAGAATCTGGGTGGTTTGTTGACCTGAGGTGGTCTGGTGCCTTTTCAATTTGAGGAGTTGCTTGCTCAATTGTTTTTGAGACAGAGTCTCTGTCACCCCGGCTGGAGTGCGATGGTATAATCTCGGCTCTCGGCTCACTGCAACCCTCAAATCCCAGGTTCAATTGATTGTCCAGCCTCAGCCTCCCGAGTAGCTGGGATTATAGGCATGCGCCACTGTACCTGGCTAATTTTTGTGTTTTAGTAGAGACTGGGTTTCACCATATCGGCCAGGCTGGTCTCGGACTCTGACAACAGGTGATCCACCCGCCTCAGCCTCCCAAAGTGCTGGGATTACAACTGTGAACCTCCGCGCCCAGCACTAAATATTTTTTGGTCCCCTAGTTTTTTGAGGGTTGGGCCCTGGCTTGTGACTTCAAAAATGCATCCTCATTTTTCTATAATTTAAACTAACTGGACAAAATTTTTTGAGCAAAAAGAAAAATCCTGCTGGGACAGATACTTTGGGAGATGGGAATTCTTTCTTATTGCTCTTGGGGCTCAGCACAGCCAGCTGACCCAGAAAGATTTCTCTGAGGAATGTGGAGCTTCTGTAGCCTTTTGGTAATAGTGTCTGGGCTGAGCACAGTGGCTCACACCTGTAATCCCAGCACTTTGGGAGGCCGAGACAGGCAGATCACAAGGTCAGGAAATTGAGACCATCCTGGTTAACACTGTGAAACCCCATCTCTACTAAAAATCCAAAACATTGGCCGGGTGTGGTAGCACATGCCTGTAATCCCAGCTAGTCAGGAAGCTGAGGCAGGAGAATCACTTGAACCTGGGAGGTGGAGGTTGCAGTGAGCCGAGATCACGCCATTGCACTCCAGCCTGGGTGACAGAGCAAGACTCTGTCTCAAAAAAAAAAAAAAAAAAAAAAAAAGAAAGAAAGAAAGAAATAGTGGTGTCTGAATGATTCCTATCTCCATCTGCTCTGTTTTTATTCCAGCCCTTTTTCTCTGAGCTGGTGGTTCTGGCTGACACTGACAGGAGTCGCTTGTTCCTGTGCGGTGGGGTGAGTTTGAGCCTCTGGTCATGGGTGGTGTGTTCTTCCTCCTCGTGTTTCCTGTCTCATGTTAACTCCAATTCAATCATGTCTTTGCAGCATCAAGTACATGGGTGTGTTCACGTACATGCTCATGCTGGTTGTCGCAGCCGTCCATGCCTGGCACCTGATTGGAGACCAGACTTTGTCCAATGTAGGTGCTGATGTGGAGTGCTGCGTTAGGCCAGCTTGTGTGGGGCAGATGGGGATGGTGCAGCGGGTACTTGGTGAAAAGACTCAACTCCCCCATGCTTCAGAAGCAGGCAGGCCTGGGCAGCCTCACCTGTCGGCTTCTGCAGGTGCCTCTGTATGGGAGCCTGGAGTTTCACTTTTTCTAAGCTCACAGTGTCTGGAGGAGGGTGCACCTTTCCATGTAGTAGAACATGACTTTTCCGTGAATCTCTGGCAGGTCCGTGTGTTCTGTCACTTGCTCGCCCGAGCAGTGGCTTTGCTGGTCATCCCGGCCGTCCTGTACTTACTGTTTTTCTACGTCCACTTGATTCTGCTCTTCCGCTCTGGGCCCCACGACCAAATTATGTCCAGTGCCTTCCAGGCCAGCTTAGAGGTGAGCAGTGGGCATTGTGGCCACTTGAGAAGGAAGATGATAGTGGGCCCAGAGTTTTCTTATGAACACATCCAGTGCATATTAGCACTTGAATCAAGAAATGAGGAATCCACGTCAGTGTTTCTTTTTTTTTTTTTATTGCAAGGGCAGGGGTGGCAGGTGGCAGCAGAGTCTTTCTCTGTCACCCAAACTCCGCCTCCTAGATTCAAGCAAGCCTCCTGCCTCAGTCTCCCACGTAGCTGGGATTACAAGCGCCTGCAACCACAACCAGCTAATTTTTTGTATTTTTAGTAGAGATGGTGTTTCACCATGTTGGCCAGACTGGTCTGCATCTCCTGACCTTAAGTGATCCACCTGCCTTAGCCTCCCAAAGTGAGCCACTGCGCCTGGCACCTAGGAGCATTTTAAAGTCAAGTCCTACAAACCCTGGGCAGTTTGACCTGCCTTAAGGGCCACACTCAACTTCATTCCTGTGAACCTTGCAGCAGTGCTCGAAGGTGTCAGTGAAGGCCGTCAGGACTCTGATTCCTGAAGTCGGCCCAGCCTGCACAGCCAGTGCTCTAGTGATGCGTGTTTCAGCAAGTGGTTTAGCTCGCCCCAGTCTTGGTTTTCTCATCTCTTAGACAGACGTCATCATTGCTCTACCTCACAGGATGTTTATAAGAGCTGAATAGGGTGCACATGGAAGGCTGAACTGAGCGCTTGACCCAGAGGCAGCATTTGATCAGTCTTAGTGCTAATTATGGTTCTGTAATGTAACGTGACATGATTAAATGGTAGATCATTACCGCTATTACAAGAATGGCCACTGCCTTGAACATCAAGGGAGGAGTGGCCATCGGGAAGCCTGGCTTAGGGCCATTATGTTTTCTGTCTCAGTCACCAACCTTTTGCTTCTGTCTCAGGGAGGACTAGCTCGGATCACCCAGGGCCAGCCGCTGGAGGTGGCCTTTGGGTCCCAGGTCACTCTGAGGAGCGTCTTTGGCAAACCAGTGCCATGCTGGCTTCACTCCCACCAGAACACCTACCCCATGATGTAAGAAAAGTGATTGTTTTACTCTGAAGATGATTAAAGACGTTATTTGCCCATAGATTTCTTATCTTAGCAATTTTCCATTTCTTTGAGGAAGTTTGTTTACAGGACAGAAGGAAGTTGAGCTGCCCAGGTGCCCATTGCCAGTGAGCTTCGTGTTCCCGGGTGTTGCTGGGAACCACGAGGGGACTTGGCATGTGGCAGGGCTCAGGGTGGGCCCCAGCTCCGTGGCTGTGGCTGATCTCTGTGCTGCCTGCCTAAATCATCTGATTTTGGCTCCTTGTGGTGTCTTCATTTTCCCTGAAACACTTGCGTAGTGTTTGTTGAAATCTGCTTCCCTTTGCAGAAACTTAAGGAGAAAGACCTGTGGGCCTGATTGATGACCCACTTCCAGATACATTTCTTTTTTTCACGAATAGAGATGGGGTCTCACTATGTTGCCTGGGCTGGTCTCAAACTCCTGGGCTCAAACAGTTCTCCCACCCAGCCTCCCAGAGTGCCGTGATTACAGGCATGAGCCACCGCCTGGGCCAGACACAGCTCTTTGTTGACCTCACACAGATATGAGAACGGCCGAGGCAGCTCCCACCAGCAGCAGGTGACCTGTTACCCCTTCAAAGACGTCAATAACTGGTGGATTGTAAAGGATCCCAGGAGGTGAGTGCAGGTGCTGTGACTCCAGAGCAGAGCTCACCTGCTGGCCTGGCCAGTGAGACCCTGGGACACTGTCCTGGACCCCCTTCTTCCCTCCCTCACTGACTCCAGTCACCGTCATGGCCTTGAATGCCAGCTCAGTGCTAAGTCTAGGGTCAGGGGAGTAGATCATTAGACCCTGAGTGAGCAGCCTGTTCAGTAGGTGCTCTGAGGAGGTTCCAGGTGAGCCTCGATGCCCCGAACTGCCCTTTCCCACCTCCCCCTCCCTTCCTCAAAAAAAAAAAAGAACTCGGCCGGGCGCAATGGCTCATGCCTATAATCCCAGCACTCTGGGAGGCCGAGGTGGGTGGATCATGAGGTCAAGAGATTGAGACTATCCTGGTCAACAAAGTGAAACCCCGTTTCTACTAAAAATACAAAAAAATTAGCTGGGCATGGTGGTGCACGCCTGTAGTCGCAGCTACTCGGGAGGCTGAGGCAGGAGAATTGCTTGAACCCAGAAGGCGGAGGTTGCAGTGAGCTGAGATCGTGCCATTGCATTCCAGCCTGGGTAACAAGAGCGAAACTGCATCTCAAAAAAAAAGAACTCCCCTCCTGCAAAAGTGGCATCATTGCACAGACCCCAGCTAGAGGCGCCCCTTGCTTTCACTCCCTCCCACATCCATCCTGTGAATTCTGCCCCCAAACAAGGTTTCCAGCCATCCTGGTCACCGTCTCTCGATGGCATCCTCCCATTGCTGCCTGCCCACCTCAAGCACCTGCAGCCCAAGTGGGCTTCTTTTTTTCTTTTGAGACAAAGTCTAGCTCTGTCACCCAGCCTGGAGTGCAGTGGAGTGATCTTGGGTCAATGCAACCTCTGCCTCCCAGTTCAAGCGATTCTCCTGCCTCAACCTCCCGAGTTGCTGGGACTGCAGGACCACCACCATGCCCGGGGAATTTTTGTATTTTCAGTAGAGACGGGTTTCACCATGTTGGCCAGGCTGGTTTTAAACTCCTGACCTCAGGTGATCTGCCCTCCTCAGCCTCCCAAAGTGCTAGAATTGCAGGTGTGAGCCACTGCCTGGCCCCCTCATACACTTTGATGGGTGGAATGGCCTTCAGGATTCCTTGGTGGTCCTGCTACATTTGTTACTGTGGTGTTTGTAGAGAAATTCAGAGCAATGCAGGGGTGATGACTGCAGGTGGAGTCACATTTGGAAAGTGACCTTTGGTTTTAGAAAAGGGCTCGATCAGTGTCTGTGCTTTGGTTTCCTGTGTTCCCCTTGCATGGGGCACTCAGGTTGGGAGGCGGCCTCAGCCACGAGAATTCAGAGCTCATGCCCTCTGGGGCAGACGTTACCTTGAGGGTACCAGCTCTGCGTGGTCCTGACAGCACTGCATCTTCAGGCACCAGCTGGTGGTGAGCAGCCCCCTGAGACCCGTGCGGCATGGGGACATGGTGCAGCTAGTCCACGGCATGACCGCCCGCTCCCTGAACACGTGAGTGTGCCCACTATTGGCTCGCCTGCATCTGTGGGTTTCCCATGTGGTTCTCTGTTCAGAGCAAAATGTGAGCCCTGCTTTGGGCCACTGCCTCCTGTCTCCCCCTCACCTGCATGTGTAGTAGCTCTTAGACCTACATTTTGATGCCAGAAGGGGAACCAGACCTGGCGCGGAAGGGAGGGGGTTAAGAGGAAGCAGAGGCTCCGGGAGACACGACCCATCCTGGGAGAGCTAGAGGTCCGTGGATGAGTGGGCAAGGATGGGCTGCAAATGTCGACGTGCTTTCTATGCAGAGAATGGGGTTTGGGCACTCCTCCATAAAGTGGTGAAGTTTCAAGTATGAGTGAGTTCAAGAGGCCTAGAAGTTTGGGCATGAGTGGAGCCTCGAAGCCTTCCCTGTTGCTCCTTCGTTTTTGTCCAACTTGCCTTACCACGGCGCTGGGCACCGTAGCTCACACCCTCATCCTCCCTCCCTGGCTGCCCTCTCCACCGCCGCCTCTTCCTCCGCTACTCTCAGTCTCTGGCCTTGCCGCCTCTGCTCAGCCCCAGTCCCAGGGCTGCCCGTCCTGCACCTCTACCTGGCTGCCCAGGGCTCACCTCAAGCTCCATGACTCCCAGCTCCACAGGGGCAGTCACGGGCTCTGGCTCTTCTGGTCCTCCCTGGAAAAGGCCCAGTTGCCAAGGCATCACCTGGCTCTTTCCCCTCCTCTGCCGTCGCATATGGATTCCGTTGTGAGATCCTGTTTCTCAGCCTTCAGAACCAGCCTTGGGCAGTGGTCCTTCCTTCTCCCTCCACTCCCACCTCCTAGGGCCTGACCTCCCTGCCTCGCAGCAGCCTAGCCAGCCTGGGGACCATGTGCAGCCTGCTCGCGTTGCTCCTCTGTGCTCGGTGACTCCCGTCACGCTGGGTTCTCCCACCAAGGCCCCTGGAGACCCTGGCATGCTTCACCTCTGCCACTCTGGCTCCCCCTCAGCCCTGAAATGACCACCCACAGCCCCCCGCCTGGGCCTTCACACTTGCTCCCTCTGTGGAAATGTTCTTGGACTTGGCCCCTCCATGGCCCACTCTATGTAGGGGTCTGCTGGGATGTCACTGTATCAAAAAGCGTCTCCTGGGTGCTGTCCCCTATTTGTTTTACTAGTGGCACTCCTACAGCTGCACGCTCTGCCCACCAGCACGATGGCTATTTCCCAGAGGGCTGTGAGGGCCTCGTCTTGTTCACAGCTGGGTGGCTATTCCTAGACAGTGCCAGGTGCTTGGTGCGGTTACAACATGGCTACTGAGTGTGTGGATTAAGAGGAAGTGGGTGTTCCTGGCCGGGCTCGGTGGCTCACACCTGTATTCCCAGCACTTTGGGAGGCCAAAATGGGCAGATCACTTGGGGTCAGGAGTTCAAGATCAGCCTGGCCAACGTGGTGAAGCCCTGTCCCTACAAAAAAATACATAAATCAGCTAGGTGTGGTGGCACCTGCTTGTCATCCCAGCTACTTGGGAGGCTGAGGTGGGAGAATCACTTGAACCTGGGAGGTGGGGGTGCAGTGAGTGGAGATTTTGCCATTGCACTTCAGCCTGGGCTACAGGAATGAGACTCTGTCTCAAAAAAAAAACAAAGAAGAACCTGAACATTGAGGTTAATAGCATGAGGGCAGCCTTTTCTCCAGCATAACTGCTGGATCCCGAGGGCAGGTGGCTGCGTGCAGGGCCGGGCAGCTCAGCCCTGTGTGCTCCGGCATTGGCAGTGCCTGCCGGCATCACAGCCGTACCAGGTCAGGCCTGGGCTTGCAGTTCCTGCCTCTGAAACTTGGTTTGCTCGTCTAACGGATGGAAGATTCCACAGCAGAGTGTCCTTTTCCCCTGGAAATATTCCTGCAGGGTCTCCTGTCTGTTCAGCATCCGTTCATCATTGGGCCTCAGGACCTGCAGCTACGGGATCAGGCCACGCCTTCTGGTTGAGCCAGCCTTGTTTCTGAAAAGCAACTTTTCCCCCCCGAAAGATTTAGTGACTGCCTTTGAGAGGAGTTCAAGGAATTCCTTCTGAAATCTGTGTCTGGGTTTTCCAGGCATGACGTTGCAGCCCCCATGAGTCCCCATTCACAGGAGGTCTCCTGCTATATCGACTATAACATCTCCATGCCCGCCCAGAACCTCTGGAGACTGGTGAGTAAGGCTGTGGCTAGAGCAGTGGCCATCAGTAATGAGCACTCCCTCACACGGAGCACTCCCTCACACAGAGCACCCCTCACAGGGAGAGCTCCCTCACAGAGTGCTCCCTCACTCGGAGCACTTCCTCACATGGAGCACTCCCTCACACAGAGCACGCCCTCACATGGAGTGCCCCTCACACGGAGGGCTCCCTCACAGAGTGCTCCCTCACTCGAAGCACTTCCTCACACGGAGCACTCCACACGGATCACCCGTCACACGGAGAGCTCCCTCACAGAGTGCTCCCTCACTCGGAGGAGTACCTCACACGGAGCGCTCCCTCACTTGGAGCACTCCCTCACACAGAGCACTTCCTCACACAGAGCACTTCCTCACATGGAGTGCCCCTCACAGGGAGGGCTCCCTCATAAGAGTGCTCCCTCACTTGGAGCACTTCCTCGCACAGAGCACTCCCTTACACAGAGCACTCCCTCACACAGAGCACCCCTCACACAGAGCACCCCTCACACAGAGAGTTCCCTCACAGAGTGCTCCCTCACTCAGAGCACTACCTCACACGGAGTGCCCCCTCACTTGGAGCACTTCCTCACACGGAGTGCCCCTCATACGGAGCACTCCCTCAACAGCACACTCCCTCACACGGAGCGCCCCCTCACACAGCACTCCCTCACTCGGAGAGCCCCCTCACACAGGGCGCCCCCTCATGGAGTGCTCCCTCACATGGAGCGCCCCCTCACACGGAGAACTCCCTCACAGAGGGCTCCCTCACTTGGAGCACTTCCTCACACGGAGCACTCCCTCACACTGAGCCTCCCCTCACGGAGTGCTCCCTTACATGGAGCGCCCCCTCACACAGAGGGCTCCCTCACAGAGTGCTCCTTCAGAGCCCTTCCTCACACAGAGCACTCCCTCACATGGAGGGCTCCCTCACAGAGTGCTCCCTCACTCAGAACATTTCCTCACACAGAGCCTTCCCTCACAGAGCTCCCCCTCACATGGAGCGCTCCCTCACACGGAGTGCTCCCTCACACAGAGTGCTCCGTCACATGGGGTGCTCCGTCACACAGAATGCTTCATCACATGGGGTGCTCCCTCACACAGAGTGCTCCCTCAGAGCACTCCCTGATACAGAGCACTCTCTGACACAGAGCGCTCCCTCGCACAGAGTGCTACCTCACTCAGAGCATTCCCTCACACGCAGTGCTCCCTCACACAGAGCACTCCCTCACTCGGAGCACTCCCAACATGGAGAACTCCCTCACACGGACTGCTTCCTGACACAGAGCAATCCCTCACACGGAGCACTCCCTGACACAGAGGACTCTGTCAAGCATTCCCTCACATGGAGTGCTTCCTGACAGAGCGCTCCCCCACTCGGAGCACTTCCTCACACGGAGCACTCCCTCACACAGAGCACTGCCTCACACGGAGTGCTCCCTCACTCAGAGCACTCCCTCACACGGAATGCTCCCTCACATGGAGTGCTCCCGCACTCAGAGCACTCCCTCACACAGAGTGCTCCCCCCCTCAGAGCACTCCCTCACACAGAGCACTCCCTTACACAGAGTGCTCCCTCACTCAGAGCGCTCCCTCACACAGAGGCTCCCTCATACGGAGTGCTCCCTCACACAGCACTCCCTCACACAGAGTGTTCCCTCACCCGGAGCACTCATACACAGTGCTCCCTCACACAGAGTGCTCCCACACTCGGAGCACTCCCTAACATGAAGAACTCCCTCGAGCATTCCCTCACACAGACTGCTTCCTGGCACAGAGCACTCCCTCACATGGAGCACTTCCTGACAGAGGGCTTCCTGGAGCATTCCCTCACACAGACTGCTTCCTGACACAGAGCACTCCCTCACACAGAGCATTTTCTGACATGGAGCGCTTCCTAACATAAAATGTTTGAAACTGCCATTGAAAATAATTATTTTTCTTTGCTTTCAGTTCCCTCAGTTGAGGCTGGATATTTAGAATAATTCTGATTCAGATGTCAAGTTACATAACTTTGATTCATACGTAAAGTCACAGATGCTCTCACAGGGAACAGATGTGTCTTCCTCTGTGGAAATGGGGAACCTGGTGGTTTCCTGTGTCACTCAGGTTCTAAACGCTTTGTGTTTGCTCCAAGTTGGGCGCCAGCTGCTCTTGTGGCTCTGTTAGGTGAAAGTTCTCTCAACCTGTTCAGCCTCAGGGGCAGGTCCTGAACATGAGACATGAGCTCTGGACACTGCCCCTGCCGCAATGGTCCAGGAGAAATTCCATTTCTCAGGATTTCCCTGGGATAGGCTTAGCCATGAGTGTGTGGGATGTTCCCGAGGTGCTGGGTCTGTGCTCACCTTTCCTTTGAGTGACCAGGGCCATCTGCTCCCCTCACAGAATTGGGTCTCCTGGGAAAGGTTCCATAAAAAGTGTTCCGTTACTGAACCATGTTGCCATCTGAATCCAAGGATGTGAGTGCTAAATGCAGTTCCCGCCCCGAAACCACAGTAATGGCGCTGGGCTTATTTGAAGTCACACCCTACTCCTAGCTTCCCGCTGGCTTCAGCAGTTCCTGCTTACACAGCCCCAGCCTGTTTTGGGTCTCGATAGAGTGAGCACCATGTCCTTATGGCAGCCCTCACAGCAAAGCTTCCCCACCTCACCGTCCACTCCCCTCCCCTCCCCTTTGAGACTGGGTCTGTCGCCTGGGGTGGAGTGCAATGGCGAGATCATGGCTTACCACAGTGTTGGCCTCCCAAGCTCAGGTGATCCTCCCACCTCTGCCTCCTGAGTAGCTGAGACTACAGGCATGCACCACCATGCCCAGCTAAATCTTTTTTTTTTTTTTTTTTTTTGAGAGTCTTGCTTTGTTGCCCAGGCTGGAGTGCAGTGGTGTGATCTCAGCTCACTGCAATCTCTGCCTCCTGGGTTCAAGTGATTCTCCTGCCTCAGCCTCCCAAGTAGCTGGGACTACAGGTGCCCACCACCATGCCCAGCCAATTTTTTTATTTTTAGTAGAGATGGGGTTTCACTGTGTTGGCCAAGCTAGTCTCAAACTCCTGACCTCAAGTGATTGCCTGCCTCGGCCTCCCAAAGAGCTGGGATTATAGGCATAAGCCACCGCACCTGGCCCCAGTTAATTTTTTATTCTATTCCAAGACAGCCCGATTTTTAAACTTTTTTTGTAGAGACGGGGTTTTGCTGTGTTGTCCAGGCTGGTCTTGAACTCCTGGGCTCAAGCCATCCTCCCACCTCAGCCTCCCAGAGTCGCTGGGATAACAAGTGAGCCGCCACTCCTGGTTGGCTGTTCCGTTTTCATGCAAAGTGCACCCCTCTGCCCCGCTTGCCTTCTCTGCGCTCTGCATACCTGTGTGTGTTCCACATCTCCCTCCCCTCCTCCATAATTCTTCCCTGATGTGAGTGCTATGCACCTGCCCCTTCTCACAGACACCCTTCTCTGTCCTTTCTGATGGCCCCTTTGGCATTTCAAGTGACTGAAGTTCATGGAACAAGGAAGGAGGAGCATGCATGAAGAGTGCGCGCCTGGCCCGCAGTGTGGACTCCGGCCAGGCCTCCTCATGCCTGCTCCTGCCTAGCTTCTCGGGTTCTCTGGTTGTTGATGATAAAATGGGGAAATGACAGCCATGTGACATCATGGGGTCATTGTGAGGCTCCAGTGTATTAGGCTGTGACAAGGCAACGTGCCTTTCAGACATTAGTTATCTTTTTTATTACTCGATACGAGCACATCTCTAAGCTGTATCTTGCAGGCACAGTGTCTGGCCTTCATTTGAGCCATCCTCAAGTCCTGCCACATAGGACATGCTCACTTTTTGGCCATTGCTCTGAGCCCTCTCAGTGAATAGGCTTTGCGGAGAAGCATGAAGAACATTAGGCTTTGTATTCTCTGAGGAGGCCTCTTGTGCACCCTTGGCGTGAAGGAGGGTGTGCTTCCCCACAGAACCTCGGGATAGTCAGGGGCCCAGAGGTTCTGCAACACCGCCAGGCTGTCTTAAGGCCCCCAGGCAGTGACATGGGTCACACTCAGCACGGCCAAAGAGAAGTCAGAATCAGAAACTCAGGGTCACAAATCTGAACCTGACCTTAGAGAGCATTTAGCCCAATCACTTAGTCTACAGAGGAGGTGACTGGAGCACATGGAGTGGGGCGACCCTCCCAAGGCCACAGACGGGGGCTAGGATCCAGGTTCTGATCCAGCCCAGGTGCCGTGTGCATTGGGAAGGAAGCCCAGCACCAGCCTCTTGTAGCTCCTATCACTTGGGGGCTTGTCCTTTTATCCCAGGCTCCAGTCAGTATCATTGTTTGGTGACACATCTTTGTTTTTACATTGAAGGGAATTTGAGAAGGAATGAATAATCCTTGAGGTCTCTTTGCAGGAAATTGTGAACAGAAGATCCGACACAGAGGTCTGGAAGACAATCCTCTCAGAGGTCCGCTTTGTGCATGTGAACACTTCCTCTGTCTTAAAGGTAGGGATGCTGTCCATGGCTTGGCCTGTCCTGAGCTGTGGGCTCCAGTCTGTTTCCTGAGTCTCTCAGGCTACACTGCCTCTCTGCAGGTGGAATGCTTAATTCAAGTCATCATACCTTCACGGGAGGGAGGCTTTTGTACCTTATTGGGATGGAATCCTAATGTGAAGCTCCCACGGGGCCATCTGCTGACAGCGTGCCCTGGGTCGGGGTTCCCCTTCCAACCTGAGTGGACATGGGAGCCTCAGCCTTCCCATCATGCGCTTTTCTCTCCTGCGATGTCACCAGCTGAGTGGGGCTCACCTCCCTGACTGGGGATTTCGGCAGCTGGAGATCGTCGGGGAGAAACTGTCCCGGGGCTACCATGAAAGCACAGTGTGGAACGTAGAGGAGCACCGCTACGGCACGAGTGAGTCCGCGGCATGGCTTCGCCGCTCTGGGAACACGCTCAAGATTGTGATAACACCCAAAACAGAGTTCTCATTTTGGTGGGAAGGGAACCAAGCACATTCTCCATGCTCAGTGGTAGGTCATCTGCCTCCTTGCAGCCCACACTCAGCTGTGGCTGTAGCATCTTAAGACGCTTCCTCCAAGGTGTTGCTGGAAGACAACCAGTTTACGCGGGGCCTTCTCAGGGTGGAGGCACCCTCATTTGACTGGGTGGTCCTGGGTGTGGGGGGAAGACTATGTTGAATGATACCATTAGAGGAGGGGTCTTTGTGAGTTGTGGGAAAGGCAGGAAGCCAGCTTTTGGCTGCGCTGACAGCTTCTGTGCTAAGCTTCTGACCTTGTGCTGCTCCTGTCTGTTGTGCCCATGTATGTTCTGCCAGGCCAGGAGCAAAGAGAGCGGGAATGGGAGCTGAACTCACCTGTGCAGGTGGACGCCAGCAGGAACCTGAGCTTCATGGCCAGATTCTCAGAGCTGCAGGTGATGAGTGGCCAGGGGAAGCTGGCCTTGCTTGCTGAGAACTGATTCCTCACTAGGGAGGCCTGGGGGCTGCACAGGCCTCAAACCAGAGTGATGCCTTGATGCTGGGCCACAGGCCCACCACAGGATGAGTGTCTCCTCTCTCCAGTGTAAGGGACTGTGTGACACCCCTGGCCCACACCTTGTGGCCCTGTGGTCAGGAATAGGGGCCCAGGAGGTTCTGCAACATCGCCAGGTGTCTTAAGGCACACGGGCAGTGACATGGGCCACACTCAACAGAGCCCAAGGGAAGTCAGAATCAGAAACTGAGGGTCACAAATCTGAATGTGACCTTAGAGAGCATTCAGCCCAATCACTTAGTCTACAGAGGAGGTGACTGGAGCACATGGAGTGGGGCGACCCTCCCAAGGCCACAGCTGGGGCTATGATCCAGGTTCTGATCATGCTGCCTCTGATGCAAGAGCCAAATGAACTTGAGGTGGGACAGTCCATGTGTGAGGGCAGCAATGTGCTCCTTGGCCAAATCGACGTGCAGCGGGAGGCGTCCCCTGTCCTCTCAATCTCAGAGGCCTCTGCTTTGTTCCAGTGGAGGATGCTGGTGCTGAGAAGCGATGACTCAGAACACAAGTACAGCTCCAGCCCACTGGAGTGGGTCACCCTGGACACCAATATCGCCTACTGGCTGCACCCTAGGACCAGCGTAAGTGAGCAATGCTGACAGCTGACGCTCATAGACGCGTTCTGTTTCTTGAGAATTCTTCTGGCATTAGAGCAGCCATGTTGCCCTAGAAAGTACTGGGTTTCTCCAGAGCTTTTCCTGACAAAGGCCTGTGACTTGCTTTGCTCTAAACACTCTGGCAACGTGGGGCCAGGAGTAGGGGTGTGGCGTGTGTGCTTGTTTCGGAAGGAAACCCGGCTTGATTGTTTTTGTGGGGACACATCATTCCCCTTTTCCTGGTGAAAGTGCTTTGAAGATACTCACTTTCAATCTTCTGCGTGGCACTTGCTGGTGGAGCTTGCTGGTGCTGTGTTGAGGTGTGTACAGTCTCTCTCCACCTGGCAGGGTGAAAGCCTTGGCAGGCCAGGCACGTCATCAGTGCCCCATAAATATTCACTGAACGGGCAGCTGCTGGAAATGTCCACCTTTTTCCTCCTCCCTCAGAGGCGGGTAGGTTGGCTCAGCACACGCACTGAAGGCAGAGGCACAGGCCCAGAGGTCCACCCCTGGCCCTGCCACCGGCCCCGAGCACACCTTTCGGCGTTCTCTGTGGACAGCAGCCGTAACAGAGTGGAGTCATCTGCTCCCAGTTTTCAGTTTCTAATTACAAAATTGAGAGTATCAGTTTTTTGGTTTTTGTTTTATTTTGTTTTTTTGACAGAGCCTGGCTTAATTGCCCAGGCTGGAGTGCAGTGGCCCAATCTCAGCTCACTGCAACCTCTGCCTCCCAGGTTTAAACAAATCTCCTGCCTCAGCCTCCAGAGTAGCTGGGATTACAGGTGCTCACCACAATGCCCAGCTAATTTTTGTATTTTTAGTAGAGACGGGGTTTTACCATGTTGGCCAGGCTGGTCCCAAACTCCTAACCTCAGGTTATCTGCCCACCTCAGCCTCCCAAAGTGCTGGGATTATAGGTGTGAGCCACCACGCCCAGACTGCATCAGTGCTCTTAATGAAAGGTCTGAGTAGCAGCAGTCCTGTCCATAGCAGTAGTGAGGCCTAGTGGATGGGGGCTGTGCCAGGGCGTATTTTTAACTCTGCTGAAGTAGCATGTGCATCTCAGTGCCTTTCATGTGTCCTCTTCCCTCCCTGAGTAGAGGGCAGGTGGCTAATGGTGTCTCCCATGTGCCTTTAGGCTCAGATCCACCTACTTGGAAACATAGTGATCTGGGTTTCGGGCAGCCTCGCCCTAGCCATCTACATGCTGCTGTTCTTGTGGTACTTGCTCCGACGGCGAAGAAACGTCCACGACCTCCCCCAGGGTTGGTACACCTCCCATATGGCTTTTTTCTTTTTAATACAGAGATAGCATCTTGTTATGTGCCCAGGCTGCTCTTGAACTACTGGGCTCCAGGGATCCTCCTGCCTCGGCCTCCCATAGTGCTGGGATGACAGGTGTGTGCCAGTGTGCCCGGCCCACAGCTCATTTGTATGTCTCTTCCTTCTGCTGCTGAGAGCTCACTGCTTCAGGTGACAAACCAAATTTATAGAAACGAACCCTTAAGACAGCCTCTTTGTTGCTGTATTAAGGGAACTTAAATTATGTTTGTCTCCCAAGAGACAAAATGTTGCAGTGACGTTCCCACATTGCGTCAGCGGTATATCCAGTGAAGTGCAGTATGGCGGGCAGGAATTGCCTCCTTGGTCCCATGCTGCCCGTATGCGCTGGAAATGGCTGGATAAAATGGGCAGCCAGGCCAGGCGCAGTGGCTCACACTTGTAATCCCAGCTCTTTGGAAGGCCAGGAGTTCAAAACCAACCTGGGCAACATAGTAAGACCCCTGTCTCTATAAAGGCCTGTGGGAGCAGCAGAGCTGCTGTAGCTCAGACCCTCTCCCGCAGATGCCTGGCTGCGCTGGGTGCTGGTGGGGGCGCTGTGCGCTGGTGGCTGGGCCGTGAACTACCTCCCGTTCTTCCTGATGGAGAAGACACTCTTCCTCTACCACTACCTGCCCGCGCTCACCTTCCAGATCCTTCTGCTCCCTGTGGTCTTGCAGCACATCAGCGACCATCTGTGCAGGTATGGGGGCTGTGTCATCAGTGGCTGGGTCGGGCAGCAGCCCTCCGCTAGAATGCCCCAGAGCAGCAGACACATGGGGTGCAGCCAGCCTCACCCATTTCACCCTAACTCACATTCTCCTGGCCCCTCTGGGGAATGCAGGAGATTCAGAAGAGGTCCAGATGAGGCCCCACAGAACCCAGAAGGAGAAGTGGAGGCTGACAGAGATGAAAGCGGTGTGGGTGGGGAGGCGGGGGAGGGATGAAGAGGTGTGGGTGGCCTGGAGGATGCAGGAGCAGGGAGCAAGGCCCGGGAGGCTCAGGGGTCAGGAGGGGCAGCTGCTTACAGGCGGGTTGTGCGGTGTGGTAGAGAGAACCCAAGAAAGCTAAACTGGAGTGTTTGGAGGCTGGAGTGCAGGTGAGGGCTTCCTGGCCTCGGAACCAGTCCTGAGGCATCTGCATGGGGGTGGCCTAGCCACTGAGGAATAGTCAGGGCCCCTCTCAGTGCATCCAGGCAGGAGATGGTCACGGGTGGTGGGAGACAAGAAACAGAAACCTGAACGCAGAACCCCAGGCCTTGGGAGGCAACCATGTGGACAGCAGATGCCGAGAGGGGGCTGGGCAGGGAAGCCGCAGTGGCCGCCATCCTCCCCCACACTGCTCTGACCTTTGCAGGTCCCAGCTCCAAAGGAGTGTCTTCAGCGCCCTCGTGGTGGCCTGGTACTCCTCTGCATGCCATGTGTCCAACACGCTGCGCCCACTCACTTATGGGGACAAGTCACTCTCGCCAGAAGAACTCAAGGCCCTTCGCTGGAAAGACAGCTGGGACATCTTGATCCGAAAACACTAGAACAAGAGTGTGGCAGAGAATGCCCTTGCTGGGGCGAGACGAGGTTGAAGGGTTTTGGTCAGTGTACCTTAATGAGCAGGGTGCCCCCATGCTTGGAGGATGTGGGCCGGGCTCAGTAGGGACTCCACTGGAACGCGTGGTGGTCTCATTCCTGAAAAGCCCTCTTATGAGCACCTCCTTTTGTGCAGTTAATTTTTTCTTGACAATGAAGAACATGTTCCCTCCGTGTCCTCCTGAGAGGCCCTGAACTAAGACACAGAGAGTGTTTCAGCGGCCAGCGTAGGAGTCATCGAGGAAGACAGCTGAGGACCTAGGGCTAGCAGTGAAGCAAGTGACAGCCTCATCAGACCAACACCCGGTCCTTGCTAACCACTGCAGGGTGGAGTTTGATCTGGTGGCCCCATCTCCTTCATGAATGCCCTGAATGCCCGCCAGTGGGAGCAGTCCCACCCTGGCCCTTAGCGAGCCCGGCAGGCATCCCTGGACGGCTCCTTGTCAGAAGAGCTGCCTGCATGGGAACCAGGCTGGGCTTGTGTGTCATTTTCTGACGGCATCGAGGCTGGCCCTCTGCACTATGCCATGCAGAAACCCTCCCACCTGAGATGCCACTGAGATGTGGCTGAGTAGCATCTTCCTCCCTCCATGGCCAAGGTCTGTGTCATCCATACAGCTCCTTGCCCCTACTTTGTCTTTTTTATTGTAATTTAAAAAGGGACAAACTGGCATTTGTAGTTGGTGGTGTTTATTGATTCCTCCTCCAAAGGGGCCTACACTCAACAAAACTGTTACAGCTGTGGGGCCCAGCTCAGTTCACCACGGCACATCCGCGTCACTGCTGTGGCTGAGCCTGGACGGAAGGCGGCCGGGACTGCCTGTGGCAGCGGTAGGTTATACTTCACAGAGACAGCAGCAGCCACCACAAGAGCAAGAGGGGAAACCAGGTGATAGACATGGGTGCTCATGTGAGGCCACAAGCTCCACATGGCACAAAGGAAGCTCGTTGGCTTCAGGCAGTCACATCTGCTGGCACCTCGGTGATCCAGGGTATGCCGCAGCCAGAGGCACCACTCCCTGGACCTGGCCACCAGTCACCCTGGGGTGGGACAGCCTGTCTAGACAGAACCTTGGGTTTGGGGGCTCCTGTGAGGATCAGTGAGGGCCCAACCCTGGGCAGGACTATGCATGGACACTGTCCTGCCAGCAGGGACAGACCTGGCCTCCACTGCTGTCTACCCTGCTGCACGGGCTCGCAGACTGACCCCACATGAGAGCCTGTGGGTGCTGCTGGGTGCTCCCAGGATGCCCACCTCACTTCTCTGCCTTTAAGGCACAGGCAAGGGGGGAATACATCCGTCCGAAGCTCCCCACATCCATGTAGGCCACGCTGGACTGCAAACCACTGGTGGGTCATGAAATTCAGTTTGTAGGCCACCACCAGCCTGTCTTACAAAAACAGAACAAAACAAACATGAGGATGTGTAACAAAAACGGAACGTATATGCTCACAAAACTTTTGAGTTGTATGAGTAAGAACCATATGAGACTGGAAAAAAAAAATCTCTGTGTGGGTTCACTGTCAAAAAAACACCAGGCCATCCATAGTATCCAAGCTGTTTCCTCAATCTCCCCAATAATACGTGCCTCACATTCCTCCAGAAACCTCCCAAGCTTCCTGCACATTCTGTGTAATTTCTCGGTGGCCTAGAGAGAGAGCTTTAAACCGCAGCAAGCCTGAGGAAGCGGCTGAGAACCGCAGGAACGCGTCAGTGTCCCAGCAAGTTGAGGCTGAGGGACATATCCAAGTTTCCATCCCTAAGTGACGAAGGCCTTGCTCCTAACGCCACCCTGGGGTGGAAGCAGTGTGTGTGGGTGGGCATCCCCTGGCTCGGTCCCTCAACACACATATGGGGTGGGAGACCTGTCCCCAAGGCTCAGTGCAGCAAGGCAGCCCCTCAGTGGGGTCTGCTGCTGGACTCCAAGTGCGACCGTTTGCCAGAGGTCAGCATCCCAGGCTGGTCCCCTGGCTCAGAAAAGGTCCTCTTGTAGCTCCGCCCGTTGGACCCCCCTCGGTGCCATTTGCAGATGTCACCATTCAGAATGTCCTGGATGTGCTGCACGATCAGGTTGATGGCAACTGCGCCAAGAGACACACAAGCAGCACGTCAGCCGCATTCATCCTCTCTGAAGACCGCCCCTCCTGCAGCATCCAGGGCTGAGAGCCCAACCTCTACCCTGAAGCACAGGTCTGCATGCTGGGGCACTGGTCGGGTCAAATCTCAGCAGACAGAAACATGCATCAGGACACAGCAAAATAAGACTCTAAGCTTGGTGTTCCAGAGATTTATGTTAAGAGTCTGTTTAAAATACTTTCTGCTGACAGTTTTGGATATATATATATATGTTTTAAGAAACAGGGCCTTACTTTAGTGCCTAGGCCACAGTGCAGTGGCCTCATCACAGCTCACTGCAGCTTTGACCTCCCAGGCTCAAGCAATCCTCCCACCTCAGCCTCTCAAGTAGCTGGGACCACAGGTGCATGCCACCACGCCCAACTAATTTTCTTATTTTCTGTAGAGATAGGGTCTGCCTATGTTCCCAGGCTGATCTTGAACTTCTGGGCTCAAGTGATCCCCCTGCCTCAGCCTCCCAAAGAGCTGGGATTACAGGTGTGAGCCACTGCACCTGGCTACATAAATTTTCAAGCATATTTTAACCCTGTGCTGCAGATCAACGCTCATGGGCAGGGGAGTGCTTGGTAACTACCCGCTGGTGGAACTCTCCCTGCCTCAGGCTCTGGGAGGGGCGGGGGGAAGCCCAGCAGGCCAGCTTCTTACCCATATTGTCCACTCCTCGCGGGATGATCACGTCAGCGTACTTCTTTGTCTGTAAGGCACAAGTGGGGGAGTTCTCGTGAGGACCTCTCCTTCAAAGGTGGTTTTAAGATGCTCAGAAACTGATGCAACCGCAGGACTGGTGGCCCTGAGGTGCTCAGTTACTGGTGTTATCGGCAGATGGAGGACAGGGACTCAGTCAGCAGCCAGGTGTGAAATGCCATGATCCAAGAAGGCAGAAAGTGCAGCTGAAGCAGCCAAAAGAACTGCCCCTTCCAGGGCTCCTGTTCCATTACAGGGGACAGCTGTCTACACTGACGACTTAATTCACTGGGGCAAGCTAAGTGCGCCACTTCTACAAGTGTAACATTGCTCCTCTGGAATTATGAAGCTTCTGCGAATACCCTGGCATAGCCACGGGACAGCCACCACCATGCAAAACCACTGCAGGCAGAGACAGCGAGGGTGCCTTATCCCTCATCCATCCGCTCATATGTTCAGTGCTGACTGACTCTCATTCCCTGTCAGATGCTCTGCTGCTAAGAAGGACAGGGATGGAGATACACCAGCAAATGCAGGGCTGCTGGGGAGAGACTGCAGCCAGAGACGGTGGGGCGCTCCAGGGGGAGGGAAGCTGCCCAGAGAACATGCCTGAATCCCACGAAGCTGAGGGAAGAGGGAGGGCAGGGCCTGGGCCTAGGGATGGAACTTGGAACAGCTGGTGCTGCTGGTGTGTGGATTAGGGCCAAGGAGGCGGCAGCAGAGATGAGCTGCAAGAGGCAGACAGGGACGAGTCCTGGGGACAGCTGTGTCTGCAGCTGGTGGAGCCTCATCTCACGAAAGCATGAGCGCACAGGCAAGGGCTGGTTTCCATTTTGGTCTGATTGTCTGACGGGTGGGAGGAGTCCGGGAGAGCTGACAGCAGGGATGGGCTTGAATACAGCTGGGAAATACCTACGAGGTCTGGGGAGAGGACAGCACAAGCGACTCAACACGAAGGGGAAGGAAAGGAGGCTCAAGAACAGCTCTGGGTGGGACCGGGGGCCGGGCGTGGTAGCTCACGCCAGCGAACCCCGCTTTGGGAGGCCGAGGTAGGTGGATTGCTTAAGGCCAGAAGTTTGAGACCAGCCTGGCCAACATGGTGAAACCCCATCTCTGCAAAAAAAAAAAAAAAAGGAAAAATTAGCCAGATGTGGTGATGCACACCTGTAGTCTCCAAATACTCAGGAGCCTGAGGTGGGAGGATCCCTTGAATGTGGGAGGTGGAGGCTACGGGTGAGCCAAGATCTCACCATTGCACTTAGGCCTGTGTGGCAGAGTGAGACCCTGTCTCAAAAAACAAACAAAAAGCGTCTGGGGCTTGGGCCCAGGATATGGCAGGTGACAGCACTTCCTCTATTCAGGTCGCTGGGTCAGATTTGATATCCAGAGTTTTACTGCAAATCACCTAGTTTTTGCCAAATGTCTTTCTGTGAATGAGAGAGACTATAACAAGTTACTTTACTTTAAATGTTATATTTTAGAAATTTCAGAGACATGAATGCAAAAAAAACAAAAGTTTTTTTTTAAATAGCAGCAGATCAGCCAGGTATAGTGGCTTACACCTGTAATCTCAACAGTTTGGAAAGCTGAGGTGGGAGGACCACTAGATTCCAGAAGATTGAGACCAGCCTGGGCAACACAGGGAGATTCCATCTCTACAAAAATTTAAAAATTAACCAAGCATGGTGGTGCATGCCTGTGGTCCCAGCCACTCGGGTTGCTGAGGTGGAAGACTGCTTGAGCTTAGGAGGTCAAGGCTGCAGTGAGCTGTGATTGTACCCCTGTACTCTAGCCTGGGCAACAGAGTGAGACTGCCTCATTTGAAAAAAAAGCCCAGGCATAGTGGCTGAATCCCAGGATTTTGGGAGGCTGGACAGGCGGGTCACTTGAGGCCAGGAGTTCAAGACTTCCTGGACAACATGGCGAAACTGTATCTCTACTAAAAATACAAGTATGAGCCGGGTGTGGTGGCACACACCTGCAGTCCCAGCTACTCAGGAGGCTGAGGCTGGAGAATCACTTGAACCCAGGAGGTGGAGGTTGCCATGAGCCGAGATCACACCACTACACTCCAGCCTGGGTGACAGAAAGCGACTCTATCTCAAACAAAAAATAAAACAGCAGATAGAACTTACTTGTCCTATGTATCAAAGGCAGGAATCCTGGTTTCAGTTCCTTTGTGCTCTATTTTTACCTTAACCCGCCAATGCTGTCTTTAAAACACCCCAATCTGAGCGGAGCCACAAGCCCCATCAAGTCAGAAACACAAGATGGAGAAATGGAGGAAAAAGACAGGTGGGGGCACAGTGGGGAGTCCCGTCTCTCTGCCATCCAGCTGGGGTCTGGGCGCAGGGCTCGCTCTGAGATTTCAGAGCACTGGCTGGAAGCAGCCTGAGGACGCAGGCCCTGGAGGAGCAGCTATCACGCATCCTCCAAGGGCCAGATCCCGGTCTTGGCAGTGAGCAGACTCAGGTGCTCCTGGGGTCCCCACTCTGCAGGGAATAAGGAAAGTAGGATGTGTCCGATGATGAGTACCCCAGAAAGAGGAAGCAGGCAGAGAGGCTGGCACCGGGTGCAGAGGGTTTTCAGTGTTGAATGGGGATGCTGGGTGAGGGCCTGGGGCAGGGAGGAAGAGGCCAGTGTGGGCTTTTCCAGACAGAGGGAGGAGCAGACAGAGAAATATTTTTAGAGCTAAGAACTCCCAGGGTATGTGGCTGTACTGAGCTAAATTCTTCTTCTTTTTTTCAAGAAGATCACTGTCACCCAGCACTCGGCCCTCTCACAGTGCTGGGTCCCACGTGTCCTTGTGAAAGGGGAAAGCGGGCTCTTAGCAGCGAGTGCAGGTACCGGCA